TGACCTGCGTCCCGGACGATCATTGCATGGACGCGCACACTGTGACAAACTGTGTACACTGATCGGTGAGCTGCTTGCTATCAAGATTACGTAGAACCAACCCCACGACTACATGCCATCATCGTGAGAGTGACGCTTGGTCAACCAAATGTCAGGCTATAGGAGCGCAATCCGGACGTATGTCCACGATCATCAAATGTCAGAGCCCTTTGTGTGGCAATCCTTCCACCACGACGAGTGTATATATTGAATCCATCAACAGACCAGCAACAGCGTACACTATCGTCTCTGCCTCCCCCCCCTTGTCTTTCAAAGCATCCAACACTACAGACCCCGAAGACTCCAGGTTACATCTCGATTCTCCACGCACGCACACACATACACATACACGCACGCACACACACATACACACACAGCACAATGGGCTCCAAAATTGACTCCATGACCGCCAACGCCCTACCAGAGGAGGCCAAAGTCGGTGCGAAACGCTTCGCCGACTTTGATCTTGGCGGCAAGATATTCATCGTCACAGGCGGCGCCCAAGGCCTTGGTCTGGCATTGGCCGAAGGACTCGTCGAAGCGGGAGGGAGAGGTGAGCCAGAACAGACCTCTGACAACATGAAGCGACTGACAAGAATCGTTCTCCACAGTATACTGCCTCGACATGGCCCCGCCCCCCGTCGAAGGGTGGGACGAAGCCCTGTCACGCGTCCAGCCCGAGTTCGGTGGCTCCCTCGTGTACCGTCAGATCGACATTGGCGACACGGACAAGCTCGAGCACCTCATTGACTCGATAGCGCGAGAGCACCAGGGACTGCATGGCGTCCTCGCGGCCGCCGCCTTCCAGCAGGTCACCCCGGCCGTCGAGTACACGGCCAAGGACGCCAACGCCATGATGAACATCAACTACACCGGCGTCCTCATGACGGCCACCATCGCCGCCCGCAAGATGACGGAGTACAGGTGTCGCGGGAGCATCTGCATCATCGCCAGCATGTCGGGCCTCGTCGCCAACAAGGGCCTCATCTCGCCCGTCTACAACTGCTCCAAGGCCGCCCTCATCCAGCTCGCGCGCAGCCTCGCCATGGAGTGGACGCCGATTCGGGAGGATGGCACGGGCGGCATCAGGGTGAACTGCATCAGCCCCGGGTACATCATGACGCCTATGATCAAGGAGCAGATGGAGGAGAAGCCCGAGCTGGTGGAGAGTTGGGCGCGCGACAACATGATGGGCCGGTTAGCCACGACGAGCGAGTTCAAGGGGGCTGCTCTGTTCTTGTTGAGCAACGCCAGCTCCTTCGTGACGGGCAGTAACATTGTAGTAGACGGTGGGCATACTGCGTGGTAGCTTGGGGGAGCAACTGGAGTTTAGCGTTTGCATTCATACTTTGTAATATGGAATTTTGATAAGCTTAAACAGTTCTGAGTCAAGTCAAGTCAACTGCATGTCGTAGCGCATATTTTCCACTACGGTAACGATGGACGTACGTAAGGTAGGCAGGCAAATGTACATGCGGACGACTGAATGAACCAAAGGCTCCGGCCGATGTCCGGGTCAGAGCCGGTATTTGTGGGTCCGGTCCGGAGCGACCTCCGGGCACAGTCGCTCCCTTAATCATGGCCCGAACATCCTCGCATTATTTGACGCGAGTCTTCCCCGTCCATGCTATATAGACCCTAGCTATAGATGCATGTCATCGGCACCCTTATACATCCCTATTAGGTCCTTGAATATGCCGTCTACGCAAGGGATCGGCAGCGTCCGAGACTCCGAATGTGCTCTGAAGCGGTCCTATGGGAAGCACGCCAGTGATGCGGAATACGACGTTGCCAACGGCAGATGCTCGTCGATCCGGGGAAGAGCCCTTTTTCCGCGGAGGTCGTCTACGTATGCCTACAGCCATTCCAAGTTGGGGTGTCACATGGTCTGATGGATGAGTGTGGCCAAGTATAAAGAAGCCCAAGCCGCGCCTGTATCGGTTATTCTCCTCACCGACCCCGATCCTGAATGTTCACTTCCTTAAACCTCTCATTAGTCCCCCGCGCCCTCACCATGTCTATACCCCCCAGACTCGCTCTCCTCGCCGCTGCCGTGCCGGCCGTCTACGGCGCAACGGTCAAGTCGCCCACACCCCCCATGGGATGGAACAGCTACAATCACTACAACTGCCAACCCAACGAGGCCATCATCAAGCAGAACGCCCAGGGCCTCGTCGACCTGGGCTTCCGCGATCTCGGTTACACCATCGTCACCGTGGACTGCGGCTGGGCCGCCACCACACGCGACGAGCAGGACAGGCTGCAGTGGGACAAGGAGACGTTCCCCTCGGGCCCCGAGGCACTGGGCGACTTTATCCACAGCCTGGAACTCCAGTTTGGCCTGTACTCTGGTGCTGGGTACCGGATGTGCGGGCTTCCCGACACACCTGCGTCTCTCGGTAGAGTGCCATGATCATGGCCCGCCCTGTGAAACAGACCCATCATCACTGACATCAAACCTCGCAGGATACGAACAAGTCGATGCCCAGACATTCGCAGACTGGGGGGGCGACACACTAAAGTACGTATTTTTCATGTAGTACTTCCCCTCGGATCCATCCCCTGACACTCCCAGATATGACAACTGCTATTCCACCTCGCCCACAGAGATGGTCGACGTCACGTCCCCCGCGTCCCAGAGCCCGGACCGCTTCATCACAATGGCAGAGGCCCTCAACCAGACCGACCGCCCCATCCAGTACTTCCTCTGTCAGTGGGGCATCGGCCAGAACGTCCCGGACTGGACCGCGCCCCTCGGCAACAGCTGGCGGATGAGCAACGACATCTTCAACGCCTGGCGCGCCCTCTGGCGCATCGTCAACCAGGCCGTCCCCCACGTCCAGCACACTGGACCAGGCGCCTTTGCCGACCTCGACATGCTCATGTAAGTTAGCCCATCCATCCCGTGATGGGAGAGCTCATGCTCGGCGAATTGCCTTCTCACCTCCTTCTGCAGCATCGGCCTGAATGCACTGTCCGTCGAGGAGGAGCACTTTCATTTTGGCTTCTGGTCCATGCTCAAGTCCCCCCTCATCATCGGCGGCGTCCTGGTCGAGGCGGAGATACCCGCATCCTCCCTCGAGGTCATGCGCAACGAGGAGGTCATCGCCATCAACCAGGATCCCCTCGCCAAAGCCGCCGCGCTCGTCATCCGCTACACCGAGGAGGAGTGGGACGTCTGGGCTGGCCCCCTCTCCGACGACCGCATGGTGCTCGGCATCGCCAACTGGAAGAACGAGACGCAAAACGTCGAGGTGGACTTGAGTCTCGTCGGCGTGGGCTCGGCTGCCTCGCGCGACGTGTGGGCTCACGAGAATGGGTCCATTGCGGGCGTGCAGGTTCTTGAGCTCAAGCCGCACGAGTTGCGTCTCCTGGTGCTGAGTGAAATTGAGACCACCCAGAAGCCCTCGGCAGCCGCATACTACTCGGTGGAGGATGCTACTCTTGGCGGCCAGGCGGCCCTCGTCGACTGCGGTGCTGATGAGTGTCTGCCCAACCATGTGAAAGTCGGCTCCATCACCGCCGACGCCAACGTCACTTTTGAGGGCGTTTCTTCTGCGCACGACGGTGAAGTCTTTGTCGGCATTGACTTTATCAACTACGAGTACACACATACCATTGGTGACTGGGCCACCAACACGCGCAACATGTCGGTCGCCGTCAACGACAACGAGGCCAAGCGCTGGGCGTTCCCTCTCGCGGGCGGCGACTGGTACGAGACGGGCCGCCTGATGGTGGCCCTGGACGGCTTTGTCGCTGGGGACGAGAACACTGTTGTCTTTAGTGGCTTTGACGACGGTCACTGGGCCCCGGACCTGGTAGGCATGGAGGTCTTTGAATAATGCACTAGAGGGGAAGATCAGCGCAGATTAGCATTAACATTGTGGCCATGGACCTATCTGCTCTCTTTCGCAATCGCCCCAGGTCAAGTCAATATTTGCTCCGTCCAGGATTACAACTCAAGCTCCCAGGATCTCTTCCCATCCAGTGAGACCCGACAGGAGCGGCACAGTGATATCGCATACGGCACCCTTCTCAGGGGCCGTACCGTTCGCAAAGTATGTCGCAATATGTTGTACGGTGCAGGGGCTCACTTGGGCCCAGATGGTGTGCTACACCACAGTCAGTCTCGCAATGCTCAATCACACTTGGACACTCTTGGGCAAGAGACGTACGCCATAGCCACCTTGCTGCACCACCAGAAAAGCATTCTCAAAAGTCTCCGACACATTGTTTGCGCAGATCGCGTAGGCAGGTAGTCTGCGGCATCGGCAAAGTATCCCGCGGCATGGCGGGCGTCGAGGACGGACTCAAACTCGCTGCGGTTGGCAGCATGCGTCAGTACGTCGCTGCACTTGATACCATCGCGCGCGTTGCTGTCAGGGGCGGCAGCGCTCTTCAGGGCATTGAATCGCCCAGCGCCGGCGGAAAGAATCTCAGTGATCAGGGCGAGATTGCGCTGCTGAACAGCAAACAGCTGCATGGCCAGGCTAGTACAGATTTGAGTCAATGAAAAACTTGCCAAAGCTATAGTCAAGCACGATACCACCCAGAGGACTACCGGGTGTCGGAATCGCCAAGGGGTCAGTGCGTAACCCCTCGAGCATTTTGAAGATACCTTGCTTCACCTCGTCGGCCGTTTGATTCATGGCCAATGAGCACTTATCGGGGTTCTCGGCGCAGCCTACGCAAAACCCACTGAATGTATCGTCTATGCTGGTGAATGTCTCGCTCTCACTGCACGCGAGGTCAGCTGCCGCTGACTGAGAGGAGTTGATGATGGCATACTCACTTGTTGCGGTAGTATAGAGTGGGGTTGACGACGCCGTCCAAGACCATCTTGTCGATCTTGTCCGGAAACATGTCGGCGACCGTAGCACCCAACAGGACCCGTAGGAGGGGGCTGGATGATGGTTCGACTCAGTCAGGTTCACAACACGATCCGGCCTTGGTGGCACATACCCCAGTAACGGAGAAAGCCGTCATCCTCGAGAACGTCAACCACACCCATCAGATCGCGGGCCGCAAAGGCTGTTCCGATGAGTGTCCCGTTCTCTGCCTGCATCGAGGCGCAATTGTCCACAAAGAGTTGGGACTGCACCCAGATATTGGCCGGAGCGGTGTCATAAGCCGATGCAGCTAGGGGGAGCCCGGCGTAGGTGGATGACGCCGTGTCCTGATAGCATGAGAAGGTCAAGGTACTGTTACTACCTCTAGGAACGATATTGACAATGTCGTAGTTGTTGTTGGTGGTGCTGTACATATCAGTGTTGGTGGTTTGCTCTTGTCGATACGTCATCTCCGATGGGCAGCCTACAATTAAAGCCTAGAAGCGAGAGCCACAAGGTCTTCAATGCCGGAAGCACCAGGACCTCCAGCATTGAAGAAGATGCTGCCTTTGCTGGGCACCTTGGGGGTCGGAGCGCGCACAATCTCCAGAGCCAAGGTTGCGCCAGAGCCTTCGTCGGTATAGTCAAGAGGGACATCGAGCGAGCCGCATTGCAGGCTCGAGTTGCCAGGGATCAATGGATCGTGGCATTTTCCCCAGGTGATACCGGAAGAATTGGCGTTGTTTTGTCGAGACTTGAGGTCGAGTGGCGTTGCCAGTGCCGGGCTGGCAGTGCGAGAAGATGTGAAGAGCGCACGGTCAGGTCGGAGGACGCCAATGGAAATGAATGAGGAAGGAGTGTACGTCTGCTCTTTCCTAAGACCAGGCACGGAGATCTGAGGGAAGCTGCGTCCACCAAGACAGAAGGCACATCTGGCCACCAGCCTGGAGCGTCGAGCGGCCATCTTATATGCCATACTCTGAAGACGGTAACCTCCTCACTGTGGGCCAGTCTCGAACCGTGCCGCGTACACACATGGCTTCAGCATGTTGGGCTTAGCAGTGCAAACTCTTGGATCGTCGAGGATAGCTCAGCTCGGCAGCATTGAGGCTCCCAAAGTTCAAACTCCCACACGTCGTAGGTAGCGTTCCACAGTTGCTGCTCGTTCCCAGCAGCCTCTAACTGGGCAGCCTATTCTCACCTAGCCTGCATCGCTATTGATAGATTACTTTTGAGTAAACTGCACTTCGCATTCCGGTCCCGCCTCCAGTCACCAAGGATTCTTATGCTGACCTAGGCCCCGCTGGACCTTCATTTTGGGCAATCGAAAAGAAGCCTGGAGAGGATATTTCTCAGTCAGCCAGAGCGCGAAGCGGAGGCGCAGCAAGTTCGTTGGGTCTCGACGGTGCACTGCAGTCTTTCGTCAGCCCAACGGGAGCGAGGTGGAATCTGTTCTCTGATTTAGAACGGGGGATAGCAGACAGGAATATCGAGTCCTTCAGATTGAACTACCAAGCTGGTACACACAAAGTGCAGTCCTGACTCCTGATGAGAAGACCTCTTTCGGGTAGTCGTGCATGGCTATGTGGCGTGGAAGTCGCGGTGGACCACTCGCAACGAACGATACCCTCTGTTTTAGTTAGACTCGGACTTGCACAAGCAATTTGTGTAATTTGCTGAACCCAATCAAGACTCAAGCTTCGCGCTATGGGAATTTATTGTTCTCCAACCTAGGCCTCTGCGCTGACCTACCCTGGATGGTGTGAACGACCAAGTTCGCCCCTCCCCCATCGGCAATGGATCTTACGCCTAGCGAGCCAATCAGCAATTCTCTGTTTCATTAGGAACCCGCGCGGCAGCCCGAAATGGAATGATGAATGGAGACTGGAAAACATTGAATGAGAACGGGGAGCTTCATAAGCACTTACAAACCCCAGCCTCTACGCAGTATCTGGCCATTTGCGCAATTTGAACACCTAGACAGATGAAATACCTTGCGCGCCGTTGCAGACCTGCCTTGTGTGCCATCACGCCGTTGACCCCCCTTCGAAATTCGACGCCTGCTTGTCTACTAGCATCGCGACGTGCTTCATCCAGCGCAGGCGCACCGACAGCCCAGTCTCCTATACGCAAAATGTCAACAAACGACAGCAAGTCGGCAGCGTCGCCCGCGGCCGAGAAGAAACTCCCGCCGCTATCAGATCATGACTTTCGAATCTACAACAACATGGCCGACCACATGGACCTCTTCGTAAGCCGCCGCCCCCCTCACTCACTTCGTCATCATGCACTGACACTTGCTTGACCTATCCCCAGCACAACAACTTCCGTCAGTCATGGAACCTCCTCTGGCAAGCATGCTGCAATAACAAGCGCCCTCGGAATCTCACCCTCAAACAATTCCTCGATGAAGGCCTGCGCTTCATCCAACATCTCACCGTGCACCACAACATTGAGGAGCAGCACATCTTCCCGGTGCTGGCCAAGAAGATGCCCGAGTTCCGAGGTGACCTACAGGCACAGCACAAGCTGATCCACGCCGGCATGGACAGGATGGCCGACTACCTCCGGGGCTGCAAGACGGGCGAGTACGAGTTTGAGCTGAGCGGGCTCAAGGCGCGGATGGAGACGTGGGGCGACGTCCTGTGGACGCATCTGGATGATGAGGTCAGGACTCTCGGGGCCGAGAACATGAGAAAGTACTGGACCAAGGAGGAAATGGTGCGTATGCCCATGTAGATAGATAATGCACATGATGATAGAGAATTGCCTGGATCGGTGGCCTGTCTATATGCGTTGCACCACACCATACACGTACTCTTCGCCAAAAATGGAGCGCTTGCTATCTATCCAACCGTGCTCTTTCCCATATCCTGCAATGCTTCGTCTCCAGAAAACCCAGGTCCCGAGGACACGCCCCCTGGCCACGCCTCTATTTGTTCGCAGCCCAAAGCTCCCGCATCTGCGACTGCGCCGGGTGAAACGCCAGGGCGCTCACGGCGAAATCGCTGAGGAACCCGCCAGGGATGCTAAAGTGCACCGTGACCGGCGACCAGGCCAGGTTCCTGAAAAACTCCCTCTTCCAGCCCTCGGACCACGCTTGGTCTTTCTCGGTGAGCCGCCCTCCGGCCGCCGAGACCTTGCGCTGCCTCTCCACCACCAGCCGTGCCAGCTCCATCGCCACATAGAGCGCCCACGACCGCACGCTCCACATGATGAGCTTGCCCTGCGTCGCGGGGGAGAAGCCCAGGATCTTCTTGCTCGAGAGGTATGTAATGTTCTCCGTGGCTTGGAACGAGATGAGAGATGTGATCTGCGCCGCGGCGACAATAAAGTCAAATGTGCGCTCGGCAGAGTTCTCTCCCTCCTGTTTCTTCGCCCGCGCGGATAGGACAAGCTTCTTGACCGAGAAGTACAGGCCCAGCAGACCCCAGAGTCGGCCAAAGGTTCGCACCTCGGTCAGCACGGCGACCGCGGCCCTCAGTCGCGCCGCGAGCTTGAGCGCGAGCCCGACAAACGGGTTCGCAAACGGTGCCTCTTTTGCAAAGTTGACGGCTTGCGAGGGCGGGAGCTGGAGCGCGAGAGCGACGAGTTTACTCGCCGACGAGCGGATGGCGGCGCGGGAGCCGGTTTCGAGGACATTGGCCGACAATCGTAATCCATATGTGAGGAAGAACAAGACGACATCGGCGCCGGATCGTGTCGACGTGCATCGGTAGAGGCGGGTCAGAAAGGCGTCTGTGGAAGAGAGGATTGTCTGGCAGCGGGTCGGAGCTGGCGAAGCGACATGGACCCCGTCGACAGAGGGGGCCGCCGAAGAGGACGGCGGCTGCTCTGGTGAGGGCTTTTCTGATGACATGGTGGCTGTCGTTTGGGTCTGTAGAGGTGCTGGATGAGGCCAAAGGAAGGAGAGGTTCTGCACAGGTCCGTGAAGGACCGTGGGATTTGGAGAGAAGGTTGAGACGTGCACTGGAGTCGCATGGCGCAGTTATCCGTTACTATCACGGGGGATTAGCGCCGCGGGAGGATTCTCCACAACTGCCTCCCTCGTTGGACCGATTGCCGAGGTACAAAGAGGCAGGAACGACACGTCTTGAGTGGGAATATCATAACTAGTTAGTTAACTTATCCGAGACATGAATTGCATACCCTATACCCCACCCTCTACATATGCCCATCTATCTTCTTCGGCTCGTACAGCTCCTCCAAGTACTCTTCCTCCTCGGGCGTCAGGGTCTTGCCCTTGGCGGTGATGGCTTGCTCTATCCTGTCGACGCTGCTGAACCCAATAATAGGAGCCGACACGCGGCTGTTGATCCACGCCAGCGCGACGTGCGCCATCGGCCAGTTCCTCTTCTCGGCAATCTCCACGACACGCGCAATGATCTTCTGATCGAGCGCAGACTGGCCCGCCTTGCCCTTCTCCTCCTTGGCGCTGCGCTGGGTGCTACGAAAGTCCTCTGGCTTGCGGGCGAGATGGCCTCGGCACAGCGGGGCCCAGGGGATCAGGCCGACGCCCGTGTCGTTGCAGAAGCGGTTCATCTCGCGCTCCTCCTCGCGGTACAGGAGGTTGTAGTGGTTCTGCATGCTGATGAACTGCGTCCAGCCGTTCTTCTCGGCGACAAACTGCAGGCGCGCAAACTGGGTGGCCCACATGCTCGAGGCGCCAATGTAGCGGACCTTGCCGGACTGGACAAGGTCGTGGAGCGCCTTCATGGTCTCCTCCGGGGGCGTCGACTTGTCGAAGCGGTGGATCTGCAAGAGGTCGATGTACGGCGTGTCCAGGCGGCGGAGCGAGGCCTCGACCTGGTTGAAGATGGCGGCGCGCGAGAGACCAAAGTTGTTCTGATACTCCTTGCAGGCCTCAAAGGCATTCCGGAGGGCAAAGTGGCGGGTTTCTAGAAGCTCATTGATCAGTCTTGGTTCGAGTGCACCAGCTGAGAAAGGGCGGGCGTACCGGGCTCCTCGCCGACACCCCAGTGGCACTTGGTCATAACCACCACCTTTTCGCGAGGAATGTTGTATTTCTTGATGGCCTTGCCAACGATCTCTTCGGAAACACCGTTGGAGTACACATTGGCCGTGTCCCATGTGTTCAAGCCGCAGTCGTAGGCAGCCTTGAGCAGAGGCAGGGCCTGTTTCTGTTACCAAAGTGCTTTCGTGACATGTGTAAGAAATGGCACTGCTCACCTCATCCTCTTCAATGACCCATTCAAGCGTTCGACGGTCACCAAAGCTCATACATCCAAAGATGGGGTTGGAGATGCGCAGGCCAGATTGGCCGAGCTGACGGTATTCGACCTTGGTGTTGTCCAGTGCCTCCTGTAGGCCTTGGGGGATGTTCTTGGACATTGTCACTGTGGATTCAAATAAGCTGATGGTACAACCAATACAGAGCGCACTCGACCTCGAGAGCTATGGGAACAGTTCAGTGGACGACGCCCCAGACAGCGCTTATACTTATATCCTTACGCTGTAGGGTAATGTGGATGAGGGGAACGGCGGGGTATGAAGACACCCGCATGTCATTGTCGTGGAGCCTCAGGTCCGTCTACGTAGAGGGGACTGTGCTGGATAAAGCTGCCCGGTGGTGTCTGATTGGTGCAGAATTGAGTGCCTCGATCGCCTCGCATCGTTCATATTCCCGGGAGTGTGAAGGGCCGTCGGATGTATGTGGCGCGATACGGCCGACCACAACGCGGAGATCATCAGGGCCCTCAAATCACCGTCTAGTCGTCGAACTCCAAACTCGTCGCATGTAGCCACCCAATCAACAAAGAGATGGTGCAGCAGTCTCAAGGAGGTGAGATTGGCATGTCGAAGTGAGCCAACACTGAAAGACACAAATCAGCAAGTGACTGGCATCGGCCTGTTGTTGACGCAGAAAAATCTAGATCCTCGTCACCACCACCATCGAATGATCACCACGCAGCAGCCTCAGGACCTGCCGACCATGACCCGTCCTCCGACCTCCTTGCGCCAGCCTCGCAGCCCGTGCCATGGCCATTGGCGTTGAGGCTGTACACGTCGCACTTTCTGTCCATGTGGAACTCGCGCCTCTTTGAATTCGGCGCCGTCCTCTTCCTGGCCGACATCTTCCCAGGCACCCTCCTGCCAATGTCCGTGTACGCCTTGGTGCGAGGGTTTGCCGCCGTCCTGTTTGCGCAGACGGTGGGATCGTGGGTCGACAAAGGTAATCGACTCCATGTCGTGAGGGCCTCCATCATCGGGCAGCGTGCCTCCGTCATCGCCAGCTGCCTCGTGCTCTGGGCGATGGAGACGAGGAATCTCGGTGAAAAGGCAAAGACGGGCCTGTTTGGCGTGTCCGTCATCCTGGCCTGTGTCGAAAAGCTCATGGCGGTGATGAACACGGTGGCTGTCGAGAGAGACTGGGTCGTCGTCATGACCGAGGGTAACACGTACGCCCGACGACGTGAGTGCTGACGACCGTCAAAATTTCATCTTGAACTGACAGCAGTGCAGAGCTCAATGCTCGCATGAGGCGCATTGATCTCATATGCAAGCTGGTCGGCCCACTGGTCATCTCAAACGTGGCCATTGCATCGACAGTCATTGCCATCTACACCACTCTCGCCATGAGTGCCGTCTCCGTGCCCATCGAGTACATCTGCATCGAGCAGGTCTTCCGCTTCTTTCCGGCCCTTGCACAGCGCAACATCCCACTGGAGAGCAACGAGGAGCCACGTTCGCTCTGGAAGCGCCTGACGTACCGCGTGCTGCCCATCTCCTCTCTGCCCTTCTATTTCCGCCACCCGGCCTTCATACCATCCTTCAGTCTCGCGCTACTCTATCTCACCGTGCTCTCGTTCTCCGGCCAGATGATCACATGGCTGCTGGCCGTCGGCTACACAACAACCTATGTCGGCGTGGCCCGAACTGTGAGCACCGTCCTCGAGCTTTCTGCTACGTGGATCGCGCCGCGCCTGAGCAAGAAGATTGGCGCCGTGCGGACTGGGATATGGAGTCTTTCCTGGCAGATGATCACGTTGACGGCGGGCGTCGCCTGGTACTACGCCGACTTCTTCAGCACGGGCAAGCCGCACCTGATCGCGGCCACCGGGTTGACACTCTTTGTGGCACTGAGCCGCATCGGTCTCTGGGGGTTTGATCTCAGCGCGCAACTGATTGTACAAGATGTTCGTCTAGCTTCCCCGCCCTCTCCCGAGATCGCACACTGACAATGCCCAGGAGGTAGAAGAATCTCACCGAGGCACGTTTTCGACAGTCGAGGCAGCCTTCCAGAACCTGGCGGAAATGACATCGTACGCATTGACCATTGCATTCTCTCGTCCGGACCAGTTCCAGTGGCCCATCCTGCCAAGCGTAGCCGCCGTGTATGTAGCTGGTGGTCTGTATTCGTGGTTCGTCCGCAAGAGAAGGGGCCATCTTCTGCACTTGTCGTGTATCACGGGCGAGAAGGGATCTTCCCGGCCTGAGAGCGTGGAGCTTGGGCATAGAGCAGCGTGAAGAACCTGGCAAGCGGAAGGGTATGATTTCAGTCACCGCGACATCACAGGGGACCTGGTGAACTTGGAATATCTTATTTGATAATACTTTGCCTCATAATCCTGAGTATGAGGACTGACCCAGCGAGGCGCCCTCTTGCGCTGACCTCGTCCCTTTTTGGTAGCCTCATGAATGAACAAACAAGCATTTCCTGACCATGCATCATCATCATCGGAAACATACAAAGGAAAGCGGTGGGAAATGACGAGAAAATGGGGTGCATGCGACGCCGCCGCCCGGCCTCGGGCTTCAAACAAACAAGTCCGTCCGTCCCCCTTTCTAACCCCGGACAGCAGCACCCAATGCTCCGCCCGTGAACTGTGTCCCACCAGCTTGGCGCTGTGTGTTACCGCCGCCACGGCCACCGCCTCCGCGCCCCCGTGCACCGCCGCGACCGCCGCCTCGGCCTCGCCCAGGCCTGTCAAAGGCATTTGACGAGCCTTGTGTGCGTTGCTCCAGCGTGCGCTCGTTGGTCTCGATGAGCGAGCTGGCCTTGTCGGAGAGGGTGAGCGCCAGCGACTGCAGACGGCTGAGCTCGACGCCCTTGCGGAAGATGACGTTGGAGGTGACCTGGTCCAGCGAGGCAGAGAGCTCCTCGTGGCTGATCATCTTGCTGATAATGGCAGACACCTTGGTGGGCTCCAGTTCGAACATGGTGCCGAGTGTCTCGACCGACAGCGTGTCGTAAAAGGGAGCGTAGGTGAACAGGTACGTCCGGAGACCCTCCTCCTGGATCTGCTTGGACAGCATGGTCTTGATGTCCTCCGTGTTCGCCATCAGGTCCCAGATCTTGATGTTGTGGATGAACGTGGTCGACTTCTTCCACTCGCCGGCGGCAAGCGCCTTGGACGCCTGCATCACGTGGTCGCGCGTGTTCTCAGGAGGCCCAGTGAAGATCTGGCGCTCGTGGTACTCCAACATGCGGCGGTAGGTCTTGCTGATGACACGCTTCTTGACGTCGGGCGACGAGCCGGTCTGGGCGAGGAGGGGGATCTCGAGCAGCATGCTGCAGGCGAGGTACACACACTCGAGTAGCTCCAGGTTGATGTGCATGTGGAAGGGGAGCTGGCGTGATTTCTCCAGCCTCTCTTGCTCGGGCGAAACCTGGTTGAAGCGCTGCATCATCACACCCTGTGCCAGCAGCTCCTTTTGCCGGCCACTGCCGCAGATCTCCTGCAGAGTGTTCTGGGCATCGTATACCAGGCCCTTGCGGAAGGCACAGAGTCCAACCTGGACGAGTGTGCGGTTATAGAGGATTTGCGACTGCACGTCGAAGTTGGGGATGTTCTCCTGGAGATGGGACATGAGCATCATGTCGCGAGCCTTGTAGTACTCGTTGTGGAGGGCGAGGAAGTAGACCTGGCACAGCATAGCGCGGGCACGGATAATGCCATCGCTGTGGATGAACAGGTAGTTGCAGAGCGTGCCCACCAGGTTGGTGGCGTCGGCGGACGCCGCACGACCGGTGATATCGGACTCGACATCACTGCCGACAGCCTTCCAGCAATTGTCCTCAAAGACCTTGATGACCTGGGCAGGCTTGAAGTACACGTGCTCGAGACGGCGCATCACAATGCGGTTCACAGTGTCCTGAGACACATCCAGATCCTCTTCCTTGCGCAGGGACTCGGTGTAGAGGAGTCCTCGGAAAATGATGTTGTATAGGGAGCCCTCGTCTTGCAGGCGTTCAATGTACTCCGAGGTGTGAGGGTCGATGCTCTGCAGCGAGCGGCCCAGCTCATCGTCCAGACGCTCCACAAAGGACACGAGGCTGCCGGCAACCTTGATGTGCTTTTCACCAGGCTGCAGTACGGGCACCTTCTCGTCGTCTTCCCACTCCTCGGCGTTCTCAACAACCACATACTCCTTGTTCTGCTCGAGGATGTTGAACAGAGTAGAGAGTTCCTTTTCAGCAGATTTCCAATGCTCCACGGGCATGGCGCCTGATGAGCCAGAGGCAAGATCGAAGCGCGAGGATATCAAGGTCAAGAGAACGCGGATCTGCTGGTATGGCGTGTTGGCCGTGGCGTGCAGTTTCTCCAGCACTCCAATCTGCTCGGATCGGTCCGTGTTCTTCTTGCCGCGCGTGTCCAGGATCGCACGCAGGTGCTTGAGGATACTCTCAGGGGTGTACTTGACAGTACGGCCACCCTGGGTGACCTCTGTGAAACCTTCCATGTCCTCCTCGGTGGGCTGGGCGATGGGGTCGGATGACTTGGGGATCTTGACCTTGGTAGGGGCCGGCGCGGGCGCCTCCTCCTCGGACGACTCCATAAAGTCATCCTTGTCCGCCCGGTATGCGTCAATGTCCTTCTGGTAGCTCTTGTTGGTCTTCTTGATCTTCTGCTTCATGGCGTTGAGGGCGCGCGCCTGCGTGGCGTTCATCTTCTTGGGCGTGACCTTGGCTTTCGCAAGAGCCTCGTTCATGAAATCCTCGAGCTCAGCAATGGTGCGGATCCATGTCTTGGGTGCCTTGCCCCTGGGTCCTTGCAAACGCTCTACTTGTCGGCTGAGCTTGTCAAATTCTACACAAAAGGTTGTTAGTCGCCTGGTCCAACCCTCGTGATACCGGCCAAGTCGTACCTGCGGAAATCAAAGTCCAGTCTCCATTCTTCTGGCCGTTCTCAATCTGCTTGATCGAGGCATCCAGCTCCTCTGCACGCTTGTCCTTGGCGCTTTTGACGGCTGAGCGTTTGTCGTCGTCGCTGTCTTCACTCTCGGAACTAGCGTCCTTCAAGAAATAGCCGGCGCCTCCCTTTCCAGCATCATCGTCGGAGTCGGATTCCTCCTCAGATTCCTCCTCGCTCTCGTCCGAGTCGTCATCTGAGTCGTCGTTCCCAGCGAGGAACTTGTTCTGCGGCTTCTTCACCTGCTGCTCGTCGTCGGAAGACTCTTCGGAGCCGTTGATGGACACCTCATCGCCGGAGTCGCTCTCGCTGGAGCTCTCCTCTCCACCGCGAAAGAACTTAGACATCTTGGGCGGCTTATATGGCGGACGTTTCGGCAGACGCGTTCGGTGGTACTTGACTTTCAGCGCTCGTCAGGTCAATATTTGGGCCGAAGCGATTACTCGGAGGGGTGCTCGACCGTGGTTTGCCTTGTTCGGTGCGGCGGGGTTGACTCACAGCAACAATCTCGTGAAAAATGCTGATTTTTGGTGGGCAAGTGGGGGCCACCTCCTGGGGCTTCTTGTGGCAGATACAGTACGTACCTGCGCCGGGCGCCAGCGGGTCACTGTCTACGGGCGTACGTTTTTCCGGGCTTCTGACTACCCTGTAGCAAGACGGGCTCTGCTTATGCCATAATGATTGAGGCGGCTCCGAGCGGCATTCCGAAAATCGAACCGCCGCCCGGGAATTCAACGGGACGAATCGCACGCAGCCAAAACAGCCCATTTCTCAGCAACAACATTCTGACTCGGTTCAACAATCAAACCAACACAAGCAAGCAACAGCCATGGCGTCAATACGCTGCGCACATGTCTCTTCAACAGCAAATTCTTTCCTGAGGATCGCTAGTCGCGAGTATTCGTCCGCAGCAACTCGACCGACGCCTGGATCTGCCCCTCTCGATTTCCTCATCCCACGATGCGCTTCCAAGCCAATGTCGCCACGAGGCACAACGGCCCAGGGAGCCCCAACACTACGAGGATGCACTTTCATGGCGCCCATGGGCATTAGGTACTTCTCTGCGTCCCCCGCCAGAAAGGCCACAGTTTGTGTGCGGAATCCTCTGAAGGATGAAGATGGCAACGACATGATCCTCGAGATTACACCACGGGCAGCAAAGGTCAGTTACGTTCACCTCGTTCAAAGTACATTATGCTTACAGAGAACAATAGCGCCTGTCCACGATCATGACCAAAGATGCCAACCCTGACCTTGGCCTCCGCATACAAGTCGAGTCAGGCGGCTGCCACGGCTTCCAGTATGTCATGAGCTTGGTGACGATCCCACCGCCAGAAGACCCGAAACGAACCGAGGTGGTGCGGGAGGACGACACGATATTCCAGTTTGCCGAGGATGGCACTGCGCCGGCGCCAGAAGCCCCAAGAATCATCCTGGACGAGCCATCACTGGATTTGCTGAAGGGCAGCAAGGTGGACTTCACCCAAGAGTTGATCGGAGCGCAGTTCAAGATCGTGGACAACCCTCTTGCAACGTCCAGCTGCGGCTGCGGCACAAGCTTCGACATTAAGGCATAGATACTCAGACTGTACACATATCACCGGCATTAATTATCAACCTATAAAAGCCATTGTACTTGGGGATTACGCAAGCGATGGTGCATCACAATGAAGAACAAGGGACTAGTCACGTAGATGGTAGCTCAGTGTCATTCATCATGGAATCAATTCCAACCTAGGTATTGTCCCTGTTAACGCCGAGCAACCATGCCAAACCCAATTTTTTCAAGGACCAATCCGTGTCATCATGTGGTTAGAAGTAGAAGCAAGAGCCTAGTTCATCTGGCGGATGAGACGGTTGATGGCCTCCTCGCGGTTGCCAAGGTCACCACCCTCGATGAAGTGCTTGAACTTGCGGGGACGGAAGCCACCGTTGGGGTTGCTGAGCTTGAAGGGCCAGAGGAAGTTGGAGGCCTGCTTGAAGTTGGGGCCGACGGTGTAGATCTCGTGGATGAGATCCTCCATGCAGACAATGCCGTACTGGCCGAGGTTCTCCTCGATGATGGCGTTGTCGGTCAGGGCGACGCGCTGCTTGTTGACCTTTCCGTAGCCGCGCTTGTAGATGAGCTCCTTCACGGACTTGAGGTTGGGGTAGCCGTAGGCGATCCAGGGCTCGACAACCTTGAGCATCTCTGTGGTGGCCTTGGTGACCTTGATGAAGACACCGTTGTTGATCTGAAGGAGACGCAGGAGCTGGAGGATCTTGCGGGGCTTGGGGGCAATCTTGTTGATACCCTTGATGCGGACCACGAAGATCAGGCGGGCCTCAGCAGGGACGTAGGCAGAGTCATCCGTGCGGGCAGCGCGGGAAAGGCGGATCTTCTCACGCTCCGCATCGCGATACTCCTTAACATACTTCTCAGCACGCTGGAAGATGACTTGGCGCTTCTCCTTGGAGCCCTGATGAAGCTGTTAGCTCTAGTTCGCCACACGCTGATGCAGTTGGCGATATGAATGTGTGCGAGGTGTTGTGTCAGACCCGAAAGAAGGTTAACTTTCAACAGCATTGACGTGTAGTCTAGTTGAAGAAATGTGTTGTGCATCATGTTGCTGTTAGGGAGGCAAGACTGTGAGGGGAGTACGTACGGCCTTCTTCTTCTCCTGGGCGGCGGTGCGCTCCGCGCGGGCCTTCTCCTGAGACTTGCGCTTCTTGAGAAGGGTCTCAGGGACCATGATCTGGTCGTTGGTGGGGACGGTACTGTGGCAAGAGATTAGTCTATAGTCCAGCATACGGCCTCTTTGTTTGAAGAGGGTCGTATGGAGTAGAGCGCCGGTTGCGAGAATTGCAGCTAGGACATTCTGGCGTTGGCTAACTCGAGATGGATTTGATCGATGAGACCACGGTTGGGAGGGCACATGTTTCTATGCGCGGTCCAGACGTTTGCTCTCAATCGACAACACCCCGAATGAGAATTCAGGAAAGATGGAAGGCTGATGACGACAGTCCATGGTGTTTTCAACCATGAACACGCAATCGCCGACGATACATTTGAGAGAGAAGATTGCTCTTCATCTCCAACACCTCAGAAGACCATCTCCCTACCGTCAAGCTATATTGCAAGCAGGCACAGATAGAGGGAGGTATCCGAGAAGGGTATCGAGCTGGCGGTCAAGACCTTTTCGAGGTTCAATGACTGTTTCGCCCAGCGAAGAGGACCACGATAATCTGCGAGGGAGGGATTCGTAACCGGCAAAGCTCAATCCATGACCGTCGACACAACAATGGCTCCGTTCAACGAGTGGTAACATACGTGGAAGACATGTTGGCGACGTTCGGCTGGGCGAAAGATTGTCGGGTTAGTACAAGGAGTTGTCGGTCGCTTGGAGAAGGGAAGGGGAAAAGATTCACCACAAGAGGCTCGTGAGGAAAAGCGGTCGTGGTGGACTTTTTGCGCAAGTGGTGGGTCCAGCTCCACCAATCCCGTGGCGGCCACTCAAATTTCCAGCACCTTAGGGTAGGGCTTCATTCCCCCACCACCAATTGCCAGGCCAAATCTGTGCCACAAGTCTTTGTGCTGGGAAATATTCTGCCGCGCCCCACCGCCCGCGGGCTCGCAGCCCACCTTCCCACCGGACCAATTTGGCAGGCATCACGAAACCCCCGGCCTTCGAATTTCCCTTTTCCCTTCGCAAGCCCAACGTCCCACGAGAAACCAGACGCCCAGCTCATTAAAATGCCTCCCAAGAAGCCCGCCCGTGCTCCCCAGGAGAACATCTCCCTGGGCCCCTCTGCCCGCGATGGCGAGCTCGTCTTTGGCGTTGCCCGTATTTTCGCGTCGTTCAACGACACCTTCGTTCACGTCACCGATCTCACGTTCGTCACACCCCTTCCCCGACAGACGGAGTTGAGAGAGAGAGAGAGAGAGAGAGAGAAGCTCGGGAGCTAATCAAGTTGATCACAGTGGACGCGAGACCATCACCCGTGTCACTGGTGGCATGAAGGTCAAGGCCGACCGTGACGAGTCCTCCCCTTACGCTGCCATGTTGGCTGCCCAGGACGTCGCCGCCCGCTGCAAGGAGCTCGGCATCAACGCTCTGCATATCAAGATTCGCGCCACCGGAGGTACGTGTCTTCGTGGGACTCGGCCAGCGACCAATGGCTAACAAAGACGACAGGTAACAGCACCAAGACTCCCGGCCCCGGTGCCCAGTCCGCTCTCCGTGCCCTCGCCCGTGCCGGCATGAAGATTGGCCGCATCGAGGACGTCACTCCTACTCCCTCCGACTCTACCCGCAGAAAGGGTGGTCGCCGTGGTCGTCGTTTGTGAGCGATCGGCTGCCGGTTGGGAAAGAAAATGGTTGGAGGAACGGCAGCAGCACTCTTGTGTGCTGGTCAGGGTGGACTTATCGCTATCTGGTTTCTCTTGTGGCGTTGAGAACAAACGCGGAGAACGGCTTTATCGCCTGGTCTCCATTCTACCTCGCCGCGTCATCACGATGCTGGTGGGCTGTAGACAGTTATGAATTCGCCCGTTGAAGGCCCATGAAACGACATTTCCTCCCCTGCCTGGCTCTTGGGTGCCCCGTGATGATCATGATTTCACGTCTTCATTCATACGCACGCTTCTCAATTTGCGACATGTCAAATATTAGCAATGTATTTGTGTGACGAAGGTTTTAGCGCAGAATCTGATGATCCTGTATCCGTAAAGTACCCCAAGTCTAACGCCGCGCTCTAGAATGCATATGCAAAAGAAAATGACCGTGGCCTCCCTATTTGAGGCCTGGTCTCAATGACCACAAAGACCTCCCGTAGCTTCCACGCTGTGAGATCTCTGCGCAAGTCTCGAGGGCTTTTCTAAACTCGGCATTCTGCTTCTCTGTCTTGCAGTACTGGCCGAAATGATCCACCAGCATCTTCGTCACGGCCTTGCCGCCCTGGCGGTTGATGAACTCCTTGATCAGGGGAACGAAGTCTTTAGCCTTCAAATTCTGGTTGGCACCGTTGCCGTTGAAGCCCAGGCCTTGGCGCTCAGCGATATTGCTCATCACGCCCGCTGAACTAGGCCCTCCTCTCCTCCTGTTCGCTGGTCGTTGCCCAACTTCCCCCGTCCAGGTGAGCTGGCCGATGGGTACCCTGTCAGCCTCGCGACTCGCGCGCTGCAAATGAGCCGCCGCTGAGCGGCTCTCGTCTTTTGCGGCTTGACGGAGATCTTTGATGTCGGGAGCGACGCCCTTGCCGCTGACAATGGTCTCATGGTCGTATGCGCTGCCCACAGTGCGTGCGAAGATGCCTTCCAGCATCCGCTTCTCGTCGTGGACAGATTTGGTCTCTCTGAACTCTTCCACGGTGGCAACTCCATTCATCTTGTCGAGTGCCTCCTTCTCATGGTCCTGGTCCTGGTCCGCTGCGGTCTTGCCTTCGCCAGCGTGCGAGCCCTTGGTTGGCTGCTCCGTGGAACTCTGGAGGTCGATCTCGGCGCCCTGGAAATGAACACCCCGTTGACCCGGAGCTGCATCACCGGGTGTAAAGCTGAAAAGATCGTACAGGTCAGACAAGTCATACGAGCTGCGCTGTTTGGGATCTTTCAGGACTTTGTTGGTCATGAACTGCTTGAAGATCTGGCGGTGGTAGATCTTCTCCTCAATGGTGCCCTCGGTCATGAGGCGATAGATCTTGACGGGTTTCGTCTGACCAAGACGCCAGGCGCGCTCGCGAGCTTGAAGATCCGTGGAAGGGTTCCAGTCGGGGTCAAAGATGATGATGCGATCGGCGCCCGTCAAGTTCGTTCCCAGGCCACCTGTGCGTGTAGTCATGAGGAAGACGTGGATTTCTGGGGTTTCGTTGAACTTGTCAATCATGTCCTGGCGCTGGTCGATGGGTGTGTCTCCATCCATGCGCACATAACTTATGCCACATTCGCGAATGCACTTTTCAATAATATCAAGCATCTGCTTGCCTTGGGAGAAGAGGAGCGTTTTATGCCCATTGGGGATCATGACCTTTGTTAAGAGGTCTTTGGTGAGCTGCAACTTAGCAGACATCCGGGGACTGCCGTAATCGTAGCCATGCTTGCCGCTCTTGCTCTTGTCTAGAAGGTCTGGGTGGTTGCAAATCTTGCGCAGAATGTCGATGCCGTAGAGTGACTGACGTCGTTTATCGAGAATGGCCGAGACCTCGTCCGACTTGAGGAATTCTTCGTACGCCTTTCGCTGTCCATCCGAGAGCTTGCAGAACAGCACTTGTTCAGTCTTTGGCGGTAGGTCGGCGGCGACGTCAATCTTCAGTCGTTGCAGCAAGTATTTGCTAATGGAGTCTTTGAGGATCTCAGCCCGCTGCTCAGCTTGCACGACTTGGAAATTGGAGGCATTCGCGTAGCCGCCTTGCTTGATGGGGATTTCAAACTGCTCTCGGAATTCCATCAAATTCCCGAGACGCATCGGTGAAATGAAATCGAACAGTGACCAGAGCTCGGTTAAGTTATTCTGCACGGGTGTGCCGGAAAGGATGATGCGATTCCGGGTGTAGAGCTGCTTGCAGGTGATGGTGATCTCAGCGTTTGGGTTGCGAATCTTGTGACCTTCGTCGAGAACCGTATACTCCCACTCGACGCTCTGTAGCTCGTCTGCATAGGTCTGCAAGCCCGTATACGTTGTGACAAGAACATGACCCTTTTCAACGACGCTGTTAACGATTCTTCGGACAGCTTTCGCACTGGCTCCCATTCTAGAGCCCTTCTTCATGGTGTCCAGATCAAAGTCATCCTCACGCTCAGGATTCATCATCCCACTGCCGGAGGAGTGCAGAATGGAAACTCGGAGAGGCGGCCACCAACGATGGAACTCGGTAACCCACTGCCGTAGCAGGGTCGCAGGCGCTGCAATGAGGACAGGCCTTTTCATCTTCTTGCTGTAGTGCAGTGCCGCGATCAGTGCTATCAGCTGGACTGTCTTGCCGAGGCCCATCTCGTCGCCAATGATACCACCAACCTGCTGCTTGTAGAGCTCAACGAGCCATTGCACGCCGGTGCGTTGGTAGCCAAAGAGTGTAGAGTAGATGTCGCCGGGCAGTTTGATCCTGTCATCAATAATGTGATCAGGTTTATCAGGGGCTGGCTTGAACCACTCCCTCTCTCCGGGATCGCTCTCGTAACCTTCCTGCTCTGTTCCCTGACGTCTTGACCGTCGCGCCTGGCTGCGTCTGGTGACCCAATCCTTGAGTCGCTTCTGGTAGATTGATTCGTTTCCGTCGTCCAGCCTGCTGAGATCCACCACGTTTGCACCTCGGGCTTTTGCCGTGGCTTTTGTCTTGCGCTTCTGCTCCCGAACCAGATCATCCTCGTTGCCTTGCTGCCATATGCCGACATGGGCATCAGCATCGGACGATTCAGCATCACTTGGCACGAATTCGGCAGTCGGACTCGAGTCTGGATCTTGTCTTTGCTTTTTCCTCGGACGCATGCCAAACTCATTCTGGGCAAACGTCGTTGTGTCGTCCGGCTTTCTCTTCTCTCGGGTAGCGTCCTCTGCAAACCCTGGTCGGCGCAGTTGCACGTGTGAGACCGGTCCTTCGTCATCTCCCTCATCTAGATCGTTGGTCGCAGCGTCGTCTTCGGCATCCAAGATCGCGCCGGCCAAATTGCCCTCCATTCCGACGGGGCGTGGTCCGCCCACATTCGCAAAAGGTGTGATCTTTCCAGTTCGCACCAAGAAGTCGCGCTTGCTCTCTCCTGGGTGTCTCTGCGATTTCCCGCCTTGCTCTTCGACGGCGACTTCTTCGTTGCGCTTCTTCATGCGCGATTCGAAGTCGGCAATGTCACTGTCGAGTTGCCGGATCTCAGTTTCCAGATCGTCGATGACTGGTTGTATTTGTCGAGTCTTGTAGGGATTGTTGACCCATTTCCTGAGCTCTATCTTCTCTTTGTCTAGTTTGTTTTGCACCCGCTGGCGGGTTGCTTTGAGCTTGTCGATGCGGTTCTGGTCCTTCTTGTCCTCCTGCTCGGCCAAAGCTGCGTTGGCTTGCGCGGTGATATCGCGCTCCAAGTCGTCTTGGTCCCTGACGGTGCCAGCCAGGTCCCGCAAAGCGTCGTCCTCGTTCATGCCAGCTACCTGAGGCGTGGTTGCTGCGTCTTCGGGTTTGGACTCTTCCCGAGCCAGCTTGGCGATTCTCGAGGTGATATCGCCCTGGCCCTCGCCAGACTCTGTCTTCTCATTATTGGAGGCCATGGCGACTTCGAGAAGCGTTCTTTATGCGATCGAACTCGCGGTTGTCATCAAGAAGCAGCGCAGCAAAAAGTGAGTATCAATCTGCTTTTCTACCGCATAATCCCCCCCCAACGTCGTTCAAGTCGCGACCGCCCTTTGTTGGGTGTGGAAGCGATGAACGTTGGTGGATGTCGACCGTGAATTTGCAAGTGTAAGTGAAAAAGGCTGACGGTGATGGTTGATCAATGATGACGCATCGGGCGATTTGCAGGGAGAAGCCAAAAGAGGCAACGCTCGCTGCACAAGTCTTTGCATAAGCCTGGTGCCTGGTGGCCGGCAGAAGGGCTTCGGTGATTGGCTCCGGCCCGTGTGCATAACTTGTGCATCTTCATCACCCACGTACGTACAAACGAAGGCGGCACTTGAACGACAACTGAACAAACTTGAGCACAGGCGTCTAACTTTCTGAAGGAGTAGAACACCTCTGACACAGAGGTCTCCAATGTCTCTCTCTGTCGCTCTCGTCTTGAGTAGACCTCGCCCCGGGATGCTGACAACAAGGAGCTCTGTGTCTCTCTTCTCACATCTATACTTCAGAAGCCACACGTACTCCAGCGCGCCAAGATCACAGTATACATGTATGGCGGCAAGACCCCCTCCGTCATCTCCGCAGCCACCATGGCTCTCTCGCATTCTCGCAGACACTAGTTCTTCTCCCAAAGTCTACTCATGGTCGCCCAGTCCTCTCCCAACCTCCCACAGCTCAGACCCAAGGAGGATACACATCCTTGGCGTCGGGAACATCGGCCGCCTCTACGCGTCTCATCTCAGGAAACACGCAGAGCTACCGCCAATTACCTTGATCCTCCATCGAGCAGAGCCCCTGACAACGTGGACAAGCAATCCCGGGATCGAAATCACCCGCCCTGACGGGCGCGTCGAGAGAACCGCCGCTGGTCTGGACGTGGAGTACTGGACGACATCGCCACCTGCGCACGGGTACTCAAAGGAGATTCCGCCAGTGAGGAATCTCCTCATCGCCACGAAAGCGTCAGTCGCCCTACCAGAAGCGGACAGGCTCCGTGGCTATCTCGACGCGCAGAGCACCGTCGCCTTTGCGCAGAATGGCATGTCCAAGCTGTGGCCACCCCATGGTGCCATGTACACATCCCACCGCTACGGCGAGGAGCACACGCCAAATTTTGCCCACTGCATCACTACGCACGGCGTCATCTCGCTGGGCGATTTCAGGTCGCGACACGCCTCGCTGGCCGACGCAAAGGCCGGCCTCGTCCTCCCGGGGGCCAGGCCGGCTGAGTCAGACTACCTGCTCGACATGATCACCTCGGCCCCGGGTCTGCTCTCGAGGAGGGTCGACAGGCAAGACTTGTGGGTGTTGCAGTTGGAGAAGCTGGTGGTCAACTCCATCATCAATCCTCTCACGGCCATCCTTCGACAGAAGAATGGCGTGCTCTTTGACGACGAAGACGGCATCCTGTCACGCGCCATGGACAGGTTGCTCCGCGAGATGTGTGCTGTCTACCAGTCTCTGCTGCAGCACGACAGTACGACACCGCTTCTGGCGTCGGAGGCCGGCGATGTGGGTGCGGCGAGGGAAAGACTCGCAGAGCGATTCCGGTTCGAGAACTTGAAATCCATGCTCTGGAGCGTTGGCTATCGCGTCGGGGAGAACTCGAGCTCTATGCTGCAGGACGTCCAGGCCGGCAAGAGTACCGAGGTTCGTGATTTCAATGGCTGGATTGTCGACATGGCCAGCTTCCTTGGCGGCGGTCTCGACACGTTGGCAAATCAGCGCCTCATCGGCTTGGTGGAGGATGGCCAAGTATTGGACGCACCGGCGCTCGCTGACAGACTTCTGTCAAGATGACAGTTCTAACGAGCAATGATTTGACATGTGCGGTGATCCACAAAGTTCATTTATTCAACATGTGCCAGCCAGCCAAGCTGATACATTCCCTGATGTGCTGAATCTCGTACTGTGCTCGGAATCCCCCTTTTATTAAATATAGTTCCCCAAGCGCCTCCCCGTACGTCCTCTTCTTTTCCAATACTAAGCAAATCCTCCATTTCTCTCCAGATCCCACTACCTGGTATCGAATTCCAACCGCGCACACTCCATTGCCCAAAATCTATTATCGATCACGCTAAAGACCATTACATGTATCAAACAGAAACCATTACCTCCGCCGTTGCGGATCAATATTAAAACAGCCAACCCCCCACGACACTGTCCAAAGAGTTGATAAAAGAAAGATAGTTGTGCCACCCGGTCCAGTCTGGCGTCGAACGCACCGAAAGCGGCCCCCCTTTCGTGTCCATGTGAGCGTGAGCCTGTATGTGTAGTGTCCGTGATATAAAGCAGCGTAGCGTAGATCATTCGCATGATCCATGTCGTCGTGATTCGTCGTGATTCATAGACGGAATTAGGAAAGTACGGGCGTATGGTAGTGCGACGCCTCGTGCGCAACGGTCTGTCTGGTCGATGGATGTCTTGCGGTGGCCGTATCACTCTTCAGCCCAGGGGCACATGGGCGTACATAGTCTCGGTCGGCTCCACGAGTGAGGTCTCAGCCTCCTCCGGCGAGGAGGCCAGCTCTTCGAACTTTGCCTCACCGTGCTCCCCCAGAACATAAAGCTCTTCGGCCCTCTCGCGACACGCCGCAGGCGTGAACCCAGGTCCCAGCTTCGTGGAGACGATCCGCCACTTCTCTTGTTCATAGTCGTTCAAGGCCCCGCGGAGCTTTTCATCCTGAGTTTGTCAGTATCACCAAAAACGAAACAATCAGGCAACGAGATACCATACCATGTCCGGATTCCACTGCTTGGTCTTCGCCTTGAGCTTGGTGCAGTAGCGCACCTGCAGGGTGCCCGAGGAGCGGCCAGGGAAAAAGTCGGCGATTTGCTTCCACGTCAGGTTCTTCTGCTCCTTGAGCTCGATGAGCAGCTGATCGTCTTCGGCCGTGAACTTGAGCTTGGGTCCCTTGGGTCGGGGCGCCGGCTCGGGCATCCCCTCCTGACCAACGACACTGGGCGCACCGCCAATGTCCTCGCGGCGCATCATCTTGGCCGAGGGCTCGGAATCGGGCAGACGGTGGTGGTGGTGCGTGGGATGCGAGAGAGACAGGCTTGCTGTGCCACCAGCGGCCTGTGCGTATGTCTGCCCTAGATGCGCCTGGTGTAAACCAGCGAGGTTGACATGGCCCATCTGGTGCAAGCCGTGGAGGGGGACGTCGAGACTGTCGGATCGTGGTCTCTTGAGGCTGTTTGGGACCTGATGGGCCTGCGATTGCGTGGAAGGGGCCATGTGTTGGTACATGGGGCTCATCATCCCGCCAGAGGTCTCGTAGTGGCTCGGTTCGATTCGAGCATGGCCCATGCGCGTCGCGTCCATCATCAGGTGCGGCGGATGCTGATGGTGGTGATGCTGGTGATGGTTATGCGCTGCCGCCGAAACAGATCCTCCTGCTTGCACTTGGGGGAGGCCATGGGGACTGCCGTGGGCTCCCTCGTGCTGCAAGACGCCATGATCTCCTTGGTGCTGCACTGGGTGCCTGTACTGTTGCGGTTGCGTGTACTGCTGGTGGTGGTGGTGTTGCTGCTGCTGCTGCTGCTGGCTGGGCGAGCCGTAGCCCGGATGGTGTTGGCTTGACGTGGCCATGTGGTGCTCCCCGTGGTCGTGGTATTCCACATGGTGTCCGATGCTGGTGTAGTCGCCCGCCACCCTCGCGTCGACACATGGGACCTGCCCGAGCGCGGCGCTCGAGGTGGTCGCTGTAGCGTGGGATGGAATGATCAAACGATTCGGTGCCCTCTCGGGCAACGCAAAGGGATAATTTTGGGGGAAAAGAGCGAGCACCTTGAGTTGTGTGGTGCGCCGGGTCGGGGTTCGATGCCGCCCAACGTCGTCCGCCCTGTCTATATAGCTGAGCCGATATAGGCTTGCCGGAGCCCACGCGAGCGCTTCGCGAGGTTGAGCACAAACGCGTTGGGGGAAGTCCTTTCGGAATACTCGCACTCATGTGCCTGAAACGTGAAGCCGTGCTGTCTGAACTTCTGAACCCGGGAACTAGTTGCAGCCGACAAGGGCCTGTTCGGAAGAGCGAATGTGCGGTTTGAGATGACGCTATCCGTAGAAACCGGAGACGTCAAGTGTCGATGGATGGGCTGGCTGCTTGGGCTGCGCTGGGCTTGTGGTGGTATTCCTTGCTTGTCTGCCGTTTCAGATGCGGCCCTATCATCCAATCCCGCGTTCTCAAGTGACGAAACGTCGACAGTAGTGAAATGGTTAAACGAGTGACAGTGGGCAGTGGTGTAAGCGTTCAAGAGTGGACGGCAAGTTGGTTCAACGTCGCATCCTGGAGACACCTGTTGCTGCTTGCTTCAGAAGGAAGATGGAAGAGAGGGCACCAGGATGGTATGTATATGTGTAAAGGGCGATATCAGCTCGCCGGGTATCCATCCCCACGATGGCTGAGAGAATCCCCTTGACACCATGCACGCCGAGGGACGGGCACATGGATGACCAAGATGGCGCCAGGGTCAGCATTGGGAACATATCTCGGTCATCTGCCTTCCCGCCGGGTCTGTGATGCCGGTTTTAGCAACAGGTACCTGCGTACATCGTAGTGTACAGTAAATCGCCGCCCGACTAGGACCCCTGAAGCAGTCTCGTGGGCCATGGCATGATGCAACCGGGGGGGGGGGAGGGGGGCCGCACAATGACTGACTGCAGTGTACCTATCAGCCACTACGTATCCGTACAGGCATGAAAAAGAGGACGGCTGCATGCTAGTCTAGTGCGGTGGATCTATCCGAGCCTGGTTCATGTTCTCTTTGGACGTATTGCTTGGATTGTTAGATTTAGGCAAGAATTCGAGTACGTGGCGGCGCGTCACTGCGTGGAAAGCGATCCCCAACTTGCGCGCGAATTCTGGCCCAGACTTGAAACAGTCACTAACGTAGGAAGATGTACTCCGTACTCCTGAGACTGAGAGCAGGGCCAAGCCTCTCCTTGTCGGGGGCACTGCGTGCGCACAGAGCGCGAGTGATGAAGACTCGACCTGGTACGCGGAAAACGGTCGCCCGGCCTCGCACGCGTGAGACCCAGAATATAAAATTTCTGATCAGTCGACGCGATTGTGTTATTTCATCGGTGACACCTTTCAGCAGCGGGCGGTACGTCCGTACTAGTTGGTCTAATTATCAATTACTGCGTCCGGCAGGACAAGGCGCACCCCCAGTCTTCGGACAAGGATGTGCCGGCCTGCATAATACACCCATGTCTCCAACTGTCCGCCGACACGTGCAGGAAAGCTGGACTGGGCGATGAGTACCCATTGACGGCAATTTCTGGGACGCATACCAAGGACCAAGGTGGATTTTCGTATTTCGTTTGATCCGAGTTGAGGGACGGGGGCTCTTTTCTGACGGTGACTGTCCCGGGCAAGGCTACCTTACCTTACTTTACTGTAATCAGACAGACTGGAAGAGAGGCGACAAAATACGTGTACCCAGCATCATCATCAACTGGGATGCACGTCATCCTGGCCTTACGCTTGCTGATCGACAGCAAGCCATGCCTGCCTGCTATACCCAACGGTGGCGAACATTGATTGAATTGAAGGCAGTGGAGGGCGAGTCTTGTCTTGGACTTGCACGCACCGGCCAGTACGTACGTACAGATGCTGAGCCTGCCTGGCTGAACTGCGCTTGCATGCTTGACATCTTTCTTTGGTAAGCATAAGTCAGCACAGGCGACCGCTAGGTTGTCCGTCGCGGGCATCTGATCTACTGTCCACTTCCATCTAGACACGATCTCCGCTCCTTCTAAAATTGCGGAGATGCTCCCTACTTGTTTGTACTGCGTGGGTGAGCGCAAACTGCAGTTCCGCCACAGTGGCCGCCGTCTGAACTCTGAAGCGCCTCGATCTGTCTGGCAGTTCGTTCTGGTGTGGTGTTCTGTACGGCACGGGGCGGCTCGATATCGGTGGACTGGTGTCTCTCTGGCCCCAGATGAGGGCGGGTCCCCCGCGAGCTAGCTTGACGTTAGCGACGTTCATCGAGTCTTGACAGTTGACAGAGACGGGGAGAGAACCTGGCTTCACGGCCTTCCGTGTCCATCATTGGTCGACTGGCGTCGGCGACTCAGCGCTGTGCATGGAAGACGGGGCGTGATGGGGCACCGTGGTGGTGGTTTAATAACACAGGCGAGCTATCGTCATGACACCCAAGCCAAGCCCAGCAAGGGTCCGGCCTTTTGTGAGCGCCTATCTGGACTGGGAGACTTGGGAGTGCTGACATGAGCTATATGTACTTTTCATCGTAGTGAATGGACAGGTACGCAGTAGGCTCAGTACTCTGTAAGTACGTCGTCGCTCATTGATTAGTCTCAGTGCGCCGCCACACGTGTCCCTCACTGGAGGTATAAAGTTGCTGTCTGTATTGACTACACCAGACCGTACAAACGCTCAACCAATTGAATACCTTGCTCCCAGTTACTACTACGCACGGCCTAGATGTATTCTGGCCGCGGTGATAAGTTCCCACATGTATAACGTACTCGAATAGGCACCGTTGACCGATCACGTCGCCATCCTCTGCAGGCAACTCCAGCCACAGCTAATAATACACAACCGCCACGCGCTCCCTATCGCTCCAATTGGAGTGGCCATCTCGTTTTGATCCTGGATAATGGATTCCTGCCCGTGTCCGCCGTGTTCGTCGCCCTCTTCCGTCCCCTGCACCCGACACCCGCAGCACGACCACCCATCCACCTATCCCCAGTGGATGGGACTCAGGGATAGTAGACGGTGGTGATCCGCGCGGCATGCCAGGTTGCTGTGCTGTCAAGTGCTCCAGTGGCACATGCAGGCTTGGCAAGTGCCAGAGTGGTATTCGTGCTCGGTGCTCACTGTTCATCGGACGTACGTTGTAAGTAGCTAGCTGGCAGCGGTAGGAAACAACATCCCGCGGACAGACGCACGTAGGGTTTGTTGCGCCTACTTGCAGGCTACAGACGATGCCATGTACGTATGTAGTAGGCACCCCGTCGCCCCGACTGGCCCTGCCAGAGTCGATCGCAGGCTGCGTTTTCAATCTAAATTTATTATCCAATATACGGATATTGCGTACCGTATCTTTCGCTGCATCTTCTCCTCGGTCTGCCAGGAGGCTGATTGATGATCGTGGAGTCGAGGACCAAGGGGGGTGGTGGTGGTGGTGGCTGGTGGTTCCCCCGCATGAACGCATAAACAAGCCCAATTTAACGTGCAATTTCGTCATGGTCCCAATCCCCATCCCTAAGGCAGGCAAGCAAGGTACTTTCTGCGTACACCTTCTCGAACCCTTCTCGAAAGATCAATCACATCTGGTGAGCCCTGGCCTGACGAGGGCCAGCATTCACGCATGAGGGTACGCAATCAGCGCTGGGTTCAGTTCACGAATGAGCAGGGTCTATGGAACTTTGGATGATCAATCAATAGGATTGCCTGACTAAGGTACGTGGACACGGAATCTTGACCGTGTTGGGCTAGACAATGCAGAGAACTAATAAAACTAATATCGACAACATACAACAGGAACGTACATAGTCTGCCTTGAGCCTCTGCAAAAAAACATAGAAACAAAAAAAACGCCTTGTCCCCCTTCTCTCGAGATTATGTGTTCATGCCAAAGCAAATAACCGCAATTTGACCAGATCGATATTCTTCCCATCTTGTACACTCTTCCGTGAGGACGTCCATGCATGCATGGCTGCACTACTCAAAGTTGTCCTGCCTATCGACCCAAATGTCCTCCAGCTCGGCAAAGCTCTGGAAATGGACGGGCCTGTGCTGGTCGCTGTAGTACGACCGCGGCGTGTCCAGCTTCACGTGCACGGGCTTCTTGACCATGCCGTCAAACGCGCTACCCATGAACGTGTAGTTCCACCGGCCGTCCGTCGGCACCAGGAAGAACCCCTTGAATCGGGGACTCAGCAGCAATTTCCGCTTCGTTCCCATCGTCGTCGAGAACCCCTGTGGCTGGTCGCTCTGAATGTCCTTGTTCTCGGCCCCCCACTTGTAGCCGTCCGGCGTGAGGCCCCACGCCGACAGCGACACACTACCGGGCGTAAATGCAACCGACACGGTGGCCGTGCTCGTCTTGTCCCACTCCTTGTGGCTGTCCAGCAGATGCGCGTGCTCCGTCACGTCGGCCGCCGACATGTACGGCAGTTCGTTGCCAGACACCGTGTGGATGATCCCCAGAGGTTCCATATCCTGCAGGAACTCGCTCTGCGGCAGCTGCTGCGGTAGCTGGACGTTGCGCAACCCGCCGATCTGGGGGATCATGACGATGCACCTGATTTCCTTCACGTCCTTGTTGTCTGGGGGCGACGATCCGTACAGGTACCCGGCAATCTGGGTGCGCAGGTCCGCAATGGTGATGAACCGCTTGAGGATGTTGTTGGGCATCACGTAGGTAATGTCATTGTCGTCGCTGTCGTCGACAGACGAGACGTAAATGTTCTTGGCGCGCGTCCGCAGGTTGGATGTGGCTATCGCTCGAGTCCTCCACTCTGTCTTGGACGCAAAGGTCTGCTGCTCGTGCTGCGATGTTGTGGTCACAATAATGTCCTCTCCGTGCACATTCTGCGTCTTGGTCGTGACCGCCGTGAGCTGTGCCTGTTCTTGCTGCTGCTTCTCGATCTCGGTCGCCTGCTGCCGTTGCATGGACGGCGCCGAGATCTCCATGCCCAGGATGATGTCGCGGACTTCACTGCTCGTCAGACTTGACACGTTGACATTGTTCTTCTTGCCATAATCGTTTAGGATTAGATCGCGAAGCTGCGTCTCGACCTTGATCCAGTCCTCGTCCGACAAGGACGGCCAGATGTGATGCTCTTGGGTGATCACCGTCTTGTCGGGACGGAGGATGAGCTTGGTCTTGTCCGGGTTGACGTGCAGCGCGCGAAGAATGAGAATCAGACGCGAGAACGCAGTGTACGAGGATATGCTCTTGAGCCAGTCGTCATACAGGTTGAAGAGAACCATCTGCGGCTCTGTCGCGCGCAGGATCATGTCGCCCAGCTTTTCCACCTTCATTGCAGCCTGGAAAGGCAGCTGCAGCTCCGAGGCGCGGATGGAAATGTTGGGGAAGTCGAGTAAGTGCACCTCGAGAGGATCCAGGAGACCCTTGCGGGTGACAATCAGCTGCTTGGGCTGCTCCTCCATGGGTAGCGACCGGATCAGTGCCGCAACTTCCTCGGCAGTCTTCCACTTGGCCAATTGACCGAGACGCTTCTGACCGGCCCAGACACTGGTGTGGATGATCTTCAAGAAGAGCTGGCCAGTGCGAGGGTTGAAGATGAAGATAGCACCGTTGATAGGCTTGGTTGTCAAGTTGCCCTCAAAGGTCTTGTGGATGGTCACACGGTACACGTTGGTGTCGTCAATGAACAGTTGCGTCTGGTTGCTGAACAGTTCCGAGTAGTTCTGCGAGTTCAGGAACTCCTGGTTGCTCTCCGAGGCGTACAGCTGCAGACCCTTGCGGATACGCTCGCGCAGAACGTACAGTGCAGGGTTCGCCTTCATGATCTTGGCCATGGCTTGCTGGATGAGCACCTTCAGGCCAGGGAAGTACATGCCGTAGGCAGAGTATAAGTTGTAAGCAAGATCAATGCCCACCATGAGACCGGTGGCGGAGGGGTAGATACTGGCGCTGTCGGTCGTGTAGTCCAGGTACTTGGCACGCGTGTATCGTTCAATGTCATGAGAATCGTAGTCGCCGTATCTCAGCTGCACGTCGATCCAGAATTTGTTGGTCGTTGTCGGCTCAATCACATCCTTGGTGTCGTGTAGCAGTGACGGCCGGGTCACATTCCACTTGTGGCTGGCAAACAGCAGAATGTCCGCACAAGAGCTGTTCATCTTGTATGATTTTCTGGGATGGATGGTCTCCTTCTGCACAGTCTCAATACCCAAGGACTCAAGCTCCTGGTCAAAGACTTGACACAAGTCCATGACCACCGACTCGTGGATCTTCTGCCACAAATGAGCACGGAAGATCTGAATGAGCGAGATTTTCAGAGTTGGGATTTTGCCGTGCAAGAAGATGCCAGTCAGATCCAGTTGGACTTGGAAACCGACGTAGACATTGGCACGGTTGATCGTGGGTGACCACCACAATGTGAAGCGACGGTTAGGAATCTGGTTCAGACCAGACCTCTGCGCGTTGGTCAGCTTCTTGAACTTCATGGACTCTTCAAAACCACTGTTGTGAAGCACCAGGTAGTCGTGACGGAGGTAGAGCTGATCTTTATCGACACGGAAACCAGCCCATTCAGTGACGTCCTGCTCCAGAGCGATGTTCTTGATCTCAAACCTATGTGTTTCACGGAAGGGGGCTTGCTCGGGAAGGCAACATTTGAAGAGGCGGTAGTGTGCCCTCTCTTGAGGAGCGAACGCTGCAAACTCAGCTGCTGTCATTTCGACAGTGGCGTAATGATCAGTCGCTGGCTCCGAGCTTGGGATCGGCATCTCTCCCGACTGATCCTGAGGACGTCCCGTAGATTTGTGAAGAACGAGAATGTGGTTGGGGGTGACCACGAGATCTTCTTGGCCACTTTCCATCGTGATACGATAGAGACGCTCTTGACCAGAAACAATATTGAAAGCACGACGAGGACCTCCGTCCGGTCCCAGAAGCAGATCACCTTCCTTGACATCCTCAACAGCGACTTGCGAATGGTCGTGCCGGAGGAGCATAGTACCCTTGGCCAAGCAAGCTTTCTCCCAGAACAGACCCTCCCAGGATGGGAAGCCAGTAGCCTTGAACAGGGTGTGCTCCAGGATCGTCTCAACACCACCCAGTGCTTGGATGACATCAGTTCGGTAGGCGTTGAGATTCCATAGCTTGCCATCGTGTCGTTGACTGGTCCACCAAAATGGGTTACTCTTCATCAGCTGGTAGATCTTGAACTCAGCGCGGGCCCTGAAGCCCTTGTCGAAACTGAGGGTGCTGCGGTCCTTCTGGAAGAGGGTGTTGATGCGGGGCAGGCCCCGATCCCAGCTGTCCTCCAGATCCTCAAGAGTCAGACGACGGTTCTGTTGATTGGCTTCGAGACGCTTCTGCGAGTACTCGGTCCACACGCGTTGGGAGTCAACAAATTCAGCTTCCCAGGGAATGATGTAACGGAAGATGTTGGGGATCAAAGTTTCCTCATCATGCGTCATGCCCGCGCGATAATGCGTGACGCCTGTATCAGTCTGTGCCGACCAGCGTTTGTCGCTAGCGGGGATGAGAATGTGTGAGCCCGAGATCATGCCCAGACCACCAAGCTCCTTTGGTGTGTAGAAGACCGCCGGGGGGAATCTCGAAGGCATCTTGGAGTTCAAGCCGATCTTGACGCGAGTCTGAATCTTGGTCTCGCACTTGACAATAGTGTCAAGCAGGCTGACAGTGGAAACAGCAGCTTCTCGATAGTACGTGAACAGAGCAATAAGTGCCGTGTTCCACTTGTTGGCAATCTTGGTGAAAGTCGTAGAACCAGACGACATCAGAATCTGCCTGATCCGGTTGTTGAATTTCTGGATGTCGTCGTGTGTGACCTGCAGGAAGGCGTGCGCTGTCCTCTCCTTGGTCGTGTTGTCCACGAGTGACCACACACTGTCCTTCACAGGGAACTCTCCAAGTTGGTTGCGGACCTTGGGCAGAATGCGCACTTCGAAACCACACATGGAGTACAGCAGGTTGGGATTGTCCCGGCTGTAGACGCTGACGAAGCTGTCGTCCCATTCAATAGTGGTGACAGAACGGGGAAGGCGATTCTTGAGATCCCAGAACACGGCACGACCAAGGTTGACATCGTGTCGCATGAGCCTCATGCGCGAGTCTCGGGGCCAGCATTTCTTGCTCTTGTACCCAATGACGTTCTCAAAGTTGGGATCGGGCTGCTCCGTCAAGAAGCGCTGGATGAGGTCTCTCGACTCCTCAGCTGTGAAGCGAAGGAAGACCCAAATCTTGTCAATGTACCGACTGTACAAGCGGATCGGGTGCCTTGTTTCGGTCTCCCGATCGCGGAACTGGAGGAACTCGTTGGGACTCTGAGGTGGCCCGGCGATCTCACTCGCACGTTGCGGGCCGAGCAGGAGCAAGTCCAGTACCAGGCCATAGAATTGGAACACGAATGCAGAAAACTGCAGCCCACGAATCATTCCAAAGCTATTGACATGGTTCATATCTTTGTATGTGAGCTGGACATTGTTCTTGGAAGTGATGTAATCAGCCAAGTTGTGGTCCATGATGAGGCGCAACAAAGAGTTGAGCAGGGTGAGCTCCATTTTCTCGTACACCTTGGACAACTCTGTCTCGAGAAGGACATTGCATTCGCCCTCCTCGGTCACCCACACACGATCGAGATTGTTGATCCCTTGAGCCCACTTGTACACGAGCAAAGGAGGTACTTCAGAATCAGAAGGCTTGATCCAGGCCGGAAACAAGTGTCGCTGATCAGCTTGATACCAGAGGTATTGATCGAGGTAGGCATCGCTGATCTTCTCAATGGGCTCAATGTCATACACCGGGTTGATAGTGCTATAGTTGTCGTTCATGTCAATGTTGACTTCCTTGAATGCGCGCTGTGTCAACAAGAACCGCTTGATGCGCTCGAGCGTCGTTCCAGGGCTATCGTAGGCCTGCTCAATTAAGGCCAGCTCCTCACGTTGGCTTTGATTCAACCGACCCTTCACAGAGTAAGCTTCTCTCAGTCGCTCAAGAGCGAGGATAAGAATCTTGGTATCATGCTTGTAGGAGACGCTGGGGAACGGAATGGGAGAAAACTTCCGAGACTCTAACCAGTGAACAGTTGTGGTGTAAATGGCGACAGCCTCTTCTGAAGAGACATATGGGCCGTCCTTCATGTGGTTGTGTTGGCGCTCTTGCTCTGCCTTAAGCCAAAGGCGAGTTAGACGACCAACATTCTTCTTGGCAACGGTCTTGTCGACAGTGGCGCCGCGACGGATGCGTTCACGGTTGTAGTGCGCAACCGAAATCCACCAGTCTGCCTTCGACTTGACATACCGGAGAATGATGTTCTCAATTGGGGCAGGGAGTCCAGGAACCTTCCATGGAATGTTGCTCTTCCAACAGCGCCAGGCTTCAGAAAGATGCTGCAGCACAGTGTTGACCTTGTTCTGCTTGATACCCTCAGGCATCATGTCCATCAAGTCCGCCATGACTGAGGCACGCAGCTCAAGATCGAAGTGTGACTCAACACGCTGTTTGGTGACTGTCTTGGCAACGCCCTTGCTGTGACGACCCTCGAATTGGCGTGATAACAGGTTGCCAAGCCATCTCTCAAGTAAAGGAATGATGCCTCTCATGAAGAACAACCACACCCTCCAGGCAGGGGCCCAGAACCCACAACCAGGACCTTTCCCTACTGGGCCAGAGTTGAAGCGGTAGTAGATCAGATGCTTCAAGTCTTTGCAAGTACGAATCTGGTGCATGAGTTTGTACTTGTAACGGTACATTCCCGTAAGCTGACCGACGTGGTTAAAGGCGTACAGGATGCCATCGGCTAGCTGAAACGCGTCGATGTTGCCTAGGCGATATTGGACCTGCGCATCAACGATGAGTTTCGTGAGCCTGAGGATCTCACGCATCAAGTGAAAGGCGTTTCCGAATCGTGACTTCTTTCGTTCCTTCGTTGTGAGTGTCTTGACTGGCTTCAAATTGAAGTTGTAGTCGAGGTGAAGGTAAGTGAGGTTCTTGCGATGGATCAAGAGGTTGAGCATGTTAAAACCCTGGCGGCAGACTTGAAGACCAGCTTCAACCCAGTCGATCGTGGTTTGCTGGAAAAATTTTGTCTGCTTCAAAGAACGCATCAGGTTCTGGTTGTTCTGCGCTTTGGGCTTCTTCTTGTGAAGTTCGTTCAACACAAAGTTCTTCAGAAGCTTCTGGTATGAGACACGGGTTTTCTTGGGAAGGTCGCCTGACGGGGGATGCTCAAGGTACCACTGTTTGATGAGTGGAACGTCCTGAGCGCGCACCATACGGCCGGAGCGTCGGTCAAAGGGGTACGGCGCCCACCAAAGCTCCACTGCTGAAGAAGTGTCATCGTTTTCCAAATCCTCCTCAGACAGGAAGGGCTCTGAGCCCGCAGGTAGCACAAAAGCATCCTCCTCGGGTTCCTCGTTGTTGCCTTTCCCGAAAAGCTCGTCCTCGAGCGATACATCGACGTTCTTCGTGGCGACAGTCCTTGAAGAAATTGGGTTGATCCGTCGATCGAAGTGGAAAGTCGGCAAATCGGGGTCGTCGGCGCGATTGAACACGATTTGAGGGTGAGAATGCCAGGTAAGATGCACGCTGCGTGGCAACGAGTTGTAGAGGTACGGATATGCCACCTTGAGCTCTGTGCGGATTGGCGCTCGGAAAATGATTCGATCAATTGCGTTGAACTCTCCAAAGTCTTCGTTATTAGGGTCAATGTCCTTGTACAAAGGTTCGAACTTAGGCCCTCCTGGCAAGGCCATGTTGAGCGCTTTGGCAGTCAAGAAGCCCTTCAGCTCGAACAAGTAGAAGTAGTTCTTGTCCACGACGTCGGAGACAAGTGGTCGACTCAGACGGAAGAGAGTCGCCATCTGCTGCAGCGTAAGGTTCCATGACTTGTAACTCGGGCCGTTCACGTGAGGCGTGTCGAGCAGAGGCTGATGATCGTAAAACCATTCGTACACAGCATCGTCTTCCTCCTCATTCAGCTCCATCTGGATGGGCTCTAGGGGTTCGACGTCTTCGATGTTCTCGGACCATGACAGCGGCGGCTCTTCGTCGTCAAATGGTGGAAAGCGCATACGCTTGAATAGTCTTCGGTCTGCCTTCTCTTTCCTCATGAATGTCCACATCATCGCCCATTGGGCAAAGAAAACAGGTTCAATCACGCGGGGTATCTCATTGACCAGCGTAAGACAGCCATTAACGTGGTAAAGCACCTTCACTTCACGCGCGGACTCCCAGGGCATGGGCATGTTCTCGAGAAGTTTGAGCACAGCGTGAGGCATGAACTTCAAAGCACCGAGGTAACTCCTCTTGTCGTTGGTGTACTTCTTTTGCGACACATCGCCAATGTCCTTCACAATTTTGCGCAGGTGCTCCGGTGGCATATCAGCCTTCTGTGTCTGTACGAACCCGCCTTTGCGCTTTTCTCCGAAGCGGTTTCTTTGGTTCCGAAGCCATTCCTTCTTCTTCTGCGCAAACTTGGCAATCTGAGGGTCGGTCGGTGGTCGGTAGCCAGGAGGTGGTGGCGCTGGGGGCGCTGGTTCTGACGGAGGCGGTGGCAGAGAAGAAGGCGGAGGTGGAGGAGGGGGCGCGCCCCATCCTGGGGGTGGAGGTGGTGGTTGCGCCATGTCGAATTCCTCTCCGAGCAGATGAGGCCTTGTGAAAAATCGAGGTCGCGCTTCACGCCGTCGCGCGACTGTGTCGACGCGTGGTGGTTGAGGATTTTCGCAGTCGGATGTCGAAATTTCCTGCAATATCAAGACGATTAATCCAGGATGTTCAATGACAGCCTGTCTCGCAAAAGCGCGTTGCGACGACCAGGGTTTGGGTTGATGAGTGAGGCAGACTCTCGTCGCCTTCCGTGACGACAATTTTCTGGTCGATGCATGCCTCTGGAGGGAGCTAGCGTATCACGTGATATTGTTGTACTCATCTCGTACCAGGCCAGACCTCGAGCCAAAATAGCTTAATTTATATGTTTGGTCGACCATCAGATAGTCGGAAGCCGAATCATTCACCGTCGTAGTAATGTGCTTTTTTTAATATAGTGATCCGGTAAGGACGGCATTAATTGCGTTGTACCGGTAGCTCCAACCTGTGTTTTCGGCATTGATCCCTATCAAAGTGAATATTATTATGGTTGTCGCCATTGATAAGTAATTCTAAATCCGCTTGTCGCCACATTGCGCGAAAGACCTTTTAAGTGATAAGATGTAATCTTAGAGTTCATGAACGGTATCGATCTATAAAATGGTGCTATTGCTCATTCATGCCTTGATATCTCGCCTCATGTGCGGCGGGAATGTCAGTGCAGGGTAGGTGATGGGCTCATGATGTCTATCCAATAGCAACTCGCGTGTATGATTAGTCAGCGATTGTGATCCAGCCTCAATCCATTGCTGGGTCCATTGACTCTGTTCGCATGCCGTTGAAACGCTCCTCACCATTCGCAATTCTGCCGTCAACTACACATTCAAGATGGCTGAAATGAGTTCGTCCTCCGAATTACCTTCACGAAAGCTAATTGCTAACCATTGACCTCAGAATTCCGCCCCGAGCCGGCCTTCCAAAAGCTGGCGGGTTCGTAGTCCCGTTGACGAACCGATAGCGACAACAATGCTAACACGTCCTCGAATAGCCATGCAGAAATTGCGACACCACTACTTCCGATGGACTCCCCGAACTGCGCGCATTACATTCATCTACGTTGCTGTGATTCCGTCGATCATGGGCTACGTTGCCTACCAGACCGACGTAAGTCAGAATGCACCTACGAACCCGCAACTGAATAGGCTAACGATGAAAAGGGTCTGTGGGATCTGCGAGCAAAGCGCAAGGGAGATATGATGAGGGAGAATTAGATTGAGACGAGGCGCGAAGCAGCGGCCGTGTACATACAAATACCTCGTGACAATCGATAGCAAATCCGTGTACAACGCCGCAAATGATCCTGGAGGAAACGAGCGGAGTACTGCTGGTACTCACACTGTTTGTTCTGCGTGCGGTTGCTGTCTACAGCCGAGGAACAGAACATCCCGGGGCTCCCAGACCTTCCTTTTTAATGCAATGCCTGCTCTGAGGTTTCATGCACGAGATGTTCAGGACCTGGTCAAGTGCGCCATTATTCACTCCCATCCCGAGTCACTTTGTTTTGCCGGGACAGTCCGGCTTTTGCAAGGCTTTTCAATTGCACGGTACTAGTGAAGTAACTCCTCTGAAGCGGCCTCATCAAGTTCCAAGGGTCCCGTGTGACTGAGCCATCTGCTAGTGGTGATAATGCGGCATACGAGCTCGAGCCACCCGCAATGGGCTTTGCATCATTTGATTGTTCTTTGTTAATCTCCCATTGTTAGAGTTTCTTCCTCATCACATAGCTTAACTCCTGGCCCACCGTCCCCTGCCATGGTGCTTAAGAGCTTTTCGAGAGTACACTGTTGTGGACATACTACCAATGAGACTGATTTTGATTTCCTCAGATTGTAGTCGAGCAGCTGAACGCAAGTAGCGTGCTTACCTGTAGGCATCAGAAGTTGAGCAGCTACTCACTCTCAAGCCAGTGTCAACTCCATATGGTAGTCCTAAAAAAAAGTATAGGCAAGCGTAACACGTTCATTGGCGATGGTGCATATTGAGACATCATTATATAAGTAATGCCTGTGATTCACTGCACCATACACATGGACGATTCCTTAAGATATCTCAGGTAGTTCGCGGTGCGCACATGTTGTGATGGTGCTCGCGACGTGCCTCGCGCGGGCAGCTTCCGCACTAAATTCCGCCGCTGCCCGTAAAGTTAATTTCAGACATGCTCAATGTTTGTCCACCTACACCACGCACTATTACGGACTCTGCATACCATCTCGAAGCCATCGCACATCTCGCCGCAACATTTGACACTGTCAACGACTGCATAAAGTCGGAGCCATGGACTTCGCCTCGTTGATGAGCAAGGAGCTCGGCAAATCCAAGAAACCAACCTCCGGCGCCGGCGACTCCTCGACAAAGAAATATCAACGCCGTGCAGAGATCGAAGCCGAACGACAAGCCGCCTACGAGGCCGAACAGAAACGTCTCAACGATCAGAGAGAAGCTCAGCTAACCGCCAAGCGCAAGGCTGAAGATGATGCGGCAGCGGAACGTGAGGCACGGGAGGAGAAGAGACGGAAATTAGCTGAAGAATCGCGCAGGAGACGGGAAGATCAGGAATGGGAGGAGGAGCAGGCTAGGCGAAAGCGCCTTGGCTTGAAGGAGAGGGCCAGGACCGTCTGCGAGGAAGGCGATGGGGATCGCGTCGCAGACGGAGAGGAGGACATCGCCGAGGCAGAGCTCGTCGCCAAGCTGAGAGAAATTGGACACCCTGTTTCTCTCTTTGGGGAGGGCCACGCTGCGAAGCTGCGGCGATACAGGGCCCTGACTACGGTTGTTACCGACGGGCCGATCCCTACGACACTAGAACCGGTCGAAGAGAAGGACATGAAGGTCCACGCGGGAGACCCCGTTGACAAAGATGCTCGCAAAATTCTGTACAGGAAATTGGCCAGTTACTTCACAATGGTATTGCGAGAGTATCAACGAGCCATGGATGCTGAGAAGGAAGACACCACGGCCAGCCGGAATGCCTACGCTACAATGGTGCAGACACGAGAAAACCTCAAGCCGGTATGTCGAACGGAAATGCCTGGCACTCGCAATACTAAAATCTATAGCTTTTCCGCAAGTTTGAGAAGGATGACGTGGAGTCATCTTTACTCAAGGCCATCTCCGAAATCGTACAAGCGTTACAAGAACGGCGTTACGTGGATGCAAACGATGGCTACTTGCAACTCAGCATTGGGAAAGCCGCTTGGCCGATTGGTGTGACCATGGTTGGCATCCACGAGCGTAGCGCTCGCGAAAAGCTTCACGATGGCCAAAAAGGCCACGTGATGGGTGATGAAGTTACGAGGAAGTACTTACAGAGCATCAAGAGGTGCTTGACGTTTGCGCAGGTGAGGTGGCCACCGACAGATATGCGCCAGTTGATGGGCTGAGACCGCATTCACCGCCTGCAACCTTATCAACAGCCCAACGTCGAAGTAAAACCAGGTGCATCGTACTGCGACCAACACAACGGACACAGCGCATGATATCGTGCCGTCTCTCTTCTTTCACGACAAGTGTATCTAGCTTACTGCACATGGAGTCCTTGTTTCTCTTGTGGTGGCGCGAAAGAGTCTGCTGCCCATCCACAACGATGCTACCATAACCTATGGCCACAGGGCCAATGGTTTATGAATGCTGACCAAAACGCCATCGGGCTCGACATTGCTGCAGCCTGCGTGCCACTCGGGCCTGGCAGCTGATGAACCCGCTAGAATGCAATGAATCTCATGGTGCTCCGGAGAATGTATTAGGAAGCTGCACCCAATGACGCACTCTCGGTCCATGCTGCGTCCCCCCCGGGCTGCTGCTTGCCAGCCTTCACTTCCAGACCCGCAGCGATGAGGTTGATGCGACGCAGTCGTTCTTTCGCCTCATCCTCGTATTTGCGCGCAGCCTTCAACGCAGCGTATTGCATCTCTAAACGGGGATCCGACTGCACGGCAACAAGTAACTGCGGAGTGTCAGTATGTCGATATCAGAATCTTGATTCGAATTCTTACCCTGGATTCCGAGTCTATCCTGGCATTGAGACTTCCCGAGCGGATCATATCCACCAGCTCTGCCTCGATAGATTGACCGTCGTGGGCGAATGTCTCGTTGAGACTGTCGAGTGTGACGCACGAAAAGGGTACGAAATACTGGGTGATGCATTTCTGTCGAATCTGCGAGAAGATGTTCTCGACATGTTTCGACAGGTAGATATCAAGCAGATAGTCCACTTTGTATGATTCGAGAATGGACAGGCATGCAGAATATCGTCCGCTGACAAAGTGTGTGATGGCCTTTCTGATGTGACTCTCTGTCTCGAGGAAAACCCTGAACTGGGGGTTGTCGAGAACGCGCGTCTGCAGGCGGCCACGGTCCATGACCGCCAGTGCGAGAAGGCCTCCGTAGATGGCAACATCATTAGGCGTGGCGATGTCGTTGAACGTATCGGCGGGGGCACTCAAATCTGCTCGGAGTAGGTTGTCGGCGGCTTCCTTGAAGAGCCCTTGCCCGAGATACCCGATACCCGATACAATCTTAATGTAGGGCTGCATAGCACGATCATCCTCTACGCCCTGGATACTGCTGATCTTAGCAATGTTGCTAATAATCGAGGACCAGTCTCTCCGCTGGAGTGCCACGCTAATCAACCGCTGGCAGCAATCCATAATGTGCTTCGTCGTGCTGACCTCGTGCCGCATACGGCCATAGGCGTCAGAGGCTTCTTTTAACTTGCCGATCTGTTCGTAGTGTTGACCGAGGTCCTCATTGCCCATCTAATATGGCTGTCAGCCTGACTCCATGGGTGATGTACGTGGTCCGGACTCACACGTATGCTTTCTTTGATACCATTCTGTTTATACCCCGAAAGGTTGGACTCTAAACGGGTCGATTCCTTCTTGTTGATGTCTTTTTGGCGCGCAATCCACTCTTCATCCTTGATAGCCTCCGGCTCGTGGGGCGCTGCGACCCTGATGTTCTCCCAGGCCTCGTTGTATCTGCCTACATCCCCGCCAGCCTTTGCTTCCTTGACTGCGGCTTTCAGAGCGTCGACACACAGCGGGATGGAGGATCGACCGATATGGAGGAGTCGGTCGAATTGGGTCCGGCCTGGCGGTTTTCTTGTCAGTACGCCAAGCAGCACAAACCGCTGGTACTGCGTCGCGCACCTTCGTAGTTCTTGATGTATGAATCCAAGTCGAGTTTTGGCAAGGCTACATCATGATGGTCAGCTTGCGTATACTGGATACCGTTTGCGCAGCAGTGGAGAGAAAGCTGCGAGTTGGACTCACTTTCAACGACAACGCCTCCCTGCTGTCGCATGTGGCCAAAATAATTCTGCAAATCTGGCGTGAGGTGCGCCATGACCTCTAAAGCTCCGCTGTGGCAGTCTCCCAGATTATGCTGTGATTCAACGAGCTGATGAGTTGACGAGCTGTGATGTTGAGATAGGGTGGGTTGGTACTCCGTACCCCACGCTGGAGACCGTGACCGTGACTGTATCGATGTCTGGTGGGGCGCGTTCTGCGCGTTCTGTGGTGACGCTGCCACGGCGTCTGCCATCTACTTACACTTCTTGGGGCCTTGCATATCTTGCTTTATTTCAGATTCTGCGCGTTGGTGACCGATCTATAAAACAGTATATTCCTACTATGGAGTCTATCTTCACTGTGATTCAGTAATGTAGATTTACGATTGTTGCCGGCACAACAAAAGTAGTCCTGATGCAGCGCTCAGTGAGTGTCTCGCCAGTGCGAGAGCGCGCTCTATCCCCATCCTGTTGTCTCTTATCGCCTCCTTTGACCGAGTTGCAACTTGATCAAGACCGAGCCACATGCTAATGAGGATATCATTGCAAGTATGAACCGATTCTTGGGAGGAGTCGCCATGGCAGCGCCGTTGACTGGATGGATAAGGCCCGGACATGCGAAGCTCAACTCCACAAGCTGGAGCGGTAGCGGTACTTTTGTACTGAGTGGTATCTTGCGGAGCATGAATTGAGAGGAGTTAAATGAGTATGTGAGTACTGAAGAGGTGCAGTGCAGACGGACTCACTACTACCTCAAGATACTACACTATTAGACTACCTGGGTATAATACCTGAAGTTCCCGGAAGGCAGACTTCATGTCATTCATTGCGTAACTGTGTGTACTTTTAACGTTTTAACCTTGAAAGCTATCGAGCACGTGCCAGGTCAACAGGCACTCGGTACAGTATTTACAGACAGGAAAAGATCTTCAGCTTGGTCATTCACTACGAGCCCCATGGCCTCAGACAGTCTCTTTAACAAAATAAGGTACGGAGTAGAACTCACCTCTTTACCAACTATGGAGCGAAAAATGATACCCACGACCCATGGGGCACTAAGATTTTGAAGTGACAATGGTCCCTTAAAGTACGCATGCTTCCGGGTCCTCCGCACCAACCTAAAACAAAGAGAGGCAAAGTTGAAAAATCTTCGGTGTTAGTACGTACATTAAAGTTAAGGAAAGCAATCGAGGCAGAAGTCCCCACATCGAGAACCGCAGACACTGTCTGGTAGCGCCCCTATCGGCCGTTTTGTCAGAGCCTCAGAGGTCCGTAGACGGCCTCCAATCCCGGATCGGATATACGGCAAGCGGCCGACAATTAGGACCCCAAATCTAGAGGGGTCCGCCTCCAGCGGGTTCGTTTACGTGTCAACGAGTTTGGTTTGAGGAAGTGGCGCGAGGAAATGCACCTATCAAGCCCAATGATATCATACCTCTAGTCGCGTGGTTCTCATCTTGAGTTAACTCGGGCTCGAATCACAGCGTGGCTCGACACGGGGATGGTCTTCTTGCTGTGTGTCCGACTTATCAAGTCCCACGAGCGCCCTGTCGTCTCACTCACGGTCACCCCAGCGCCGAGAGAGGCAGCCGGCCGCGTCATGGATAGCCGCGAAATGTGCATTCTTTACTCCAGCCTTAAATGACCTGAAATAGATGCATTGTGTCAAAGCGCGTATAATTTATCATACGTACGTAGAAACTGCCCGGGGCTGCGGACGCAGTCCGCAGCGAACAAGTCATGTCCAGTCCAATGCTTTCGCCCCGCCAGTGGCAGCCTACGAGGCGGGCAGACTCGCAGAATATATGTACACATGGCATCTTACAATTATCTGGTAGACCGTGGTGCTTGACTATTCTTTACGTTGGGCAGAACGGCTTCTATGTGATAATGGCTGCGCTCTGCTAGGTACTTTTGTTAGTAGGTATTGCCTCATAGGCTCATCCGAGTCTCATCAGCGAGCACCGCAAAGGCGCATTATTGGACAGCTACATGGGAACGATTTTGATCAAATGCTTGCGCGGATTGGAATATAGCCTCGCAATCCCAGTGATTATGACCGCATGGCGCAAAAAGGCAGCAGTTGGTGATTCCTGGGGTGTGCATGCCGCGTCCATCGTCGCGAGTGCCGAAGCCTGACTCGCTCATGTCAGTGGGTTGCCTCTTTCTGCCCTCCCCCAACCGCTCGAGACTGGCGTCGAGAACGCGCCCAAACATTTGATCGGGTGCTAAAACTCAAAATTTGCGCTTGAATTCTTACTGACTTGCGTACTTACTTGGGCCTGGGCTCGGAGAAACAAGCCAATACAGAGGGACGCATTCTTGTGCTATTGTTCCTGCAGTCCAAAGTCAGATCACCCCCGGGCAGCTGTGTTTGTCAATTGGCGACTTGTCGGACGCACAACGCCTGACGATCAACTGGAACCGTCAGCGGAGTGATAACTTTCACTTTTTGCGGGCCCAGCCAGCACTGTGCTCACTTTATTAATAAAAGACGCGAGGGGAGAACTTCAGCCCTAGACTGCCAAATCAGCCATGCAGGATTATTCGCCGTCGCGCTGTCTGTCACGAGGGAGTGGAAAGCTATGACACCGTCACCGCATTTCACGTCGCTTGTCGCCCTGTGAGTAACAGGTGCAGCATCGTCGGCAGTTTGCTGAGAGCGGCTGGAGGCCTGGGCAGCTGGTGTTGCCTGGACGTGGACGCGGTACAGTTTAGCGACTGGAGCGAGTAATGTTAGTGCGAAAGGCCGAGGTACTTTTGCTTGTGCAGGCCTGAACGGCCATCTCGTCGGACCCAGGCGCCACAAGGGCGCCTGAGGCCTCACGGTCGTGCGGGTTTGGCGCCGTCGGCCCCTACAACTAGCGGGTCTCGTCGTACTGCCGGCTTTTGCTCTAGCAATCTGCATTCAATCGGACTGGATTTCCTCTCCGTCTCTCACACTCTCTCCCAGTTCCCCCAGCGGCGCCCGCGTCCACCAGCACATCCTAGACCTGTTTGTATCTTTATTCCCTCCCCTACTTGATCGATGGCCGCCGACTCGCCCTAGCGACACGAAGACGATCAGACCAGCACTGCGTGGAATTGAACCACGACGAATGCTTGCCGACAGGCCATTCATGGCATAGATTGCCATTTTGCCATTTCTTCAGGGCAATTGGGAGACTTCCGTTTCGCAGAAAAAGACTTGAGACGGGAGTCGGGCAATGAATGGGATTCTGCTGCTGGCGCCACTGGGAACTCGACGACTTGAGCCCGACGAACGCTTGGATCGTCTACCGAAACCCTTCCAAGATCTAGCCTGATCATCTTCTGGTCGCTTCGCCGATTTCCTCCAGCGTGCCAAAAGCCCATCACTCACGACCGCATCTCGACGCCCTCCCTGCCTACACAGCGGTCACCATGGTGAGCCCCGCCCTGGCGCATGCGACGCCGCGCGAGCCTCTGCGTGCCATCCCAGCCTCAGTGAAAGGGTAGAAGCATCTCTGAACAATCAATGCTAACTACGCCAGGCTGGCTTGTCGCAAGACATGTCGGAAGACGACGGTGGTCTTACGTCTCACGACTGGACGACTCACGGCGGCGTCGCGTCTCCTGGCGCTAGTGACTCCGAGCATGAACCTGCCGACCCAGGCGCGCCTTCACAACCGATACAGAAACGGCGTCGAGTTACTCGGGCTTGCGACGAGTGTCGTCGCAAGAAGATTAAATGCGACGGCAAACAGCCATGCACACATTGCTCAGTGTACAGTTACGGTATGTCTTCGCGACTTGCGTTTGCAGCTCCTCTCTTTGGGACTGACACGATCCTGTAGAATGCACTTATGATAAGCCCTCCAATCGAAGACGGAACCCTGCACCACAATACATCGAAGCCCTCGAAGGCCGACTACAGCGCGCCGAAACCCTCCTTCGCAAGTTTATGCCTGATGTAGACCTCGCGGACCCCAACCTCGACCCTGCCGTTCAGCAAGAATTCCACAATCGCGAGCAAGCACGCGCACGAGCCGCGAGACAGCACGGGGGTCCTTCTAATGTGCCTCCGCCGTCCAGCTCGGATTCAAACGACGCGCAGATCGTGTCCATGATCGACTCGACAGGGCAGCTGGACATCGACGACAAGGGCGGTTGGGACTTCCACGGGATCTCATCTGGATCTATGTTCCTGAAGCGCATGAAGGAGCATTTCCGTGGCAAGCTTGGGCCGTCGGCAAAATTACCCTTCACTACGAAACCTGAGCGACCTGCCGCAGGTTTGGCAAACCTCGATCCACCTACGCCCGTGGGGCAGTCACCGTTCTCGTCAGTTTCCAACTACGCCGAGCTTCCATCCAAAGAGGTCACTCGCAACCTCTGCTACTACTCTCTCGGCTGCGCGACCTGTCTGGTCCGCATTGTTCACGTGCCTTCATTCTACGAAAAACTCGACAAAATCTACGATCGGCCTGTTGAATCCCTGAACCAAGAAGAAACGCACTTTTTGGGCCTTGTATACGCTGTCTTGGCTCTCGGGTGTATGTACGAGAGTCTCGATGAACAAAACTCCCACAAGATGAGTGTGAAAGAAGCCATGGACGAAGGGTAAGTCGATACAAATCCACAGTGAGATAACAACATTAACTTTTCAAGCATGAAATACTACAAGAGCGCACGAGCATTGATACAAGACGTTACGCAATGCCGCGACCTCACGTCGCTTCAGGCGCTACTTTTCATCATCCTTTTCCTCCAAGCGACTTCGAACATGAGCGCGTGCTACACATTTGTAGGCATTGCCCTGCGATCCGCTCTCCACATGGGCCTTCATCGCCACCTCAAACATGACCAAATAGACACAATCGAGGACGAGACTCGGCGGCGCGTGTTCTATGTCATCCGCCAGATGGATATCTACCTCTCGACCTTGCTGGGCTTTCCGCTGATGCTCAACACTGATGATGTCGATCAGCCATTCCCAACAGAGGTTGACGACGAGTTCGTGACCTATAACATGATTCTGCAACCACCTCCTGGCTCATCCTCCTTCTTTGTGGCTTTCAACGCACATACGCGTCTCATGGAAATACTAGCCAAAATCACAAAGTATGTATATCCGATCAAGGGATCTGGGTCCAACATCAAGCGTCAGAAGTCGGCGGCGGCATCCACGTACTCCATCAGCTACTCAAGGATCAAGGAAATTGAAGGCGAACTCCAGCAGTGGTTCGAGAGGCTTCCCGAAACGTGGCGACCGAGCCCTGAAGGCCCCATTGAGGTTGTGAGGGTGCGTCACTTGCTCAGGTTCGTCTACGCACACGTGCAGTTGGTTCTGTACCGGCCCTTTCTCCATTACGTGTCGCCACGCCTGAGTCAAGGGACCAAGATTGACGAACTGTCGTACGCCTGCGCTGCTGCTGCGATCAGTGTCTCTCGCAACATCGTCCATATTGGTCTCGAGATCCGCAAGCAGCGGGTCCTCAGCGGGCCTTACTGGTTCATGCTCTACACGGAGTTCTTCGCAGTCTTGTCGCTGGTGTTCTACGCGATAGAGAATCCAGAAAAGCCAGGCTCAGCAGAAGTCCTCGCTGACGCGCAAGCTGGGCGTAAGATGATCGCAGAGCTAGCAGACAAGAGTCTGGCGGCCGAGCGAGTGACAAAATCGCTCCAGGTGCTGTTCGAACAGCTACCCGAGAAACTGGACCCTGCGAACCACAAGCCCGTGCAAAGCAAGAAGCGTTCAGCACAGAACTCTGGTAAAGCAGGACCAATTCCCATGTTTTCGACCGGCCGGCAGTCCAGCATCTCGTCGCAGCGCACTGGGGACTTGGCGCGTGCTCGTAATGGGGGCAGGTCTGCACCGGCCTACAGCACGCCCGCGTCTCGTGGCTCGGGCGATGCTGTGCCCTCCATGTCTGAGCAGTGCTTTCAGGACCCTAGCTTCACTGGAATGCCTGATCTTCTCGCTTTCGACATGTCCTCTCGAGCCACGTCTGGCTCCCCCAGCACGGCGTCTAGCTCACAACAGCCGTATGCGATCCAGCAGCAAGGTCAACCATTCAATGGGCGCAACCCTGTCAACAAGCTTGACAACCTCATGTTTCCATCGGAAGATCCTTTTGCCTACCCCAATCAGCCCATGATGGAGCTTGGATATCAGCCTCCGGCCCCCATGGGTCAGCAACAGCAAGCGCAAGGTTCGCAGTTCTTCATGCCAGGTTCAATGAACGACATGGATTCCCAGCTCCTGGGACAGCCCCCGCCGTACGCGATCCAGCATCCCGAAGGCCAACCAGGCTTGGAGTTCTCGGCGAACATGTTCGATCCGAACATGTACAATGTCCCGATGAGTGGTCAGCAATCACACTCGCAGCCACCTTCGACATCATCCCAGTCCATACACTCTACCATATCGCAGGGCCGTAGAGTGCATCCGCGTCGGCAGGAGAGGCAGATCGATCAGATGTTTGATCAGAATGGCATGCAAGCGGACTGGGGTGGTTTTTTTGGGTCTGGCCGTGGCGTTTTCCAAGGCATGTGAGAGAGCGTGATACCCCGTCCATTTCTTGTTTGGCTCAATTGCTTTTCACTGTTTATTATGGGCACTGTATGTACTCGACACGATATATGCACGATACATGGCGTTATCTACTAGGGGATCGTGGGATTTTTCACCACCGGATGGCCAGGAGCAAGGGGGCTGTAGCAACGGAACAGTACATTCAGGAGCACGAATTTCTTGGGTACATTGGCATTGCTCGGGTGTTCATACAGGTAGGGGCGAACTGGCAGGATGTTTCTTGGATCTCGGCGCTGTTTGAACAGACAATACATTTATAGATGAAGCATAGTTTTGCTTATGATGATTGCAATCAACCATTTTTGCCTCAATGTGGTCCCGTCTACACCCACTCAGCGCACCCATGGCCATGAAACTCTTCCTTCACGATAAGCGCTATTTTGACGGATCGGTGTGTAGTTGGAGATGAGGGACCCCTGAGGGGGCTTTAAGTCAGTTCGCCGACGTCGGTGCCGATAACAGTGCGGAAGGTACGGTAGTCGCACGGACAGGACCGACCTCCCGTCGCGGTGAGGTCCTTGGTGAGCGAACACGTGACGTAACCATTTGGAGGCTCCAGCCTCCCGCTGCGCATGCAAGGACACGGGGTCACCTGAGTACGGCTTGTCATGTGTCTAAGGCTGTAGTACAACTATACTACATCCATTAATTAATTGAGGCACCTGCGATTTGTTACTGAGCGTCTACATATTCCCTTGACTTACCATTGTCCAATCTTGCCGTACCAATGCGCGTTATGAAAGAACACAACATCGACCCGGTCCCTGACCGGGAATTCGATGCGTTGTAAGTACACGCCTGGCTTCATCGAGCTATCAACTACGCTGGAACAGCGTTGCTAATGAGAATGGTAGAAAGCTATACGGAGAGCCCGATCTCAATAAAAAGGCTGTACTCAAGCAGAAATACCCAGGTATTGACAAGTGCTGTCCAACATGCCTCAAGTGTGGATCCTAACGCGAGATAGCGAGGGCTCATGCTCGCAAAGTCGTAGACGAACTGCGGGCCGCCGGAGCAAACAATGTCGACAAAGGCTTCATCTACTTGCCCGGCGAGGTCACAACTCATTATGAAAACTCGGACATGGGTCCCAAGTTCCGTCAACGCCGCTACTTCTTCTACATGACTGGCGTCGACCTGCCGGACTGCGCCGTGACCTATGACATCGCACGACAGAATCTCATTCTTTGGATTCCGTTTGTCGAGCCAAGGCAGGCCATGTGGTACGGTTCCTTTCCCAGCCCAGGAAAGGCTGCTTCCATGTTCGACGTGGACGACGTGCGGCTGCAGAGAGATCTATGCAAGTACTTGGAATCCCAATGCGACTCATCCACGACCATCTTTGCTTTGAATCGCAATCAGCAGCCTATCATGACGGACACTGGCCGGGACCATCCCAGATTCGATAGGTCAGCACTACAGCCTGCTATGGACAGGGCGAGAGTCATCAAGGATGAGTATGAGATCGCACTGATTCGCCGCGCGAATGACATCTCGAGCCGTGCGCATCTGGAGGTGATGAAGAACCTACTCAAGATGCGCAACGAGCAAGAAGTCGAAGCTACTTTCACGGCGCTTTCGATCGCCCAAGGTGCACACAGCCAGGCGTACGATATCATCGCCGGAGCCGGCGCGAACGCAGCGACACTGCACTACGACGCGAATAATGAGCCTCTGAAGGGCAAGGACCTCATTGTCGTGGATGCAGGTTGCGAGTTCCGATGCTACGCCAGTGATGTCACGCGCACTCTTCCGATTTCAGGGGAATTCACCCGGGAGAGCGAAGTCATCTACGACATTGTCAGAGAAATGCAGGAGCGAGTCCTCGCCGCCGTGGTCCCTGGTGAGGAATTCGCGTACCTGCACGTGATGGCCGCGGATATCGCTGTGGATGGGCTGATGAATGTGGGCATCCTTGTGGGCGACAGAAACGAGATCATAGACAGTCGTGTCGTCACTGCTTTCTTTCCCCACGGTCTGGGCCACCACGTCGGGTTAGAGTGCCACGATGTGAGCGGCGACGAAAGGCTGCTGTTTGCGTCGTCGTCGAAGAGGACAGAACGCAGTAAGCGAGAGATGATCACGCCTATGGAATTGAAAGACATCGGGGTGGGCTGTTTTTCGAGAGAACATCAGGTATTGCGACCGGGCATGATTGTCACCGTCGAGCCTGGCATGTAAGTTGACTTTTCTCCTGCGACGGATTTCATACGTGATACTAAGATGCGGTAGCTATTTCAACCGCGATTACATTGAGGGGTACTTCCTCTGTCGACCTGAATTCGCGCCGTTCTTCGACAAGGAAGTCTTGGAGAAATACTACAGCGTTGGCGGTGTGCGAATTGAGGATGACATCTTGGTCACCGAGAAAGGGTTCGAGAACCTGACTACGGCCCCCAAGGGAAAGGATATGCTGGACGTCATCAACGGCAGAGGCAAATGAACATGGCATGGGAGGACAGCTCAATCATTGCCACATGAGCTGGTGGTTCGCGTTGAGCAACCAAATACAGCAAGCAAGTCGCAGTATACACGGCATCATAGGTTCTTAATGGCAATTGCCATTATCGGAGAATGCATCGTGCATCAAATCACATAAAATCATACTATGCTATCCAAAATCGAAGGCCCCGTCATGCTCATAGTGACACGCTCGCGTAGTAGTATATACCTCGATATGCAACCCACTCTCCCCTGGCGACAGCATCTACAAGAACTTCTTTGGAGAATTTGCCCTGCGCCTTTTGTATGCCACGTAGGCTGCGACAACCAGTACTTGGGTGCCAACAAAAATCCAGATGAGCTTGCCGTGGCCGGGGACGCTGTCGAGCAGAGTCTGGGAGAGGGTGGCGTGATGGTCATTGAGGAAGCCCTTGACGTTGCGTTCATTGTCGCGCATCTTCTTGCCCAGTTCGTTCCGTAGGCCCCGGATCTCCTTCTCCATGTTGTTGATCTTCTGCTCCATGGCGGCGATCTTGTCAAACTTGCCAAACTCGGCCCTGAAGTCGTTCAACAGGCCCTTCATCTCATTGTGACGCTGCTCATCGAGCTGGTGGTGGCGCGAGACCGAGCGGTAGACCGATGACAGCTGGTGGTTTGTTGATTGCAGGCGGTTGTGCAGGTCCTGGAATTGCATTTTGGACGTCTGGAAGACATCAGGATCTTCGTCGAGCGGTCCGTCGTCGAAATCCTCAAGCGGTTCTGTGCCAATGTTGCTGTTGGCGTTGTTGGCGTTGGCGTTGGCGTTTGCCTCACGCTTGGGCTGTTGCTGCCGCGTCCTGTAGTTGGACCTGTCACTTGGCGTCGTGCGGTCGGACATGACAACGAGCTTGAAGATCTCAAAGGAGTCTGGGTTGTCGGGCGTGGCCGCCGTGATACCGAACTTGTAGCCCTGAGGCATGCTGACCTTGTCGCTCTCGAAACACAGGCGACCATCGATCTCAACCTTGAAGATGTCGCGTGACTGCTTCATCTTGACTTGCGAGGGGCGTCCGAGATTGCGGTAAGAATACAGGCAGTGGCCAAAGGCAAGCTCATCGACGCTTGATCGGGTACCGTAGTCGATGGTGCCATCGTTGAGGAACGCACGCAGCATGCCTCCCGAGCCGCCGTGAGCGTCGATGACCAGCGCCAGGCCCTCGAATTTGCCAACACTGTAGATGCTGCTCTGGCCAACCTGCCTCTCTCCATCATTGGCCAACCAGATGTTGAGGTTGCCGCCTCCGCGCTCAGGACCATTGGCACGCAGATCGACGTCAGCCACCCATTCCGTCTCTTGCAGTTGTTTCTCTGACCATATCGACGCTCTTTGGTTGCCGGGAGAGACGGGGGTCAGGATGACTTTGTTGGAGAGAACCTGTGGCGGCACGCCGGACCCGGCGATGGCAAAGTTGTCGATCTTGCCTCGGTTGCCAGGAGCGCTCAACCTGTAGATTGTTAGCGACGTCCATTGTCGAGAACACTCGTGGAACATACCGCCCCTGGTAACCAAAGCTGAGGTCGCTGACAAGGATCTGCTGAGCAGATGCAGTGACCACTGCCAGCAGCGCTGCCACGGTAACACGCATTGTGTGTGTTTGTGTTTCTCCGAGTACTTTGGTTTGCGTGTACGCGCTGTAGCACTGTTCGTGGCGTGTCTGTGGTTCTCGCTGCGGATAGCTTCGCCTCAGTGGTAGTCGGTTCCCGGCGCCAGCGCTTGCAATTGGATTTCAAAAAACCAGAACAATGCTTTGAATAGACGTGGAGTCCACAGGTACGGACGCGAGGCCGTGTGATGGTACCAAAAGACTGCTCGCAAGATTAAGTGACACGGACGTGAGGTTGCTCTAGGTACCATGAGCCCATCTGGACACGCAGTCCTAGCTATGATTGAGCCCCTGCAGCTCCTGATTGGCGTTGCAGCTCCGTCCTTTGCTCGGCCGTGGCTTGACCACTCGCAGTTCGTGCTGCTGCTGCAATCAGCACCAAAGTGGATCTGCATCAGCCACATCTCCAAAATCTCCAGACTTCTCCACCATCGCGGAGCAGCACTAACGACCAGGGTAATCAATCCCACCTGCGATTCATTGTCGAGCACACGTCTGAGGTGATTTCGTTCCATCGCTCTGCGCCGGTCAAAGTACTTGCTACCATGATCGCGCCACCGCTACTCTTTCTACCATTGCACCCATGAGCAACAACATCATGTCCGAACAGTATCCGACGTTGGCGCAATGCGCGCTTGTCGCGGCCGCCTTCAAGATTCTGCTTTTCCCAGCATAGTGAGCATGCTCCTCGTCTTGCCTCCCTCCATCTTCATGTTCTCAAGCTGATCCGCCCTCCACAGTAAATCCACCGACTTCGAAGTGCACCGCAACTGGCTTGCCATCACCAACAGTCTGCCTCTTTCTCAATGGTACTACGAAAAGACTTCGGAATGGACGCTCGACTACCCTCCCTTCTTCGCCTACTTCGAATGGATCTTGTCCCATATCGCGCGACTCGTGGACACGGCCATGGTCCGCATACACAATCTCGACTATGACAGTTGGCAGACGGTTTATTTTCAACGCACGTCGGTCATTGTAACTGAGGTCATGCTTGTCTACGCCCTCCAATTGTTTATGGAAACCTCGCCGCTGCAGTCAAGGAGAGCAGCGCACGTTGTCGCGCTGTCCATCATCCTTTCGCCTGGACTGCTCATCATTGATCACATTCATTTCCAGTACAATGGCTTCATGTACGGGATTTTGGTGTGGTCCTTGGTACTTGCACGCTGCAAGACCACCCTGCTGTCCAGCGGCCTCATCTTTGCGGCCTTGCTGTGTTTCAAACACATCTACCTATACTTGGCGCCAGCTTACTTTGTGTTTCTGCTCAGCACCTATTGCCTGTCGGCCAAGTCCATTTTCCGTCCACGAATCTTCAATTGCATCAAGCTAGGCGGGTGTATCACGGGCATCTTCGGGGCAGCTTTTGGCCCTTTTGTGTTCACGGAGCAAATGCCACAGATGCTCAGCCGTTTGTTCCCATTCTCGAGGGGCTTGTGCCATGCATACTGGGCGCCAAACGTCTGGGCCATGTACTCATTCACCGACAGGGTCCTCATACACCGTTCGTGCTCCGTCCTCCCGAGCTGCTGAGGACTAGGCTGACAAGATCATAGTTGCCCCTCGTTTAGGACTGACACTGAAAGAAGGCGCACTGTCCAGCGTAACGCGCGGACTTGTCGGCGACACAGCTTTCGCTGTGCTTCCCGAGATCACCCCAAGGACCTGCTTTTTTCTCACTCTGTTCTTCCAGATCCTGCCCCTTTTGAAGCTCTTTTCGAAACCCACATGGGAGAACTTCATTGGGGCTGTCACTCTTTGCGGATACGCCTCGTTTCTGTTTGGATGGCATGTGCACGAGAAGGCCATCTTGCTGGTAATAATCCCGTTCAGCCTGGTGGCACTCAGGGATCGACGACACTTCGGCGCGTTCAAGCCGCTGGCTGTCGCGGGTCATGTTTCGCTCTTCCCTTTGCTCTTCACGCCGGCCGAATTTCCCATCAAGACGATATACACCATCTTCTGGCTGGTCTTGTTCCTGATGATATTTGAGCGGATGGCGCCGGCGTCGAACAAGCCGCGTTTCTTCCTTCTGGACCGCTTCAGCACCCTTTACATTGCAGTAAGCATTCCACTCATTGTTTACACTTCTCTCCTGCATCAGATTGTGTTTGGGAAACGCTACGAGTTTCTGCCCCTGATGTTTACCAGCTCTTACGCCGCTATCGGGGTGTTTGGGAGCTGGGTGGGTTACATGGTTGTGTATTTCACAGCATAAGGAACGGAAAGAAGGATCTCTTCCAGAACCATGAAATCAAAAGATTGCCTCCAAAGGAGTTTCGTGTGCGAAGGATTGGAACATGTTGTCCTGGCTTACATGCTCTTTGATGAGTCAGCAACTTTATTGTCAGTGGAGCAGTGGGTTCAGGCTCACGTGGAGACGGGATGTGATGCATCGCCCACGCCGGGGCTCGTGTCAGAAGGCTTTGCTTTCGACACCGAACAGACAGCGAAAGGAACAAGGCTCATGTCGCCGCGAGGTCGAATCGCAATGCAGAACACAGTGGAGGCATAAGAATTCAAGCATAATGCTCAGCTGCTTCCTAGGGGGTGTCTTTATTGACTTGAAGATTACCCGATTGGGATACTAGATGTCTAAGTGAACGTTGAACCATAACAGCAAGGCAAAGTGCACTGTACAATGCATCGAGCTTACGATGGTACACTCAGACGATGTCAAATGAGCACTTTGTTGAAGTTGATGCATGCTGACACGTTCCTCAGCCCTCGCGTCTCCAGGATTGTTGACTGCACATCGAAGACGAGAACCAGGAGGCGATTGATATAGGGCGATTACTTGACGTATTTCCTTTCGATCTTGTTACCAGGACATCTGCCGTGCTCGCTGATGTCCGGCGAGCAGAACGACCCCAAGAAGTGTGGTAAAAACACAAAGTTGGGAGGCAGGACGGCGCGTCAGAGGAGACGGCGGGTGGGAGAGGATAAAATGACCAGGCAAAGCAGCTCCAGCGGGATGACGAGGGAGCTAGCCAAGAAGGTACCGGTACGGCGCTTCAGCCCACGCTTGGCGGTGGAGCAGAGTACCGCGACCTGAAAAGGCCCCAGTATAAACCCGTCAATCCGCTGCAAGCTCATACACCCCGTCCGTCTACCACTCCATACCTCGCCCTCCGTCCTCTTTTTCTCCTTCACTTCCTCCAACTCTGTTCAAACGTCACGCACCAGACGCAGCATCGCCCCAGTCGCGCCGACCTCCCCCATCCACCCTGCCTCGCAACCCTGAACGTCCATAGACAGCACTAGAAGTACTTGGTCGTCGCCTGGCTTCACTTACACGCTTCCCGCCCCGCGCAGCGCGCCTCACCGTTGGACTCTATCGAGCGCGTTCCTGGATCTTGGGTCCGACAACCCGACTTTATTTGCTGCAGGCCCTCCCGGCCACCACCACGGGACTGCGACGACAATTGACCCCCTCGGCGATCTAGAACGACATTCGCAACCAAGACACCCGATACACGTAACAGCCAAATTGAACTATATACAAATGGGCAACGACGCTTGATCGATCTTCTTTGGGGTTACGGGTTTGAGAGATTGAGGGTCGCGAGATCGAGAAGACATCTACAAAGAACAAACGGCCAAGGCTCTCGAAACCAGCCTTGCTGCACTTCAATTTTCGCATCATGGTATTTGCGACAATTATCTTACCTGACGCGCGATGACTTACACAAGATAGGTCCTTTTTAAGCGCAAACCCGTGCAGTTTCTGGAGCCGGATTTTGTACCAAACGATGAAGCTGAGGTGAGTCGCGACGCACCTATGCCCGTCTAGTGCGCTCTATACTCATGCTCGCGCTGCAGGTCTGGCTGATTCCCCAGACGGGGGAGGTTTTCGTCTCCTACGAGGACTATCTTACCCGGTAAGCCCTGATCTGCGTACTACCGTGATCCTCTGCTCATGCTTCACAGGATGGACTTTTATAAGCAGGTTGGGCAATCCTCCATTGGTAGTCTCTATCAGAGGAGCTAACAGTGCAGCGTCGATTTGGGGACCAGATTACGGGTCATTCAGGAATGACCTTCTTCGAAGCTTTCAAGAGCGAGGTTCGTTGGCCAAATCATGGAGTGGCAAGTCCAGCTTTACTGACCGCGCAGCTGACTGGAGGAAAGGAGATTGAGGAGAGCTTCCCAGAACAGCTCAAAGGTCCGGTCCTTCGAAAAGTACAATTCCGAACTACCTCGCGGCTGGACACCATGGTGGACGAAATATACGCTGAGTTCAAGTCGGATTATTTTCCTGGCGAGGAAGTCACCGTCATTGTAGAGAACGGGGAACGACTGCACGGCCTGGTTCGAGACAAGGCGAGGATGGGACCAAGATACATTTCAGAGTTTGAAACCAAGGCACCGACGACGCGATACATGGTATCGTTGAATGACAGCAAACGTGAAATCAGCGTTTTCGAGGAGGATGTATCAAGGGACCGGGGCGTGTTTACAAAGTCCTTGCTACGGTCATTCATCAAACGCACGACGATCAGGGAATCATGGACTGGGGCACCTTGGCTTGTGAAGCACGACTACGCAAACCGCTTCCGCATAGATACCAGGATCCCACCTCACTTGCGGCTCGAAACGAAGCGTGAGGAGCGCAAGCAGATACAAGCCCAGAAGCGTGCGTCGCATGGGCATGACGCAGACGGGCACGCCATAACCAATGGTGAGCCCGTCAGACTCCCTGACCTCAAACCGGGGCACAAGGAGCACCAGGGTAAACACTCGAATCACCACGCGGTGGTTAAGGAGCCGACGCCGCCTCCCCCGCCGCCTCCCATCAAGTACCCCATTGAGGATCTTGAGATTGAGCCCAAGCCTGACAGAGAGACACGACCCGAAATGAGGTTCATGTGCAAGGAGGCACCACTTGGACAAGGGGAGGGCGTGACGCATGAGCCCGATTGGCGGTCGAGGAAGATTGAGATGCAGTCCGTCGGAGGACTGCTTGAAACGTGGGACACGCTAAATGTGTACTGCGAGATTTTCAAGCTTGACTCGTTTACGTTTGACGATTTTGTCGAGGCGATGATTGTCGCGTCAGAGGAAGTGCCCGTGCAACTCTTCGACGAGGTTCATTGCGCGGTTCTCAAGATACTCGTCGATTCGGAGCGCGACGGCGGCAAAGTAAGGATCACCTTGCCAGAGATTGACGAAGAGGACAGTGATGAGGAAGATGAGGAGGAGGAGGAAAGTCAAGCGCCCACACCGGAACCTGAGCCCAAACCGGCCGCGCGGGCGACAAGGAGCAGTCTCGCCAAGCTGGAGGCCGAGAAGTTGGCCGCGGAGACTGCTGCGGCCGAGGAAGAAGAGCAGCAGGCAGAGCTGGCCACGCGCCATCGTGCCGAGGAGCTACTCCAAGATTTTGACTGGATTGAGAAATTGCGTGAGCGCGCCTTCGCCAATGGCGGCTGGCAGATGATTGTTGTTGGGCTTTTGTACCAGCTGTCGAAAGACAGCCGGCATGAATCTGCTTGCGACGAGCTCCTGCTGGAGCTGGTACCGCCTGGGGAGGAGCCGAGCCAGGAGAGCGTCCTGCAGGCATACTCAAACCTCGACGTCAATCTGCGCGTGAGGATCCTGCAAATGATCTGCATGCTGACGATGGAGACGAAGACTGTCCGAGGCTACATGGAAGAGTGCAGTGACACGATGACCAAGTATCGAAAGGAAAGAATCGAGTGGCAAAGGCAGAAGAAACAAGCGTAAGTGACCTGGACGGACAGTGATATGAATGGCCAACCCACTGACACGGTGCAGCCTCGAGGAGCTGCGGCAACTCAACGAGCAGCGTAAAATCTTGTTGCCCGACAACATGCCCCCGTCACCGCCAGAAGACCGCGAACAGGAAAATGAAGAAGCAGCAAAGCCCGAAGTCAGCACGACGATGGACGCCGACGAGACTGTCCGTGACACGGAGAAGACGGACGACGAGGTCAATTCGCGCAAGAAGCGCAGGAGCAAACAGCAAAAGCTTGACGAAGCAAGGCAACGAAAGAAGGAGAAGGCCAAGAAAGAAAAGGCCCAGCCCAAGCCCCCGCCCCAGTCCAAGGCATTCATCAAGCTGCTGAAGGAGATTGCGAAAAAGGAAGAACAGGTCAAGGAATGCGAGGAGGAGGTGGGCGTTATCGAGAACGACCTGCGGGAGGCTGATTGCCCTCGCACCCGGGTCCTGGGAAAGGACCGCTTCTGGAATCGATACTACTGGTTTGAGCGCAACGGCATGCCCTACGGAGGGCTACCCACGAGCTCGACGGCACATGCTGGCTATGCAAACGGCTGCATCTGGATCCAGGGACCTGATGATATCGAGCGGGAGGGGTTCATCGATCTCGAGGGTGAGGGCAAGGAGGAGCACTGGCACAAGTTTGGCCACACGGTCAAGACGCGTAAGGAGAATGAGGAAGGCAAGACGCGAGTGTTTACTGCGCACCAATGGGGCTACATCTCGAAGCCAGAGGATGTGGACAAGCTGATCAACTGGCTTGACATTCGCGGCGTGCGCGAGAAGAAGCTCAAGCAAGAGCTCTACAATTTCCGCGACAAGATTGTCCTCGGCATGAAGAACCGCGAGGCGTATCTCGCGGGCCGCGATGAGCAGAAGGAGAAGGAGGAGACGAAGCGGAGCAGCTCGCGCATCCGGGAGAAGACGCCTGAGCCTCCGAATCACAGGTGTCTCGCGTGGGAGAACTCACAGGCCCTGGAGGACCTGGGTCATTTGCACAGCGAGCCGCCGCCGAGGCCACGTGCGCGGAAGCAGGCGAAGAAGCGCGAGGCCATGAGTGATCTTGCGCAGGCGCCTGCGGCCAAGAAAAATCGCCGGTAGACGCGACGAGTGGTAGCCTTGTGGAAGGGAAAGAGGTGAATAGAACGGCAGAGCGGCTGCGCATGGGACAGGAGTTTTGACGTCTCTTTTCAAGAGAGCATGCATGCATGGCTGAGCATATTGACTTTGCCTTGTCTACATATAGGCGGTGCTTGGATGGAGCGCATGGCGTTGTCTTGGAGGGCCAGACTGCACGGCATAGGTGTACTGCATGCCTGATGCATGCTGGACCAATTTACAAGTGAGCATTGGTTAATTTACTGCTACAGTCCGTTTCGAAAGCACAAAGTGAAAATAGGCTGGCTGCGAAGTGCGATGGAGAGAGTTGGAGGTTGGAGTCGTCTTGGTGGGCCGAGGTACGCGAGCACATGAGGCGACAAGCCAGCATGGTGTTAGTTAGACCATGTCTTGTCGAGCATTGGGCGATCAACTAGGACGCCTCTTTACACTTTGCTTGATTCATGAACCGTTGGAGACCACTCAGGGCCCGTGTGCATCGGAGACATTATATCCTCGGCACAGCGACCAGGAAGTGGGGAGCCGACAAATGTCGAGGAGCCTTTGACGAGCCTTTGAAGGGTCGCCGCTTGCGAGGCGCAGCGGTCCATGGAGTACCCGAGAAGGCTAGACGTCATAAGCGCTCTCATAATCACGGGCTTAACTTTTAGACTAGACTAGTGCTCGTTTATAGTCACAGTCTTTATAGTCGAGCTCTCCCTCGGTCAATTGGCATCGTCGCAAGACTCATTTCGTACCCAAATCAGACACGCAGCAGCACAGCGCAACGCGACAAACCACCATGGCCAGCACAGATCTTCCTCACGTCACTCTCTACTGGTATGTCGTCTGGTTTCTCAAATTGTGTGGCACGAGATACTGACTAGACCTCCAGGCTCGACAAGTCGCGCTCCCAGCGCATCGTCTGGCTGCTCGAGGCGTTGGAATTGCCCTACACCCTTGAGCTCTTCCACCGCGAGAAGACCATGCTCGCGCCCGCGGAGCTCATGAAGATTCACCCGCTCGGCAAATCGCCCGTCATCAAGGTCACGCCTGCGAACGGCGGCGCGTCCCAGACGCTGGCGGAGAGCGGCTGGATGACGCAGTACCTGGTCGAGAACACGCCCACAGGCGCCAAGTTGATGCCCACCAAGTACAAGGAGGGCCAGGAGGGCCAGATGGGGGGCGAGACGGAGGAGTATATGCGGTACATGTACATCCTGCACTACTGCGAGGGCAGCCTCATGCCCATCCTGGTCATGACCATTGTCATCAACGCGCTCAAGTCGCCCCAGGTGCCCTTTTTCATCCGGCCCATTACGGGCGCGGCCGCCAACCGCATCCTCTCCACCTTCATCTTCCCCAACGCCCAGAAGCACATGGGCATGCTCGAAGGCATGCTCAAGTCCTCCTCGGGGCGCTACCTCTGCGGCGACAGGCTGACGGCGGCGGACATTCTCATGAGCTTCCCGCTCATCGCGGCCAGGGGGCGCCTGGATGAGATTGGCACTTGGGAGGGCGGCTCCTGGGCCAAGGCCTTCCCGACGATCAATGAGTACGTGGACCGCCTCGAGGCCGAGGAAGGGTACAAGAAGAGTGTGCAGAAGGTGGAGGAGCTCGAGGGCAGGAAATTCCAGCCGTCTCTGTAGTTTATCATGTCTCTAGTAATTGATACCAGTTTCCTCTGCGGGATCTTATTCGGGACACAAAACTGCCGCATAATCCCTACATGGACAAGGGTCGAGGCGAATATGCACAATGGACCCGGCTCATTTGGCGCATAAGCCGATATGTGCATACGTGCAGAGCCTGCGAGATGATTCGTCGCTCACCTCACCTCGGTGAAGCAGGCCTCCAGGGATGGGTTCAAGTTAGTCTTCATCTCGAAAATTCAATGTTCACTGAGACGCGACACCTCGGTCACTGACTGGACTCTGTCAAGAATCACACAATGTCATGTCATTCTCACGTGCACTGTCCGCGACAAGTGCCTGCAAACTGGGCCACTCACGCCTAGCTGTTCAGCACGGCGCCATCACCTTGGCCAACTCCATTTCGACACGCTCACATAGCACCAGCTCAACCGATCCCATCGGATCTGCCTTAGCCGGTGCGCGCAGAGACTCTCCCACGCCCGAGAAGACGCGCCAGCATGCTCCCAAGGCTGGGACCCGACGGCCACGCCCGATGCGGCAGAGGAGGCGTCCCTCGCCCGACGACGGTGACGCCGCCATCGCCATCTTCAACGACGTTGTGAGTGACGGTACTCATGACGTCGATCCACCAGATCTCGAGGAATACTCGAGGCCCAGCCGCAACACCCCGCTCGGTACGAATGAATGGCAGCTCACGGCGCGCATCGACCAAGCCATGAAATCCAATGCCCCCGTCAGCCAGCGTCTGGACCACTTTGAGTCACAGCTCCTCCCAGAACTCCGGGTCCTGGGGTTGCCATTGCCCCGGGATCTCTTCATCGTGACGCGCCAGTTTCTGGGCAGCGCCCGGCGCGAGCTTGTCGGCAGAGCAGTGCCTTTGCCAGGCATCTGTCTGCGCGTCGCGAATTTGGTGGATGCCACGGGCATGGGCGTCTACATGAAGGCCGCTCTCATAGCCACACTGTGCAATCACCTCAGACACCTGCGGCACAAGCCGCAAAGAAGGAGCATGTTTCTGGAGATACTGGAGATCTGGAAGAGCATTTCCCAGGCACGCCCGGGTCGAGACAAGGCGCAGACCACGACATGGATGCTCCCTGACTTGGAGGAGATCCAGGAGAGGAGGAAGTCCATGCTGAATGAGCGCGCCGAGGGAGCTGCAAGGACAGAAGCTTGCCTGGGCGCCATTCTCCCTCAGTACTCCCAAACGCAGCTGCAGTCTGTCATCCCGGCTCTCCTGGTCACGCTTGTCACCATCACGAATCCAAAAATTGTCCATGCGTCGTGGGTGCCCGAGGCTATCCCCCTGCTCCGGATCGCAGCCGCCGCCCTGGACGGATGCACCATGCCCGAGGACTATATCCAGGAGGTCTTTGGGACCGGCAGTCTCCTCGTTCCCGATTACAAGGCTTCTGCTCTGGCCACCATCGTCCGAACAGATTGGCCCATAACAGTCACGGTGCTCTCCCAGAACAAGACAAACTGGGAGTCCAACAACCCGCAGCTCGCCATCTCGCACGCCGGCATCGCCTCGACAAAGACCCTGACGCATTTCCACAAGATGGCCAGCCGGGCCCACTCGACAGGCAACATTGGCGCCGTCATGCTGAACTGGGAGAAGCTGCGTACATGGATTCGCGAGGATCCCAGCCTGGCCGCGCAGATCAGGAGTGATCCCGAGTTCCTCGACTTCTGGTTCTTTGTCTTCTGCGCCATCGGCCGGCCCGAGCGGGTGGCAGACGCGCAGGCCATGATGGATGAGATAGGGCTCAAGGCAACGATCAAGACGTACACGGGCATGATGCACGGATGGCGGTCTTCGCGAGATCGTGGGCGGATGAATGCGCTGTGGGACAGTATCATCGAGGCAGGCATCCCACTGGACACCACGGCATGGACAGAGAGGATCTCCGGCTTGATTGAGCTGGGGGACCTGCAGGGCGGCATCGCGGCCCTCGCCAAGATGCAGGCCACGTGGGAGGATGCGGTCAAGAGAGGCCAGCCGGAGACGGCCGTGAAGCCGACGATTGACGTCTTCAACACAGCGTTCAGTCGCGTCATCCGCTCCGACAGGCAGGCCGCCTTTCAGATCCTCGAGTGGGCTGGCAAGCAAGGCATACAGCCAGATGTATTCACGTACAATGTCCTCCTTCGGGAGTGCTTCAAGGGGGAGAACCCGGCGAGGGATCTGCCGGCCCTCCTCAAGGCCATGAAGCAGCAAGGCATCGAACCGGATGCCTCGACTTTCACCATTCTCTTGGACCACTCGCTGGGCACCATCTCCCAAGCCTCGTCCGACGACAAGATCAAGGCCGTCGAGCATGCCTTTGCCGAATTGCACGCGTCGGGCGTCAAGCCCAACCTCATCGTCTTTGGCAAGATGCTCCATGCCGTCGCGTCCGACCAGAACAACTCGGACGCCGTCGTCGACTCGGTGCTCAAGCACATGCACGCCGCTGGCATCAAGCAGATCAGCCCGCACATGGCGCTCACCCTCGTCGACCGCATGCTCAAGCGGCCACACACCACCGCGGATCACGTCGAGGCCTTCCTTGTGCAGTACGGATTCACGACGCGGGAGCTGGGGGACCAGAGCCTGTGGGAGAGCATCGCCGGCGTGTACTCCTACCTCGGCGACACGCAGCGGGCCATGGCCCTGTACGATGAGTTGGCAAGGCGGCATCGGCCCATGACGACGCAGAGCAACCTGCTGTCGTTGCTCACAGCCTTGGTGGAGAAAAAGGATGAACAGAGCGCGCGGAGGGTCGTCAGCCAGACGCTGGAGGTGTTCAAGGGTCTGAGCGCGGAGAGGCGATGGGGTCATCACTTTTGGCACGAGGCGTACAAGTACGGGCTGCTGGATTGGGAGAGCGCACCGCTGGAACTGCGCAAGGTTCTCGACGCGCGGCGGGCCAAGACGGACGAGGCCGTCTCATTGTCACCATCACCATCATTATCATCATCATCATAGACTGTACAATATGTTTACACACAAAGCGATACTATATTGCAAATTACGACTCATGCATTCGTTCATCACCAGCTGGTGCCGACATGTCCCCCAACATGGCCACGACGGCTTCGAGTCCCTCGACCTCATCCTTGCTGATCCCCCGTCCTGCGCCCTGATACTCTCCGTCGCGCACCTCGCCCTGCGCCCCCAGTTCCAGTCCGCTGGTCTTTTCGAGGTACTTTCTCGATGACTGCTCGACGTATTCGCTCCTCTCTCGTCTCCACGACTTTGCCGCGCCCTGCTGCTCATCGCCCAGCGCCGCGAGATTGGGGATCAGTTCTCGTAACGAAGTCGAAAGCCCACGCAACGCATTAAGTTGCGATAGGGTGAACTGTGCCGTTGTTGTGATCGGTGTGTCGGATCCAATGCTCGCCAATCCTGTTCTCTCATTGAGGAAGCCAAATGTACTGTTCTCGCTGTCCTCCTCCTCCTCGCCCTCTTTGGGTTCCACCTTGATCCTATCGTCCGCCGCGGCCCCGACGGCCTGCCGCAGTGCCCGCAGCAGCGCTCCGTTCCTCGCTCTCTGTTTCTGAAGGGCAAGATTCACTTTCTGGCTGGCCTGGTATCGTCTCCGCAGCGCGTTGGTGCCCTCCACATCCGCAGCGCGGCTGTCGTCCGCAAAGTCAAGACCCTGGTAGTGTGCCAGCCGGACAAAGGGGCGCAGATCGCGCGGCTGCACCGTGAGGATGTTCTGCATCGCGTACAGCTCCAGTTTGTCAAAGTTGCGATCAATCGACGCCGTCAGCAGGGTTTCGAGCTGATGTGTGCCATTCTCGATCTCATGGCGCGCCGCGTCCTCGGCCGTGCCTGTGTCCCCAGCGCGAAACCCAATGTTGGCTGCCGGCAATCCCAGAAGTAGATCTTCAATGGACACCAGAGCACGATCTGAGAGTACGTTTACTGTGTTGATAATGTCGTCGAGCAGAGTGACCGGGGGAAACCCAAGATGCTCAGTCAGCAGCTCGTAGTCCGAGTTGGTGCTCATGATGGTACTTTAGACACAATGCGACGCGTCTTTTTTGCGTAAATGTGTAATTGATGTTTCCGTGACAAATACGACTGCAAAATACTAGTCATAGGACAGCAATTGGCGAGGTTCGACGCGTCAGAGTAGTTATCAGATTGTCTTGAGCGGCCTTTGTTGAGATGCTCGACTTGGTGATGATGATAGCCTGAACGCATTTCTGTGTCCATCAAAACACACCTACCCTGTACCCGTGCCTGTCCATACCTGTGCGTGGAATGTCAGACTGCACCGCCCCACTTGCCGCAACGTCACCCCCGCGCACGCACCACTTTATCATACGCGACCCAGACGTTGGGCTTTGGCCTAATCACACCTTTCCTCTTCACTGATGGGCCTACGTTCACTATGTCCAAGTACAAAGATCTCGTGAAGAGTGGGTGGCATCCAGAAAAGAGCCGTGGCATAGAGAAGAAGGGCATCCGCGGTCAAGTGGTATAGTCCTTCCCATTCCCTACTGACAATAGCTGTGCACTGACCCAGACAGAGTGGGCTTGTCCGCGGTAACAAAGATGATCCCTCGACAAAGGCCCAAAACCATGCGTCTGTACCTATAACATCTCTCAAAGATCCTTCGTCATTTGCGCCGCCACCGAAGCGCACCGCTAACGGCGCGCTCCCTTCTCCTCCCCCACGCTCTACCGAGACCCGGCAAGTCGTCGCGGCGCCCAGCAAGTATCAAGACCCAAGGGGACCATCTGTTGCACCACCACCCAAGACCTCGGCGGAGCAGTCACAGTTGGAATATTACCAGCAGAATGGTATCTCGCAGCAGGACGGGGTGTTGGAGGAGGAGGAGGAGAAGCCCAGGGGCCCATACAAGACCAACACAACTGGGTTGAGCGTGGATCACTTGCCGAAACCGCCTGGGAGGAGAGACGGCGCTGATGGAAGGGGACCACCCGCGCTCGAGGCGAGCACCTCCGTCCGACAATCCCCTTCACTGCCGGCGAGGAGTTCGCCAGCATTGCCGTCGAGGCAGCCCGCCGCGATTATGCCCCCACCGAGCGCCAAGCCAAGCCTCCCACCCAGGCTCCCCGCGAGGACGAACTCGGCCGCGACAAACAGCAGTCAAGAGTCCGAGCCATCCGGAGGCCTGCTCAACGAAGGCGCAGTGAACAGATTGGGCGCTTCTGGCGTGAATGTTCCTGGACTGGGCATCAGGGGCCAGCAGGCATCACCAAGCCCACCTCCACCACCCAGGCAGAGTACCGCGCCCGTCAACGAGCTGCAGAACCGTTTCTCGAAACTCAGGACTACACAATCGCAAACCCAAGATCCGCCATCTGAGGGAACCACGTGGGCGCAGAAACAGCAGGCTCTCAACACGGCTTCGAATTTCCACAAGGACCCCTCCAGTATATCAATGTCGGACGCGAGGTCGGCCGCAGGCACGGCGAACAACTTCCGGCAAAGACACGGGTCTCAAATTGCTTCGGGTGCCAAGACAGCAAACAACGTGGACCAGAGATTCGGCGTGTCGAGCAGGCTTGGTGGATTTGCCAGAGGCCAACAGGCGCAGCCAGAGGAAAGCGAGCCAGCGGCAGCACCTGCACCTGCACCTGCACCGCAGTTGCTGCCCACGCAACCCGTCCAGTCCTCGCATCAGGAGACACAGCCAGCTTTACTGCCTAGCCAGCCTCTCAAAGCAGTAGCCGCCGCCAAGAAGAAGCCACCGCCGCCTCCTCCGAAGAAGAAACCGGGTCTTGCAGCGCTGCCAGCTGCGACTCAAGTGGGCACTGGTGAGGAACAACCACCTCCGATACCCATGTCGACACGACCGACATTCTGAACTTTGACTCTGTCTTCACATCACACGAGCGCGCATCAATTTATTTGTAGATCAAGGTGGGTTGGCTGGTTATTCATATCTTGATATAGATCCAGCATCTTGACAAAGGGAAGAGGGTCGTTGAATCAGCTCATGCGCAGTTGTATAGCTGTGCTTTTTCATATCATATCACATGCCATACCCATCCACCATAGTTTTCGTCATCCCCGGCTCCGTTCCGATCGCTTAGACCTTCATCTCCTCAAGACCGTGCTTCCAGGCGATGATATAGGGGGTGACACCGTCCTCACGGTAGTTGAGCAGAACAACCCTGGTTTGGTTAGCATTCCGAATGTCGCAACGAACGAAGAAGCGCTTGTACTCACATGCCATCGACATCCTGCGACTCGCCAGTGTAGAACTCAAAATCCTTGAAGTTGGGGAGAAGCTTCTCCTTGACGTAGGTCTGGGCGCCCTTCTCAAACTCGGCAATGGTCTCGGGCGAGGCGCCCTTCTCGGTCAATTTGGCCTTGACAGCCTTCATGTAGCCCTTGAGGTGGGAGAGATAGGACTTCTTGTCGAAGACGGTGCTCTGCAGGCGGAAAGAGTTGACGACGTTGTTGACCTTGACCTCGGTATCGTCGAGGGCCTCCTCGGCCTCCTCGGCGGAGGCGTTGGCGCCCGTGTTGACCTCGACGGCGCCCTCTGTGACCATGGCACAGTCGACCTCGTAGACAACATTGTCGACAAGCTTGGGGTCGTACGAGTCGGAGACGATCTCGTCGCCGGTGAGGATGTCCTGAGCGGGGTCAGTCAGTACATGGCGGGGCAGTCCGTTGGATCGCGACACGCTCTGTGGTGTCCTGCACAGGCAGACGAGGGTGTCGCTGACGAGAACGCACCTTGAAGATGATCATGTTGGCGGTGTTCGGGTTGACTTGGAATGTGTACAGGGCGAAAAGAGTTAGGTGGCTGCTAGAGGAACAATTTCAAGAGCGAGGAGGGGAGGGAAGTCAAAAAGGTTGTCCAAGGGTTTCAATATCGTTGGTGGGGTTGGGGCGCTATTCCGCTTCGAGCCGCTTCGCAGGAAAAAACTTCGTCCAATGAAAAGGCCACTTTGGGACAATGCGCCGCCGCCGCCGCCAGGCTTCTCGTCGTTTGACATCTGCATCGCGTTGTCACTAATACCAATGTGATATTTCTGGAAGGCAATAACGTTGACACTGACTCTATCTTCTGAGTGTCAAATGGCAAGATTGGAAGGTTTGATGGTCTTACTAAAGATGTTGACTTTTGACTGGTCAATGCACAAATAATTGCAGAATACGCATGTGCAATGTCGACTCAACTATCCCGTAAATTCTACCAACTAAATTCTACATGGCATTTTTTGTGGATCTTACAGGCAAACCTCGAGCAGGCTCAATGGACAGCTTCCACACCAGTTTGCGCAGATCAAAGTTTGGCGGCCCAACACTACCATCGTGGTCGGGTATAGGGTGGGTGAATCATTGAAAGCTCAATATCGTAACACGGAGTCTTTGGGCGCCCGGACGCCGTGGTCTGATGATTTCCTTGGCTCAAACAATCCCTCGGACTCGCGAACTCGCGTCGCTTCCTCGCTCTTGCTACGTGATTAGTCGTCGAACCCCGAGTAACAAGGGGTTTATTAGCCTTGAAAAAGTAAACCTACTGGCTGGAGATGGAACCGTGACAGCCCAGATGTGGAGCAATTTCGATCAGATAATATCATGGCAATCAGGAGAGCCGGGAATCGCGCGTTCCGTTTCCGACGTAACAACGCCACTTTGCTGATCTCGCCCCTGCCAGACGCCATCAACCTGACGTCTTCCACTCAAACTCAAACCCGACGCTCCTTTCCCCGGCCAGATACCTCATCCTGCTTATTGTCATTCCTTGCCTCCTGTACGCCGCTCCTTTATCACACCACGGAAGATCACTTGCAATTTTTCAGCCATTCGACACGCATCACGCTCCAGACGTTGACCGAGCCGCTCTGCCTTGCTTACTCTAGCACGTTGTCCCATCCGCCTCTTCCGAACGCATCTTTCCGCGAGCAGTACTACACGACCGCCACTGGGCCTATTTATCGCAAAGAACATTGCGCGGGCGCGTCGAATCGGCTCTTCATCGATCCGACGAACACATAATTACTACAGCCCTGTTGGCCTGGCCTCGAATACACCGATTCCCGCACACGACCAGCTTGACCACTGCCAGTCATGGTGAACGACTCGATGAGCAGCCCCAACATGGCCGCCAACCATTCTCTATTCGATACCAGCCTTCCGCCGCTGCCAGACTATGAGCTCACTCTGCAGTCCGACATGCTACTTTTCATATCGGACTTCTGGCTCAATCTCATCGCACCCATCATTGTGTACTGGACCATGTCCATGATGTTCCACCTCGTCGATACCCTAGACCTCTTCCCACAATATCGCCTCCATACGCCAGAGGAAATAACAAAGAGGAATCACGTCTCGCGATACGAGGTCTTGCGCGATGTCATCATTCAACACATCATCCAGGTTTTGGGCGGCGCTGTGCTCTCGTTGACTGAGCCGCCTGAGATGACCGGCAAGGATGAGTACAACGTTGCCGTCTGGGCGACCCGCCTGAGGCTGTCTCAGCGCATCCTGCCTGGCCTTCTGAGTCTCGTTGGACTCAATGCGACGGCAATCTCCAAGAACATGGCTACGTCACACCCCATCTTGGCTGGCGCATTGGCTGGAGGATACTACCCCTTCCTGACCACGGACGCACACGTGCCATCGTTCGCGCCTTGGGAGTTGATGTTTGCCAAATTCATCTACTGGGTAGCAATCCCAGCTGTCCAGCTATTCATAGGAGTTGCTTTCTTGGACACCTGGCAGTATTTTCTCCACCGTCTCATGCACATGAACAAGTGGATGTACAGTGAGTCTTTCCCATCTCCTTGTCCTAGGACTACTAGGCAGACGCTGACCCTTCCTCTTAGCTACCTTCCACTCGCGTCACCATCGTCTCTACGTGCCCTATGCCTACGGCGCTCTGTACAACCACCCGTTTGAGGGCTTCCTGTTGGACACACTGGGCGCCGCCATTGCTTTCAAAATCGCCGGCATGACCCTGCGTCAGGGCATGTTCTTCTTCTGCTTCTCCTCGATGAAGACCGTTGACGACCACTGCGGCTATGCGTTCCCTTGGGACCCATTGCAGGCTATTACTAGCAACAATGCTGCATACCACGACATCCACCACCAGACATGGGGTATCAAGACGAACTTTTCGCAGCCTTGGTTCACCTTCTGGGACGGCCTGCTCGGGACCAAGTACGAGGGCAAGCGGACAGACCGCTTGGCGGACAAGAAGCGCGAGCAGGAAAAGGCGGCGGCTAGGGCGAAATGAGTTGGATCAAGCGACATTGCATTTCGGGGAATACGGGAGACACACACAGCGACGACATGCATGATTTCCGTTTCGTGACGTTGCTCTCTTACGTTTGACGAGAGGGCGCGTCTTTTTTACTTCTGTACGATGCTTTGATTTTGCAGCAGACTAGCATCGCTGCATACCAATTTGGGACACAGCTTCTTTCTCTCGGAGCATGGCGGCGTTCGGACTTGTTTGCTTGGTAGGACCAGTGGTGCGAGGCCAGTAATGCTAGTGTCGTTGGCCTGCGCACTGCGCAAAGAGAGACGCCATCCTTGACCTACGCGAAAAGAAGGCCTGGGATACGGGTCGTTCTGGTATGGTAACCATATGGTTGGCTGGCTTTGCCCGGGCGCACTCTGCGCCGCAAACCTGCTGTATGCAGACGGGCGGGCTCGAGGTTCGCTCCTACAAACTTCTTCTACATGTAATAATTACATTATCCTAATTATTCACATAAGCACTGTTTCCCACGTATTATTTGCTAGTTTAAGACGTGCGCGCCATTTGGAATTCGCATGCCAGTGTAATAGCTATGGATGGGTTTTCCATTTGTCACTATAGCCGTCGATGGGACTCTCACAGTTACCCAAAGCTATACCCTCACAACTACAGTTATCTATGCGACTCTCAGTGATGGATGGTTATTGGCTCGTATCTATAGTTATGGATGCGACTCCCGTAGTTGTAGATATGACTCTCATGGTTGTGGATTGGACTCTCACAGTTACGAATCGTTCTTTATGTAGATAAGGCAGGTTAGGTATTGATCCAAGGCATCTATCTATATCTCCTCACATTTGGCGTGTCATGATCATGGCAAGATTGCGCGGTCCATCACAAAATCAGACCTTGAACGGGCGTGTCTGTGATGCGGCATATTATCTGGGAGCAGAAATTCCGATAGTTACATCATCTCGGTGAGCATGCAAGCCAAGTGGTGCAAACCTGCGCGATAGGAGCCATTGGGCCTTGGCGGCGCCGAGTGAATTGAATTTCAATGCCGCTTGCTGGTGGTGAGTTTACTGCAAAACGAATAGTGGACTCGAAACCAGGTACGTACCAACGTCGGAGTGACCTCATTGCCGAGACGGAATGGAAGGAGCTCTTGGCTGATGCTGATAATGCATGCTGCTTGCGGCAGTTGCGGACATACAGGTATGAGACAAGTCGAAGCTTCCAAAGTTTGTGACTGGGCTGCCATTGTGACTGTCTCGCCCACTGCCTAGTGTAATGCCTTGCCCGCGTCACGATTCAGATGAGCGGATCAACTTCATCGCGCTCTGTTAGTGAACACCAAAGGATATGAAGAAAGACATTGGCTAGTATCAGTATCAGTAACCAAGCTGAAGAAGACCCAGTAAACGCCGACGCCTAGCCCACATGGCAAGATGAGCTGGCTGAAGGACCCCTGAACAGCCGGACCCTCATTTGTCGATGGCGGAGGCGAACTACCAATCAGGGGCCGCGTTGTCCAGATCTCGCAACGTCTGGTGGGAAATCCAAGCAGAAGGCGTCTCCAAGTGGCAGCTTGGCGCACCTGAAGCCGTTGACGAGGCCGCCGTGGCCTCTCCCACCGAAGCTGAAGCTTACCTGCCGCTCTCCGGTACATGCGGGAGATGGAAATGGGCGAGACCAGCCTCATAAGGGCCCTGACCCTGGCGCCTGAAGGCCGGCCCTCTTCGTCCTCACTCCCATCTCCTACTCGACGACGAACACAGGTTCTACAACCTGAGAGTTCAGCCTGTACGCACGCGTTTGTGTGACCAGCCTCAGCAGTCCGCCGAACGCCAGGTCACCCACCCAACACGAAAGTGGCGGTGGAACAATCAACCAATTCACGACTCAATTGGAAGACTCGCCTCCAACAGTGAGATGAATTGAGGCGCGAACAGGCCTAGAACACGACATACGAAGTACTCAGCTCAGGTCTTCTTTCTAATATTAAGCGCCCTGGCTGCTTGCAAGCAAGCAAACGGAAAGAAATCTTGGCGAGAGCTGGGCCTCATTTCACAAACGGAGCAATTGTTCAGCGCTTGCCGGCGCCAATTCTGCACAAACACGTCCAAGAGGCTTGCCATTGGCCAATGCCCTGCGGTATCCAATCTCCTGGTCTTGGATCCTCAATTGGTACAAGCGCGGCATCGTGCATTCACGATCACTGCATTGCGACCACCTGCGACCGCAGAGTCGTTGGGCGGACAGGCGGTGTTGTTGGTGTTTCAGGAACCTGCTCGCTCTTTGCGCAGAGACCAAGCAGCAGTCGGTGTGTTGGAGCGGCTTGACGCAGCATTAACAGCCAGCCACCACCAGATCGCACGCGTCTGTTAGTGTCAGCTCCGGCGCTCTCACAGCCAGTCCGTGTAAGCGCCCAGGGACTCACTCCAGCCAGTCCTCCAAGCATCGACAGCCAACGAGCAGCACGCATCGCTTGCGTTGGGCGCTTCGAGAGGACGAGAGGGTCCAGAAACAGAAACGAAAGCGGAAACCCCATGTTTGGTTAATCATTGAGTTTCTAGAAACGTGGTGTCTCTGTTTCATCCTTCACCATGGATCCCTCGACCACGCTCGTCGCCTTTTTATTGTGAGCATCTCTCTTTCTTTGCTTCTCAACACCCCGAGTTCTTCTCTTCGTTTCTCGAGTCCATTCCAGTCTTTCCTTTCTTCATCTCTCGCTGGCCGAGTTTCCCGGGTGCTTGTTCACTGCCACCCACTGTTTCCCACTTGTCTTGTCTGAGCCCACTGCGTGCTCCAATCCGAGTCCCTTGACTGAGGATTGCGCCTGCGACATCCCGCAATGGCCGTGACAATGACGACAAGGTGGAAAAGCATCCAAATGCACAGACAGGACAAGCATCACCTTAAGCACAAGCACGCTCATTCTGAGCCTCACCGTGTGTTGCCAAGTGCTTCAGCTTCATGGCCGGAGCCACCGGTGCTGTCATCAACTCGGTACGCATTTCATTCATTTCCCTTCAGCCTTACCTATTCTCATGGTCTCCATAATACGCTTTGCTATTCTTGTCCTTTATTTCCCGAAATTCCAAGAACCCTTGCCTGTCTCCTTCCGTCCACGTACCCTGGCCCTGGGCCATGACCGCATCAGTCATTTGCCCATCGGACTTCCCTGGATGCCCCTGGGTCAATCCATGATGTGTCACTCGAACGATTGACAGTATCATCTACCGTGCTGCGAGTGCGCGGCGAGCCAAGCCAGCGGGCTCGCTGTTGATTGCCAAAGACACAGATGCATGTGTCTTATTCTTGGGCCCCCGTCGCATCGCATGGGCACATGCCGGCATAAGCAGCAGATACTGGCCCTGGCGCCGAACGAGACAAGAGAAGAGCACGGTCGCAATATCACTGCCGTATCCACGCATAACAAACAGACAGCACAGCCCTCGAGTCTCAGTCTCACCGGCATTTTACCCCCCGCTTCTGCGCTTGCACGTCCGTTTCAGACTCGGATCAGGAGTCGAGTGACACGCAACCACGTTACCCTGCCTATCTGAGTGTGGCTTCTTGACTGCATCCGTGCCCGAATTGGCAACCTGCATTCCACCAGAGCTCCATGATTTCCAAGCCCAGTCAGACAAATCTGTAATTATTATAGACCATTCCAGACGCTGACACCGCGCGTGCAGACAGACACATCCTTCCGTCCAGTCGGTCAACCTCATTGGGTCCTGGGACAATTTCAGCACTGGCTACCCCATGGACCGCGATCATCGTCGCGGCAAGGGTCAGTGGAAGGGGTGCCATACTTTCCGGGACATTATATGTGACGAGGACCTGTCCAGAACCAGGGACGGGGGTCTGACTATGGGTAGCACGTATTACTACTATGTAAATCAACCCTTCCCCCCCATGATGAACATCCATCCTTGCTCAGCTCACCACGGCCTATTACTAACGGTTGCTTCCTCACAGTACGAAGTCGATGGCAATACGGAAACACACGATCCGAGCATGCCGTCAACCAGTGCTTGTCCTTACTTGCCTGGACAGACAGTCAACAGTCTCACTGTGCCCTCACAGCAAAACCTTCGTCAACGGAGTGCGTCACTCACATCAATGCGTATCACCGACTACCAGGCCCTCGACCCTGCCGCCAAGTTCCTCCCACCACAGCCCACGCTCACTTCACCTACGGATCCAGTTTCGTTGAGGAAAAAAACAGCACCCACCATGCTTCGCAACGCTGCCTCTAGTCGCTCGCTATCGCCTGCGCCAGCGTGGAAGAAGCTCTTCAGCAGCAAGGGCCGCGAGGATGACCGTGGACGGTCAAGGGATCGTGACGATCAGAGTGGGAGCTCGGCATTTACGGGCGAATGCGATCGAAGTGCTGGTTCGTCAAGGAGTCGGAACCGATCGATATCCCCAGAATCACTGCGACGCTTTCTGTCAGACGATCAACCAGGCTGGCCAGGCTCGAACCCAGGTGAGCGTCCGGCCTTGATCATACCGGAGGACATAGCGGAGGAGAACGAGGACGACGACAATTTCGCCACGTCTGCCGTCTCGGAGACGCAGCTGTACTACACAAGACTGTCGCCGCCGCCTGCTCAACGGCCAACATCCTCAGAGACTGTGCCTCTGACGGTCAAGAACCTGAGTTCTCTGACCCTCACAACGGAACGCCCGACGAGTCGACGACCGACGGCGGTCCATGCAGGCGATTCAACTGACCTAGCCGAACCTGCTTCCCAACCGCAGAGCAGCTACCTCACATCGGCCACATCCTCGGATCTGACCTCGCCTGAGTCGGCTGGCACTCCCGAGTCGGAGACTCTAACCTTTTACGACGACTCGGTGGATGACGACGACTGCACATTGACGTCTGCACACGAATCGCAAGCCCTGCCGATCCAGCAATTTCCCGCCCTTCGATCGCGCCTCACAGGCTACAGCCTACCTCGCGTCCACGAAGCGGAGGAGCCCCAGCAGCTTAAGCACCGGCCAACATTCGGGCGCAAGGACGGTCCGCGCCTCTTGGCACACGTCGACACGTCTCTCTATCCCACCTCCAACGCCCACTACCTCCCCACGCCCGCCGACACTGGTGTCGACGATTTCGTGGCCGAGATGGGCTGGATGGTCGACAGCATCGGCTCTCGATGATCAGTCATCGCCCGCTCCGCTATCTACACAGACATGCAACCACACTCACGTACACAACACATCACCACTCATTAATTCGCGTCGACGACTCTAGCGTGTTCGCCTCCAACGGCACACACCATACTCACTATCATACAAGACCCTGAAGCATCGAGACGGCGTTGGACGAAGGAACTTCTTTTCTTATTTATTCGTTTACATGGCGCTCTGGGATACGGGGCGCAGGCTGGCAAGGGTTCAATGATCTGCATTGCAAGGCAAATGGAAACGGGACCCAATGACGGCGAGGAGAATATGTGGTTTATGAACAATCGGAGCTTGGGCCACTGGGTTGGCTTGGTTCTATAGCAGTAGAGATGCAGAGTTTTGTGCTCACAAAGCGTCCTCGCGGACTAGATAGACACAAAGTGAAATAGAAGACAGCCATGCAAACGGCATGAAAACATACGCCCTCAGCGCACGTACTTGAGCGCCAAGTGAGGCTTGATTCTATATTTTCAGTACCGTACTCACTCGACAAAGTCACTAGCGCTACTGTGTCTGGCTAGGCAATAACCCTGTTAAGAAGTGGTGCCCATATTGAGCAAGAATTCCAGCCTATAAGCGTTATAAAGCCCAATGGCCTCTCAAAATCGTTAAGAGATTCGTACCTTCGCACAGACCTATATCTATAGCACTAAAACATAGGCGGCTAGATTTTGTTCACCAGCGCTAGCGACTTTGTCGAGTCAGTACGGTACTATGACAACCAGGGGTATTATCTCCCAACATGCATATTGTAGCCCGTCTAATACTAATGTAACAATCGCTCCCATTGAACGCAAGAAACTCCACGGTAACAGACCTTTGCAGCACTTGCCGGTCTAAGTGTTATACAAATCTATCCCCCCCTCCCCCCCACACACACATTCGTCCGTTCGTCTCTTACACCTGAACACCCTGAGCATTGACTGGCGCGGAAGCCGGCTGGACAGACTCAACATGCTTGATTTGGTCCAGAGTCCCCACGGTGTCGGTTGTCTCCACCCCTTCCATGGGTTGCGCGGCTTGCCCGTGCGCACCGTTGACCTTGCTCTCCGTTGCCTGCTGCTGCTGCGCTTTCTTTTCCTCCATCTTTTGCTTCTCACTCTTAGCCGCGGGGTTCAGGAAGCGCTCCGGCACGCCCTTGGCCGCATACGTTCCGCTGCCGGCCCACGCACCCAGGGCGCCACTGAACTTGTAGTTGCCCCGTATGAGCCGGTGAATCTCGCGGTACGCATAGGCGTTGTAATAGGGTAGACCGGTCTTGGGGTCATGGTAGCGCGCCGGATGGTTGGTGATGGCGCACACTGGGGCGGCAGGTGGTTCTATTCTCGTCAGTAAGGGTCACCACATTGCTGGGGAATGGGGCATAGGAGGAGGTAAAGACGTACTGGCGAGCTTGGTCATTTTGCGACCAAACAGAATCTGCGTCTGTATGGACTTGTCCTTGATGGCATTCTCGTCAAAGTTCTGATAGATGATGGTGTTGCGCGTTGCCGTGGTAGTGGATTCCGGTGCTGGTTCTATTACCGTGGCCGTGGACGGCGGCTCAGGGGCTTCCGGTGGCGTGGCGCCCGTGCCATTTTCCGTGGGTGTGATGGGCTTGTCCACGGGTGGTGTGAGCTTGTCCTCAGGGGGCACGGGTCTATCCAGGGTGGCAACGGGCTGGAGGAGTGTATGATCCTGGGACGTCTCTTCCTGCGTGGGAGGCTCGGATGGCTGCGGTGTCGGTGCGGCCAATACAGAAGATTTTGGCGTGTCCGGATGGTTTGGAGGAGGGGCGCTGGGCGAGGGATCGACGCCTGCGGGCGCCGCCAGGACTGGCGCTGCTAGTACGGCTGACGCTTTGTTGTTGTTGCTGTTGTTGTTCTCTGATACCGCCGTGGTCGATGCTGGCTCTGGGACTGGAGCCGCCAACCCATTCGCCGCCGCCGCCGCCGGAGGAGGAGGCGACACCGCAGGCGGCTGTGCTAGCTGCGGCTCCATCACTTCTAGAGTCCCGTTTGCTTGATTTGAAGTCCCCTGCTCCTCCTTGACTGGCGTTGACACATCCCCGTTTTCGGATTTCGACGGAATCTCTTTCGGGAGTCCTGTGCCATTTGTAACCGGGGTCGGACCGCTGCCATTTGGTTTCGCCTTGTCCTTGTCCTTGTCCTTGGGCTTCCGCTCCTTTCTTTTCGGCTTCTCCTCCATAACAACATAGCTCGTCAGGCCACCGTCTTTCCACGCCCTCGTGCCGCTCCAAAAGGTGATGACGGGCCCTTTCAATGTTCGGTTGTTGAGTGCGGCCAGCTTGGCCTTTCGCTCGTCCTCGCGCGACTTTTCTGCCTCCTCCCACCGATTGAGGCTCTTTGCGTTCCGCTTCTCCACCAGCGCCGCCTCGCGGAGCCTCTCTTCCTGCGTCATTGGCGGCTTCTTCATGGCCTCGGCTTTGGCGGCCTTTTTGGCCATGTGCTCCATCTGCTTGAGGCGTCGCGCCTCGCGCTCCTCCATCTGCGCGTGCAGCTGCTCTTTGGACATGCGGGTCGTGGAGCGGGAGGAGGCGCGCGTGGGCAAGTCGGACGTCGTGGGCAGCCACGATGTCCGCTCCGACTTCTTCTTCGGACGTGGCGCGGGCGGCGGGACGACCTGTCGCTGCGGGGTCGCGTCGACGCGGACCTTTTTCCGGAATCTCGAGGGGATGGCGTCTGTGGCCTTGCGTTTCCGCGCGGCGGCGCGTTGTGCCTTTTCCTTGCGTTCCAGCTCCTTCTCGCCCTCGAGCTCGTCGACCTGGGCGCCGTTCTTGTCGTCCTCGTCCTCGTCCGAGGAAGAGTCCATGTGCACGTCAGACGCGTCGTCGCCCACCTCGCTGAAGCCTTGGTCATCGTCGTCCTCAGCGAAGAGGAGCTCCAGGTCCGAGTCGGGTTCCTCGTTGGCGAGCATGGACTTCATTCTGTTGCCCGCGGTGGAGCGTCGTTTTCGACCCGTGGCGAGCCATTCTGTCGCTTGGTCCGACGCGGGCGTCTCGACGTCGCTCGAAGACGTGTCGCTATCGCTTGCGGCATCCTTGGATCGTTCGCGACTGGTGGTGGTGAAGTGGGCATCGTCCCTTTCGGCAGGTGTGGGTTCCGCGTCGGCGGACATTATGACCGATGAAAGTATGGAGACAGTAAGCTATACGGGAATAGGAAAAGGCATCGTTATTCGTCGCGCATCCAGCATGGTCGTGGCGTTTCGCTGTGGAACTCGTATGCAGGTAAAGGTAAGTGGTGATGTCGTGTGCTTGCAACTGGAGAAATTCGAAAGGTGGAAGAAATGAGAGAAGCGCGTCCAGTCACGTCCATCTGGACGCAACGCATTTGCACTACTGATTTTGGTGGGGTTGCAGGGTAGGTCACAATACACAGGGAACTTGGTCGCATCTGCCGACTCCCCCTACTCCGCAGACTAAGTTGAATGGATACTGCTGATGATATCATTACGAACGCTCTAATCTGATAAACCCAAATATGTACATGTACTATGCCTCGTTGTATTATGTGCATCCCATACTCCTTGTAACGCCTCATCCCTCGAGTCCATTTCTACACTCTTCACATCTCATCTTCAACATCATCTCGGTAAGCCGCCGCATCCTTGCAGAACCCAAGCCAATTGCGATGATGACAGCTAGTTGCAGTCGCAGTTGCAGGCTCATGGGTAGCCCTGGGCTGGGACGTTTCAGGCGCCGAGGTGATGGGCGGCATCCCCGTATTTCCCTTTGAAGGCGCTGTGGGTTCGACGCTATCCTTGCAGCCGCCGAACCAGCCAGGCGTCTCACACGTTGTCGAGCTCGGCTCCTGGGTCGTCGTCGTGGTTTCGGTACTCGTCGTCTTGTCATAACAGCCGAACCAGCCAGGCGTCTCGCACGTCGAGGTCGAGCTAGTCGATGATGTGGTTGTGACTGGCTGCGTGTTCGTCGACGTCTTGTCGAGACAGCCCCACCACCCGGGGGTTTCGCATGTCGACGTCCTTGTTCGTGTCCTCGTCGTGGTAGACGAGTGTGAGGTCGTCGTTGTCTCTGTGCCATTCGACTCGTAGAACTTCCACGGCCCACAGTCGCGACACTCTAGGGACGACTTACACTCGGGAACATTGTCGTACTTGAGGATCACATCGCTGATGACGGATCGGATGCGATGGGTTCCTATGCCCACTCTCCAACCCTTGTCAGTGACCACATCGTAGATGCACTCCTGTCCTGTGTGGCACATGGACTCCATTGCGTAGCCTGCGAAGGAGCAGGTGGCTGTGGCGCCATTGCAAGTTCCAATGTAGACCGGGTCGGCGGTGTGTCCAAAGTGATACACCCCCGTGTTCTTCCTCGTCTGAGGTGCCGAGACGTCAGCGCCTGGAGGCACCGGGAGACCAAGGCGCGAAGCGGGCAAGGCCTCGGGCACGGCCTCAAAGGTCACGACGGGCAGGCCGTACGTCAGCCCCAGTAGCGAACTGACAGCACCGCCCAGGGAGTGACCCGTCAACCAAATGTGCGAGTCGGGGTATCGCTCGGTGACATTCGAGTAGAGTTCTCGAGCTGCGGTGTAGTAGCGGTTCTCCTCCATGAGGGCTCCGACCACGCAGGTATTGTTGCATGAGTAGGTTCCCGTGGCGCAGTCGCATACCTGGTGCCACGTCCATTGGCCCTGTTGGCCGCAGCAGCAGCTGAAGAAGAGGTTGTCATTGACCTTGTCGTTGGTTGTTGTACCCTCGCCATCAAACACGGCCGTGGATGTGCCCTTTAGACCGATGACGACAGTCTCGTTCTTCTCATCCGCCCACACATGGCCGCGAAGCCCATCGCCTTCCCAGCCAAAATCATCGGTGCGGCCAAAGGGACCTCGAACGTCCTCCCAGTTACCCTCGCCTTCCTTCTCCACGTAGGCGTTGGCTGCCATATAAGCCATGCTCAGCACCGTGGCCTTGTCGGTGATGTCTGGCGTCGGCAAATCATCCATCGTCCAGGCAGACGTGCCGAGCACCGCTGCCGCGCCTGTGCGTCTCGCCTCGGCCACCATGGGGTCAACCACTGATGGACGCCGGTCTCGGAGTCGCTCAATCGTCTCGGCTCGACTCCGCGCCTTCAACTTGGTGAGATCGTGCTCTCCATAATCGTCTTCGGCAGCCAAGAACACACGCGACCCATCGTGGAGAATGTCCTTGGATCGGTGTAGAGAGGGATGTTTGTTGGTTCCGTGATGGTAGATGTGGCGTAGGGTGAACGTATGCTCGGATGGTATTATCGGTTCGGGATCTGACGGCAGGACAGGGCCTGGTGCGAATAATGTGTCGTCAACAAGTTGTGAGGTCGATGCGGTCACCGTAGTCGGTACAACCGCGAGGAACGACAAGAGAATTGCCGCCGTGACTCGACCAGCGGACGCGCATCGCCGGCCGAACGAGGCCTTCCTGTGCGACTCCATAGTGTGCGAAGCAGATCAACAGAGCAGTTGACGAGCGCAGATTATGGAGACGTGAAGGAGAAAACGACTGGACAAGATGACGAACGACGAAGTTGAGGAGGTTGCGAGAAGGGAGAGTTGGGTTGCTGCTATCAGGCAGTGAAGTGAAGTGAACCATGGACGCTGATGTTGTCATCGTTCGTTATCACGTTATCAGTTGGGTCCTCGCGGTATCGTGTGACGGCGACAGAACTGGGCTAGCTCGAGAGTTAGTGTTTTCGAGGAATCCTCGTGCCGCCACTAACGCATTGAGATAAATGACGGCAGCCTACCACGCACAGATACATCTGCCCCTCAGCGCATGTGACCCTCTGTGGCCTAGTCCCCGGCCTCCCTGTACCATGGGCTGGAGGCTGTGGCATCCGACGCGTCTCCAGGCTTGAGGGACCTACAGCAGCGCGATTGATCAACGTCCAGTCACTCCAGTCACGCCTCTTGCTAATTTTCGAGCTGTGTAATTCGACCTTTGCGCACCGCCATCAACCGCACCGACCTAGATTGCCGTCCTTCTCTGCGGCTACGAGGTCTTGCGCATTCCAGGACCAATCGACTTTTCCCTTCCTCCATTTCCTCCATCCATCAGTTGTCAGGATGGCTTCCATGTGAGCCCGCGCGCTGCCCCAGACAAACTAGCCTTGCGCCCGCCAGCAGCTAACCTTGATGACAGCGAGAGCTTCGATAACATTTACCTCGACCTCTCCAAGGAGAGCGGAAAGTGTCGATTTGCAGAGACCGGATTTGGCTGGAAGCCCGTGAGCGGCGGCGACACCTTCACCCTCGACCAGAGCAACATTGGCGGCGGCCACTGGAGTCGCGCCTCCAAAGGCTACGAGGTGCGCATCCTCCAGCGGAACTCGTCCACCATCATCCAGCTCGATGGCTTCGCCCAGGAGGACTATGAGCGCCTCGTCAAGATCTTCAAGAACTGGTACAGCGCGCCGCTCGAGAACAAGGAGCATGCCCTGCGCGGCTGGAACTGGGGCAAGGCCGAGTTCTCCAAGGCCGAGCTCATCTTCAACGTCCAGAACCGTCCCGCCTTCGAGGTCCCGTACACCGAAATTGGAAACACCAACCTGGCGGGTCGCAACGAGGTGGCCGTCGAGATGACGCTGCCCCTCAAGCCCGAGGACACGGGCACCAACGGCGCCCTGGGCGGCGCCCGGGGCAAGGGCAAGAAGGCCGGCGCCGGCCGGGACCAGCTCGTCGAGATGCGCTTCTATATCCCCGGCATGACCACCAAGAAGGAGACCGAGGGCGATGACGCCGCCAGCGACGCCGACGAGGCCGAGAAAAGCGCGGCCACCCTCTTCTACGACACCCTCATGGAGAAGGCCGACATTGGCGACACGGCCGGCGACGCCATTGCCACCTTCCTCGACGTACTGCACCTCACCCCCCGCGGCCGCTTCGACATCGACATGTACGAGTCGTCCTTCCGCCTGCGCGGAAAGACGTACGACTACAAGATCCAGTACGAGGCCATCAAGAAGTTCATGGTCCTCCCCAAGCCCGACGAGATGCACTGCATGCTCTGCATCGGCCTCGACCCGCCTCTGCGCCAGGGCCAGACCCGCTACCCCTTTGTCGTCATGCAGTTCAAAAAGGACGAGGAGGTCACCATTGACCTCAACCTCGAGGACGAGGAGCTTGAGGGCAAGTACAAGGACAAGCTCGTCTCTCACTACGAGGAGCCCCTGCACCACGTCATGGCCAAGATCTTCAGGGGCCTCGCCAACAAGAAGATCTCCTCCCCAGCCAAGGACTTTATCACGTACGTACACACCAAGACCTTTGCTTCAGCCGCCTGCTAACAAACACGCAGCCACCGCAACCAGTACGGCATCAAGTGCTCCATCAAGGCCTCCGAGGGCTTCCTTTACTGCCTCGAAAAGGCCTTCATGTTTGTGCCCAAGCCCGCCACCTACATTGCCTACGAGCAGACCGCCTCCATCACCTTCTCCCGCGTGTCGGGCGCCGTCTCGGCCCTGTCCACCTTTGACATCACCGTCAAGCTCAAGAACGGCGCCGGCTCCTCGCAGTTCAGCAACATCAATCGCGAGGACCTCAAGGCCCTCGAGGCCTTCTTCAAGCTCAAGGGCATCCGCGTCAAGAATGAGATTGACGAGGAGTCCAACATGCTCGCCGCCGCCATGCGGGAGCAGGCCATGGACGAGTCCGACGACGAGATTGTGGCCGCCAAGGCCGACCGCGGCTCCGCCGACGAGGACGAGGAGAGCGTCGACGAGGACTTTCAGGCCGACAGCGACAGCGACGTGGCCGAGGAGTACGACAGTGCCCACGATAGTAGCTCCGGGGACTCGGCCAGTGGCAGCGACCAGGGCGAGAGCGACGTGGAAGGCGACGAGATGGACGTCGATGACGGCGATGAGGAAGAGGAGCGACCAAAGAAGAAGTCGAAAACCGGTTAAGGCGCTCCCAGGGATTGGGGGGAGGTACCTAACTTACTGCTGATTAAGAGACACGGCGTTCCGGGAGGCTATTTAGTCGGGCGGGCATCATTGAGTACTTTGGCACCGGTCACATCATACTTCTTTTTTTTTTTTAAAAAAAGAAATTTTTCAATCGTTGAGCCTTTTCGCAGGGTTTAACCTTTTTTCAAGAATGTTCCAAGCGCCAAGCATCTTATGTCCGGTTCAGGAGAACGGAAAGTCAGAGAAGAGACATTGCACGTTGACACCAGACCACCACACGGAGAAAGAATCTTTATTTTTATTGTCTACTTTGTCATTGTCCATCATTCATCATGCTTGAAATCAAGTCTAAGCAGATCCATCCCTACAAACAAGAAGGAAACAAGGGCCCGTGTAATGAACCCATCCCGGGTTTCTGTCAATGGTGACGGGAGAAAGTTGCGCATCAGAAGCGGCGCGTCTGGTAGCAAAAGTCCGGAACGAATGCGTCATGTCGATGGTTGTGAATGCTTCCGTAAATGCGCCTGCTCAAACCCGACAAGAGTCTGTGAGCCCCTTCATGCATAGTTGGGGGGGCTTCTTGTGATGCCTTTCAACGAGAGGCTCGAGAACAAAAAGAGAGAAAGAAAAGAGTGTCCGCAGTCCCCTTCCCGTGAGGGCGGATCGTGATATGCCGTTCTATGGTGACATCGTGCGACTTTTTTGTGTGGTTGTTTTTGAGGTGTTGATGCGTTCCTCTAGATGTGCTCGCCGGTACCTTTGATGTGGGAGCGCGGAAACAGAGCGTATTGACCGACAGGTGGTGCGACCTGTGTGGACAGGCTCGACGTCCTCGCACGGGGCCGACGGGGCCTCACAGGCTCTTGCGCCTTCAAAGAGCTCATGTCCTCGCGCACTATCGACTCACTCGCGTGCGGCCGATGCATAGGCTTCCTTGCAAAATTGACGACTGGCATTGATGGCAGCTCAGGCACTGTATCCATGTTGATCTGGGGCGTGCACTCCTGATCAGTTGTATCATTTTCATCATCTTGCGCCTCAGCAAGCGTGTTTGCAGGCATCTGCTCGATATCGTTGGTTGTGCCAGCAGCCTTGTTGAGCGAATTGCTGCTGCTGCTCACAGTCAGACGAGTCATGGCCGTGAACGCCGAGTTGGCTGAGATATGACGATCGTCGGTCCGTATGCTGGACATGGTGTTGGTGGTGGAGGTGCTCGAGCGCTGCTGGTAGATCAGAGGAGACCTCGCCTCCACCGGCGAAACCTCGTCATGGTAAGGTCCGCGCAGAATCTCGTCGTCGTGATACTCGTATTTTTCAGCGAGCATTTGTTGATGGAAGTCCCCAGGGATAAGCAGGGAGGGGGAGAGGTCGAATCCATGCGATTCGTGGAAGCTCGATGCGTACGATACCGGGCGCACACCCTTTAGTTGAGACAAGCGGCTCCCCTTGTCTCCACGAGGAAGTGAAAAGTTGCTCGACACAATCAAGTGGCTGTGGGCAGCCTGTGTGTCCTGGCCCTTGAATTCGGACTGGTCCACTGCTTGGCTGACCGTCATCGCTAGCATGTCCTCCTCTGCCACAGCGGATAAGTTGCCGTGAACCTTCGGTGACGACGCTTCGGCTAGTCCACCATCAGCCAGGGCAAGCTGCACAGAAGGCTGCATTGGTGCTCGGGCACTGTCCATAGACGGACGATCCCACTGATAATCAAAATTGGCGTCCGCTTCATGCTCGTAGCAGTAGTCGATCGCATCTTCCCAGCTGCCACTGGTTGGCGAAGCTGGTGTTAGAGGGGCCTCTTCGCTTGCACCTGAAGCATCTACCCGAACCTTGACGTCGATGGTGATTGGGCCGAGTGTATCAGACTGGTTACTCATGGGCCGGGAGCGAGATCCGAAAGACCGAAGCGCGGGGACAGAGTGGCTGCCGCGGAGCGACGAGTTACTCGCGATGCTCAGTCTCGAGCGCCCAGCGACGCCGTTTTGCTCCTCTTCCTCGGGAACATCAGGTAGAGCCTTGTCAAAACTAGGCGAAAGCTGGGGGCAGGCGAGTGGCCATGCCGCGTCGTCAAGGGTAGTGATTGCGTGCGAAAATGGCCCGTCGCCCTCGACGCCAAACGCCTCGAAATCAGCTGATGGCATGCATCCATGCGCAGTCGCTGGCGATGGTGACGAGGCCTCTGGCTGTTCCGAGGGATCGAACGGCTGTGGCTTGCGGAAGCCCCCACTCGTTCGAGGGCGGTCGGCAGCCGCAGGACCGAATGCGCTAAAGCCTTCTGGTGCCAGGGATTGGCGGCTCGAAAGGCGAGGTGGTGGCACGGGTGCAAAGCCGGTTGGCTCTGTGCCGCCAAAGTCGGTAGGGGAATGAGATCCGAGCAGCTGGGAAGCTCGCGGTGGATTGGTGCGAAGCTGATCCGAAGACTTGGCCGACCTTATAGCATGGTACGAGCCAGAAACAGGCGCAGTGTGACGAGGCGCGAACGGAGGGCGAGATGGCGGGGCGGCCAACGGGGCGTCATCAAAGTCGCCCTGGATAGAGTCGATGGATGCATTGTGGAAATGGTGCAGATCCTGAGCCTTGATCTTCAGTGCACCGGGTTCCGCGGTGGTGTCCCCGCGACTCCCGCTGTGCAGGGCGGGCAGTTCGTGTCGATTCGTGTGGGTGACATGCTGGAAGTTGAAAGGTCCCGAAATCTGCAGTCTCTTCTGTGCTGTGTCGTCACGCGAAGGTTTGCGCCTAGCGAAGATGGTCGGAATGAGCGAGTCCTTGGAGAAGGGTTCCGCACTCGTTTCGGCAGAGTACATTGAGCTGTTGGACGAGCTGTGAGAGCTGCTGGCGCGCTTGTACTTGTTGTTTGCGTGGTTGCCCCGCTGGAACAAATTGCGTCCCAGAATTTGGACACTTTCCCTCGAGGTGCGCTGCTCCGAAGGCGCGCCGCTCGAGTTGGATCGGCTTGACGGGTTGCGACTGAGCGACATGTTCTCGAAAGAGTGCTCCCAAGGTGATCGTTCTGTTGCATGCCAAGGTGAGGAGCCTGCCGATTGCTGTCGTTGCACCCGGGGACGGTTCAAATAAGAAGCCCTTTTCATCTGCTTGCTCAGTTGGCGAAGCCTTTCAGGAGAAGGCGGACCCTCCATGGCTGGCTCCATGTAGTCGAGGTCTGGGGTAGCATGAGAATCTGACCTAGCAAAATCGCTGTTCTCTCGAGTCAAGGAGGGCACCGATAGTGAGGTCTTCAGGGCGTCTCTGCTGCGGGTGCGGCGAGCCCGCCTAGAGCTTTGTTGCTCCTGTTGTTGGCCGTTGATCTGGGCCATGGTAGCGGTTACGACAGAGGGCGACGAGCAAACGTGCCCTCTGGTCTCATTGACAGCTCTCGCTCCAGATTGGGGTACGTTCCCGTGCCCGGATGAGCAGTCGAGTGCTTTCTCCTCCACAAAATCTGTTCAATTGGTCGCAGTGGTCTTTCGGAGACCCAATGCCAATGCTGGCAGATTGTAGCAACACAGAGCTCGCCTTCGTATGGCTTGCTGCCCGTCAGTCGTATATTGATGTGGGCCAGGCCAAGACGGAGTCCGGAGGATATGAGAAACCCAGAGAGCAGCGATTCGGTGTCAATTGGCAACTCGGGATCCTCAAGGGGAGAATTGGTCGTAGTGAGTGGTTCGTGGGGGTGAGAGGCGAGTACGTGGTATGTAGAAAGAAAGACGAGAGCTTCCCGAGCTGCAAAGGTACAACTACCAAACCAGGGTTGCTTGAAGAAGCAGGGCGTCTGCCGACTAGTCTATTGATGCATAAAAATGAGTGTGAGAGAGGGCGGGCAAAGAAGCAGAGAAGTAGAAGAACAAGATGACTCCGTTACCATGCAAAAGCAACAGGAGAAGGAGCGAGGCAACACTGACGTTTGCTGATGTGTACCAGAGAGTCGAGTAGCACAGACAGCAAAGGTAAGGTGAGGTAAGGCACGCAGCGCTGACGGCAAGGCAGTGATAATAAAAGGAATAATTTCGCTGTAATGAGAAGTGACAGATGGTGCCGACCGGGGAAAGACGCGCCATATGGGCACGGGCCCAACGGAGCAGGCAGGGGTCACGACTGGACCTTGAGGCCAGGGGCTAGCAGCCTACGTAGTAGCATCCGATCAGGGGAGGTCCTCGCGCGAGCATGAGAACAGGGGTCTGGTCCTTCAACACGCCAGGCCGCCACCAGGCGACTGGACCCTATTAATTAATACGGTAGCCTTGTTGGTCACGGTTGGTGACGGACTGGAGTGAGTGATTGATGTGGACTGCAGTCTGCAGCCTGCACTCTGCACTCTGCACTCTGCAGTCCAGTCGTCGGGGACGAGGGACATGAACTGGACTAGACTGGAGTTTGTTCCTGGCGGTGCCTGGTTCCTGCGCTAGATGATGCCCGATGGAGTAGCTGGGCCGAGAAGGGTTAAGCCTGTCTTGTCTGCCTCCTCAGGCGCAGCTGCGCTATCTGCACCACAGCACAGCAAGCACAGTACAGCGCCGCACCGCACCGCGCAAGCACAGTCTGTGTGTCCATTGTGTCGATTGCCTCTGATACTCACTTGCTTCTTGGTTGACCCCATCTTCCCCGAATCGCGAAACGCACGGTGGAGGAAATTGGTCGCTCTGTTTGTTCATATTTCTGGGGTTGGCTGGAGATCGTCGAAACGTCAAGAAGATTGAAACAAGGTGAGGAAACAACGGACGCGGCATGTGGTCGGCGAAAAGGCTTCGAATCGTTCTTCGTTAACACACTGACTGAGACACGTGGGGACTGCGTGCTTCCGACTACGTGTAGTACTGTGAAGCACAAACTGAACAAGCAATCGTGCTGCAGGGCTGGGGACAGCTACGTAGCCACCAAGTCAGAGAGCCCCTTCTCACGAGTCAATCCGACGCTCAGCTCAAATGTCATGAAACCCCACGCATAACCAATCGCAACACATCAGCAATGCTGCCAGCCCTTGAGACGACAGCTTGTCTCGCCGCCGTCCAGCAAGATGAACAGAAGAAATCCGTTTCTGAGTATCAACAATGCGCTGAGTGCTTTTACGGCTTGCCAGCACCGCACTCCACCCACTCCACTCCCCAGCATTCGCGAGCCTGGGTCCAGTCTCCAGGAACCCAAGCCCCGAAAAGAGGGCTCCCGGTTCCGCTCCGAGTGCGCCGTGGAACACTGACGAGAAACACGCCAGCCCGTCGCGTTGGACTGAGCGCAGTCAAGCTCGACGGACAAGGGGCAGTGGTAGCAGATCCATTGCTCCATCTCGCATGCGGCGTCGAGTGCTACGGTTGCATACAGGTACGTAGGCAGCCCATCTGCCGTAAAGATGTCCGCTGCCCACAAACGTACGTGCGTGGGTATGTACACAATTACGAAGATGGCGGCGGCGGCCCAGGGGTGATGGCACATGCCGGTGGGATGTGTTACGAGGCTAGACTAGAAAGTCGTGAAACAAGCCAAGTGGGAACACGAAGCTGCATCTGCCGGCGTGGCTCTCTGCTAGTTCAACAGTGCCGCTCATTCTTCCAGAATGTACCGTACGTATGTCTTAATCGTGGTACATACAGCAGTGCGATCTGATAGCAAGTGTTGGGCAACTATGAGTGGCTGCTCGTCTGGCAGCACGCAGATGTGCAGGAGGCATGCGGAGGGCCGACAATAGTTCGATGGATAGCTACCTCGAGTCGGCGCACGTCGAGACTGACTTTGACGCCCTAGACCTGTGTCACCATTGTGTTCTGCTACGGGCTATTTGTTTCCTAGTGATATCCTCGGGGCATGAAGCTAGTCGAAAAGCACCAGCAAGTGCAACTGTAACACATCCGCCCGCGGGTGGTTACCGTTATCAATGCCCTACCATATTCGTGGTGAGACGTGAGGTCCAACGGACCCCATATTGGCAGTCTAGCGGTGTCCAGGAGTGTATTGATAATATCAGTAAGTGCCCTTGAGCTCTTCAATTGCTCACGAGTGTCTCGGTTGGACATACTGTCGCTGTCCCATGTGGAGGTTAATACATAGATAGGTTCTCTGATGATCTCACACTGTTGTATGGTGTAGTATAAGTCACACTTCATGAACAAATTGCGAGTGGAGTGATGTGCAATCGGCCCTGCAGACGATCACGATTAGACGGCCGGAATCCGATAGTACCTGTGACAATCGGTAAAATGAGCTGGACTTGCCCATGACGAGACGGGCCATTCGGCGTGGACCCAAGCCGCAATGGAAACGCGTTTCCAACAGCGTCTTGCAACGACAGACAACAAACCACAGCAACCGTCGGGAAGAATGACACTGACCGAGGCCCACGAAAAGTATGGGCACGTTGCAGCAGGATCTGCCCCACGAGAACGTGACGAAACGTCGAAACCTGCAGAGGGCAGCGTTACGGAATGAGCCCACATGGCGACTGTAGTTTGGCACGGGAAAGAAGGGCAACTCTGCTGGTGTGCGCTTTTCAATAGGGACTTGGGAAGCTGATTGGGCATCGACACCAAGACAAAGAAAGCTCTGCAATTGCAACGATGGCACGGTGAAGTGATGCGTACGGACACCATCACGTGCGTTTGCCCTCGTGTCTCTTCGTGTCAGCGATGACTGGGGGGAAGCCTGCAGGTCGCACCACGGCGCTATACGACGATGATCAACAACGTAGGAGCAAGGCGATCCGTATCCTCGGGTTCGGTCTCCGTGTGATTGATTGATTGCCAATTGATTGCCAAGCAAGCTGCTGCGTGCCCACCATAGTCCACGCGGGGCGCCGACATGTGCAGCCTTGCCTTGTTGGTCTGCACTGTCGAGCCGTGTCGAGGGCGGTGTGCGCAGGATGCATCCGAGGGAGAAGGTGAGGTGATGAGTGAGCTCCCTGTCCCTTGTCATTGACCTGGATTCTGAAGATTTTGTCAACGCCGCCTATCTGTACGTGGAAGGGTCCAACAGTACTGACGACTGGAGCCTCATGCGAGCCATGTGCAGAGTGCAGAGTGCAGACTGCACGACGCGGCAGGGGTCACGTCCTTCTGGAGCAGCGCCGGCCATTGGCTCGCGCAGGCGCGTCCTGCGGGCGGGTCGCACGGGACGTCCACCAAGGGCCTCTTCACTGGAGTCCAGTCTGCAGTCTGCAGTCATGCAGCAGACGGGCGGGGATGACAATTTTCATAAGTTCATGTTCGTAACAACTTGTCTGTGACATCCAACAAGCTATCGCGCTTGCTTCCCACCCAGAGGTGGCCTGGTATCCGAACTGTAGCAGCGTACGAGTAGCTCATGTAGCCCGAGTGAGGAGTTGCATCCAATCAGGTGCTTCGTGTAACTTTGGATTGTTGATGGGCTGCTCGTACAATATTACACTTGTGTAAGTACGAGCATCGCGAACGTAAGGTGAAGTTTTTCTTAGCCAGACAAATCTACATATACCGTTACAAAGCCACATTCATTATAAACTCCTAGGTGTTACCCGCGTGATCATCCGTCTCGCATCCATAAGGCAGGCTGTTCTCTCATTCATGGCGTCTCCATTTATCCATACCCATAACATACAATACTTACTGGACCCGTCACCGTCATAGGACTCTTGTGATAGGAATGATTGAGTAGCTTAAAGCTCGTTTCAATCTTTCAATGCGAGTGATATTATGCAGTGTGAGGCACAACAATTATCCAGCTTCCGTCAGGCTGCATGCACATGCTCGCAAGGCCAGTCTCTTTTGAGACTGGGGTTCCTCTACTCCGTAGTGCAAGGGGACCTGGTCCCCAACACGTACACCAACTACCTACCCTGGACAGCTCTCACCATGGACATGGTTTGCGCTACAAAACGGCTGATCGAGTGTCATTGGCATAGGATATGTTGCTTGATGGCCAATAATATCAAAACCGGGGTAAACTTGACGAATAAGTTCGAGCACCACTGATTCATGCTGAGAAAAGGTTGAAAACAAATGTCAACTACACTCCAGGACTACTCACTATATCCCAACTCGCTAGTCTAGTAAGATATGGGTTGTTCATTTTCAACGAATTGTGTTATTGAATCCCAAGTAAGTCCTCGGCCCAAGTCAGAGTCGGCAGCCAGCCACTGCTTGTTTTGCGATTGGTGGCTGATAGTTATGACATGGGCGGCTTGTTGTTCACCGGTCGACCTCGGGAATCCGCATCATTCTTCCTGTTCACTAATCCTGACAGGGAGACAACCCGCGCGCATAACATAACGATCCACAGTCTGCGAGCCACGGATGCATCATGCACTGGCGGCGGACCCCAGCAGGGGCTCATCTTCAATGTTGTTGCTGACATGTGTTCTCCGTGAGTCCGTTGACTGATGCGATGATTTATTATTCCACGCGTCTGTTACCCCACAACATTGCCAATAGGCCATCGTCTTCATCTTCCGGTTCGCGCTTCGCTGCACTTGAGTCTACCACCAGTGAGCATCTACGTTTAGTGGCCTGTTCGGTTGAGATGTATCCGCACCTGACTGATCAATGCCAGCCAGCCAGCGGCCAGCCCTTTCGGGGTATGGGTCCGCGGTCCCCATCCTTACCTGCCGCAAGAGGCCACACAAGACGCATATCGCGGGACGAGAATCCAGGGGAGGAAAAGCCACCGATCGTGTCAACCAACACAGCTTCCACCACGAGTTACGTAGCCTCATCAGGATCTTGACGATGGTAATATATCATTTTCTCGGAAGCCCACAACGACGCGCGTGCTTTTTCAAGTGGCAGATCTATCAGCATAATAGCATCTTGTCTCCGAGGCAGTGATCTTGTGGGATGAAGCCCCGCCAGGCTCCAGGAAGTTCCTTTGGTTCTGACTCCTGCCATTCTACCGTAGTTCATGACCCTGTAATCAAGGTACCGCATGCCACGCGTGCGTCCCAGCCATCAACGATCAATCCTTTCAGACTTTTTCAGAAAGTGCCGCACCTCTTCTCCTTGCATGCGGGCTAGGTACCCTTGTCGTTGTGCCGCCCACGCGCAGGATTCGCGATGCGGGACCGAAAGGGGATTGATCCATTGACTTTCTGTCATGTTCTTCCGAGTCCCTTCCAGAGAACATTTGGGCGCATATCCACCAAAAGTAGGCGTTCGAGAAACGTCTTCTCGGGTGCTCATGCGAGCGAGTCGCACTCGGTCTCGGGCGCCTTTGCCATGTGTGCACGCAGGGACGTCTTGTAGAACGATATTTTAGGCCGGGAGAGGCCCGATGAACAGCTTGGCTGGGGACAAGGCTGTGCAGAGTTGACAGCGGGTTTTGGGGCCGGGCGGGGTGGCTGGCTCCCCGCCTTGCCTCTACAGTCCACAACACGCCAGCCCCTGGTCCGCCATGCCACGCAACCTGCTCCGTATTTGAAGTGACAAGATCTGACAAAGTACGTACCCAGACCAACGGGTCCTTGGCCGGCCCCCCCCTCAAAGGAGATGGGGTCGCCGAACTTCTGTAGCGAGCGGCACAGCCAAAGAACTTGAAAGGAGAACCTAGGGGTATCGAGAAACGCTAGATTCAAGGGTCATCCAAGTTACGCAAAACGACACCAGCGGACGCTCCATAATCCGACGGTTGAGTAGTCGGCAGTCCAGAAGCTGTGGACTGCTTGAGTCTACGTGTAGTTGCAAAGGAAGGGGGAAAATACCCATCGATACGTAGGCCCTGCGCACCCCATCCTTCAAAGTGCCACGAGGGCGACTCGCTGTGCATGAGTTGGGTGACGAAAGACAGGGAACAAACTCCGTGCGTCACATCCAGACCAAAAAAAAGGCCACCAAGACACTCCGCAACTCCATACGTATAACCGCTCGAGACAAGGCGTTGATCCGCTTTCTATTACAATTCGTGAGCTTGTCCTCTTCCGATCAGCTCGACGGGCCTGGCCGAGTTGATCCATGGTCGTGATCGACGTCCAATTCCTCACTCCGGCTCTTGCGTTTCGGCCTGAACATGTCTCCCAGCGCATCGCTTAGGCTGCGCGATCTCATGCGCCCGGTATGCTCTTCGTCGTCGACTGTGTCGCGAAACGGCTCATCTTGGTCATGGAACACAGGCGCGAGGTTGTCCTCGGAGACAGGCCCGTCTTCGTTGAAAAAGAGGCTGGCGCGTATCCGTGAGCGCAGGTGCCGCATCGACGACTGCGTCGCGAGGGCTCTCTTGTCGCCACGCAAGAATCCATCTTTCATCACCGTCGTGACTGTCGATGACAGCGGCGATGGCGATATGAATGTCCCAGACCGACGGTGCTGATAGGGATGTGCTCGGTCCTGGGGTGTCGTGGGCCGTTCTGAGCAGCCTGGTGGTGCTAGCCCATCGCGCATCGGCGTCGTGGGAGTAGACATGACCGCTGAGCCCCTCATCAGCACGTCGGCAGACATGGTCCTAATGCCTCTGCCGGGCGGTTTTAAGGGTGAAGGGCCATCCCAAGGGTTGTGCTCCAGTGAGCTGTTGTCCACTTCAGGCGTCTCTGGTATGCTGCCTGGAGTAGGGTAGCAAACGGAGGCAGCATCGTGATCAATGTCGGGTGCTTGTGATCTGTTGCCCTCTGGAAACACAACGCGCGAGTGTTTACTAGATCGCCGACTCTGTGCTACCGATGGTCTGCGGGGCGTGTCTTCGTACGGCTGGTGGCTGTCATGGCGGTCAAGGCCGATAGTCTCTTCCACGCTCGTGGTGTCTGACAGTGCATCCTCCTCCTCGTCACCCTCACGTTGTTGTCGCCCACTCGTAATGAGAAACACGCCAAAGAACGTGAGAAGACAGCCGCCGACAAACTTGCCCGCCTGCTCTGCGTTGGTCTTTTCAAAGTCGCGATAGAGAATGGCGCTTCCGAGGATGACACATAGGGTAAACATGACGAACTGGATCGGTATCACCTGCGTCGACTCGAAGCGTTGCAGGGCCTTGTTGACGTAGCGGATCTGCATGATAGCTGTCCCAAGCAGGATCAAAACCAGGACATATGTGACAGGCGTCGTGAATGCACGCCACAACGTCGACGACAGCATGGAAGAAACACCTTTCGTAGATAGCGCCGTATAGCCACCTATAAATCGTCAACATTCTGGATCGACTTGGGTGGGAAAGTGCAGTAACTCACCGAAAAGGCCAACCAGTCCTAGATCGATAAGGATAGTTTGACGTCCATAGCGAGGGCTTGCCCACATCAAGACAATGATTAGGGATACTGTTACTCCCAGGTAGATTTCGAATGCCAGAGTGGTAATGGCGCCCCAGACATCGTGAGGATTCAGCTTGGTCTCCTCTGTCTTCGCACTGAGCACCACGGTCACAACGCCTCCAACCGCCACGACTACGCCCCAAAAGTCCCTCTGCCGGAACCGCTCCTGGAACATGAGAGGCGCAATGAGACAGTTTGATATGAGAGCGACGACACCGAGAGGCGAAACGATCGAGGCAGGTGCGAAGCCATATGCCAGAAAGTTGCCCATTTCCCCCAGTGTAATCAGGACCTGCCCCAACCACCAGTAGGGCGACTTCAAATAAGACGACGCGGCCTTGGCCTGTCGCTCGGCTTCTGCCTCATCCTCGTCGTCGTTCCCTTCTTCTACGGTCGTGGTGCCCGAATTGTACGAATGTGTGAGCGGTTCCGTCTCGCGACTATCGTGTGGTGGTTCGTCGTCGTGAGGTATTGTAGCCCCATTTCCGCCGCCGGTAGTGTTCCCGTTCGTGCCATAGCCGAAGGCGCCATAGTTCGAAGGCTGCCCTGAATGCGTTTGCTTGGTGGCTGCCCGAGCTCGCTTGCGTATTGAGATCCTTTCCTTGTGCAGGCGCGTATGTGCATAACGCTGTACATTGAGTGCGAGGGCGATGAGGACGTTTCCCACAATAGCTGTGACTATGCCGATAAGCGAGGACCAGTTCTGGAGTTCATGACCACCGCCATGTCCTCTGTCGCTGTCGCCTGGGTGCGGCGTCGCCGTCATTGCGGCGGTTGGTGTAGGTATGTCGAGGAAACGAGACGAGGACCATGGTAGCTCATTTGCAGGGCTGAGAAGCTTCATGTCTGTGTCCGCTGTCCTGCACAGTCAGAGAGGTTGGGTGTCAGCCGGCCCCTCGACGTCGCGATGGCGCTGACGTTGCGCGAGCGCTGCCTGCCTGGTTGGCAGTGCCGAAGCTTGTCAAGTCCCGATATCCGAGACACCGTGCTTAACGCCTGGCTGAATGATGCCAAAAGAATGGCCTGCGTGAACGAGGATAAGAAGACCCTTCTCTCCCAGCTTCGTAATTACAGCCCAGCGCGGATGACGGCTTGGCGGCCCTTGGGGTCATTTCACAGTGGCCCGAGCCACGTCCGCTCTGACGACCCCAGCCACACCCGAAGCTAATGCGCCACAACCGCGCGACGTAGGCAGCCAACACGACCAGTCTTTGGGCACTTCGCCATGTCTTGTATCCGTAAGTTGGACGGATTGCCTGAACGGTACTTTGATAGTCTCTAGGCTTATTGGATGCAACATTCTTCCTGCGATTGTGGAAGAGTTCGAGTTGAGACACATCATGCTCTACCATGTAGATAATACAGTAGGCTCTTAGAAGGGACGAATCGAGCAAAGGTCAAACCGGAATACATGGGGCGATGGATATCAATGATCATGAACACCAGGAATAAGTAGAACTCGCAATGTAGCCTAGCCGCCTATGTGGTCACAGTGATGTATTAGTGGAGCCAGATGGACGCATAATCCAATGAGAACGCATGTTTTCTAGCATGAAGCCACTCAGCTGAAGGTGCCTATAATCCCAAGGTCGTGAACTTTGTGACGTCTGGTCTCTTGATATTCCTGTTTCTAAAACGCATATTATCGACAGCCTGTTTCTCTTCATCGGTCACTCAACCGACAGCATCAGAATCATCATCGCCTTACTGCACCATGCAGCCTCACGGTCTGGCTAGTCTTCTCTTCTCGAGCTATAGCCCATATGCGCTCCAGCATCTCCCGCAACCTACCCCAAATGACCTACCTTCCGGATGTGATGGCAACGCTTTTGGATTCCAGGACGCATTCGAGGATCTGTTGGCGGTGAGCAATGGCCAGCCCTTGCCTGACATCAACCGACGGTACCAGCAAAAGCTGGCCCTCCGGGAAATGTTCCCGTCAGGCGAGCCCATGGGCTATTGGCATAGTCGACTTGCTGCAGCTGGCCTGTTGAGTGGCTATCAGGCCTCGCGTAACCTTGACCAGTTCACCAAGTCGGACTTTGAAGCTTTGCACAGTGAGCTCAGATCGAAAGCCAATGAAATTTGGGGTCGCCGTATGCGACGTCAAGCTATTCAGGAGATGATCGAGGATGATACGCATGGAGGCCCTCTGCGTGGGGATAGAACCTGGGCAGCGACGGAACGTCTACAGTCGCAGAGGCAACACGATGCAGCGCGTGAAATGCACGGGCATAGCAACAACACTCACAAGGCTCAACAAGAAGCTTCCACTGCGGATTCAAAGCCACTGCCTGAAACCGAGCTGGAACTATCTGAAGCCCTTCAAGGCCTTGCTGAATCAGGACAGCGAACATGGGATGCGTTTGCAAAGTCTTTCGTGAAGCCCTTGCCTCATATCCTTGAGGCATTGTTGGGTCTTGATGGAAAGGCTGTCGACGATGCATCGCGCGTGGGCACCCAGCTTGAGGAAGAATTTGCAAAAGCCGAAAAGGCATTCCGCGATATCGCACGGCAGCTGGGGTCCCATATGCCCACCCCTGAACAGCAGCAGCGCATGGACGCCACGAGGCGGGTGTCACTGGATGACTTGCAAGCCCAGACTGAACGAGAGCAGCCATCGCAAGCCCCGCCAGCACATGAACACATCACTGGGCAGTGGAACACCAGGATTGAAGAGTCAGAAGATAGGCATTGCGACCAATATGGCTATATCCATTCCAATGTCATCCGCAAAGAAGTTGACCAGGACGGGATGGAGGTGGGACGGACCGAAACATACGCCATGTATCCGGCCCCTGACCGTGTGTCGTTCCCGAGTGATGAACGCGCGACATCTCAGAAGACGCAAGACAAGACAGGGTGGTTTTGGAAATAAGTGAAGTTTGGTGGAATGCTCTCTAGTGCAAATTGTCGGTTACTGGTCAAACAGAGTTCAGTTATATACTCTCTACTCTAAAAATGCGAAATGTGGTTATCAACATCAACGCTGCGCCATCGCAACTGGCCTTTTTGTACAACGCATGAATGTCCTCTAGCCAGCTCTAGCCTTGGCCTTCTTCTTGCGCATCAACCTCGTACGCGCAATGAGCTTCTGCTTCATGTCCGATGTCCCTTCCGCAGGCGCCGCTTTCTCCGATCCATGGTCAGCACCGTCCTCGGGTTTCTTGGCCTTGGCGCCCTTGTTCATATTGCCCTTTTTGCCTTTACCTCGATTTCCGCGGGCACTCTTATTATCCTTCAGAATCTTGGCGGTCTTCTTGTCGTCGTCCTCAGTAGACGCCTTGGTGGAAGACTCCTTGTCCTTTGCCCTTTGTGCACCCTGCGCGCCACTTGCCTCGACAGCCTTCCTCCTCTGCACGACCTGTGCGTTCTCAATGGCAAACTCAACAATCAAGCGCTGCTTCCGACCGTTTTCACCTTCGAGCTGCATGCCGTTCAGGTAGCGCAAGCCCATGAGTGCCCAATGGTGGTTCGTGTACTCAATGAAGCCGTAGCCGCGGCTCTTTCCGGCGCCGCTCTTCTCCTCGACTTTGGAGCCTTGGTTACTTTCAAAAATGATCTTGGCCTGCCTCACAATGCCTTTGCCCTTGGCTCTGCGCTCATGTTCCTTTTCCTTGGCGTCCTTGCCGTCGCGGGCGTTCTCCTCTTTGGAAAGGGGCTGGCGCTTGCCTTCTTTCACTTCCTTTGCAAAGCCTACAATAGCCTTGCGCGCCAGCTCTTTGAGGTCCTTCGAATCAATATTGCGGGGAATGTTGCGCAGAGCGAGACGCGTCAGACTCAAGTGCAGGCTAGGGTTCTTTTGGACCAGCTTCTTCCTCTGTCCAGCGCTAGCCTCACGCATCTGCAGCTCTTGTTGGCTCAGCAACTTGAACAGGCCGGATCGAGGTGTGATGGCGCCCTCTTGTAAAAGGTACAACCTGCGCTTGTCCTTCAAGTGACGCTGCGCAAGAGAGCTGTCGGCCAGATTGGCAGCTTGCTCCCGGTTGACAGCTTGCGCTACTTGCAACAAACGGCCGTCAAGCGTGTATTGACCATCGGGATCCGCGTTCTCGTCCTGCAGGATCGAATGCTTTGATTTGGCGGCTGCTACCGACTGCTGCGGTCGGGGAGCATTCTTCACGCAGGACTTGGCGTCTTCTTCGTTGAAGAAACAGACAAATCCCGTGCCGGCAGGTTTGTCGGTGGCTTTGTCGTATACCACGCGGGCGTACCGCACAGCGCCAAAGTGGTTGAAGAACTCTTTGACCTGGTCGTCGGTCGCTGTAAAGGGCAGGTTGCGAATGAAGAGAGTCGAGGCGTTGTCTGTTGTTCTCTGAGGTTTGGCACCGATCTCGTCGTTTTCTGCTTCGGCTGCTTCGGCTGCTTCCTCATCTTCGTCGTCCTCGTCTTCCTCATCTTCCATATTCACCATGTGGTTCTTCAAGAAGTTCTTCATATCGTCGTCTAGTTCCTTTTCCTTGGATTTGGCAGGTGCACTATCCTCTGCGACATTATCGTCATCCTCTTCATCGGAGCTGCCAGAGGAAGAGGTGTCGTCGTCGTTGTCATCGACCGCAGTTTTGGTGCTCTTCTCTTGCTCCTCAGTCCAGGTCTTCTTGTCGACTGCCCAATCCACAGCAATAGGTCTTCCGTCGATGTCCTTGCCGTTGAGTGTTTCCAATGCCTTCTCTGCGTTCCTCCTGCCACGTAGCGTAACGAAACCGAATCCCTTCAGCTTGCCTTTGTTTTGGGGCAAGTCTGCATATCGCACCTTTCCGAAACTTAAGAACAGTTTCTCAAGCTGTTCTTTTGTCTTGATGGTCCACGGCAGGTTGCGCACAATCAGTTTTGTGGCTTGGGGCGCATCGGGTCTGCCGGGCTTGGGTTTCGGCGCCTGGGGCTCTTCACCCTTCCCGCCACGAGTTCGAGGCTCGGCAATGTCTATTCTCAAATGGCGACCTTCCCAAACTTTCTTGTCTAGGGCAACCTTCGCCTGCTGGGCATCTTCGGCGTCGGCGAAGGTCACGAAACCATATCCTCTGGATTGCTTGGTCGCCTGGTCTACAACAACAGTAGCATGCTTCACAGGGAAGTACTCGGAGAAGAAGTCTGTAAGAGTTTCGTTTGTAGCGTCCGGGGGCAGCGATCGAACGAAGATGGACCGGCGCTCCTCGACTCTTGGCTTCTTCGATTTGGGACGAGATTCGGTCTTGAGACGGCCGTCGGCAATCTGCTGTGCGATTTTGGCTTCAGCGGCGGCGTCAATGCCCTCTTCCACCTCAGACAAAGGCCTCTTTGTGCCGGACGTTTGGGTCGCCATGATGGGAACAAATATCGAGGCCGAAGTGGTGTACTGCCTTCCAATTTCTTGTGATTCTGAGGCCACGCTCGGTGCCACTTGACATGGCCGCCCGTCTAAGGAAAAAAAAGTTGGGCAGATTGGTACCAGGTAGATAAGAGACGGACGTGGAGCTTATCGCACGTGATAGAGGGGGGTTGCTAGCTGCCGCCTGGACCCCAGCGCTAGTCCATATCTGGCACCTTGTTGACGAGGGACAATCGCGTCGGTCGCGCGACGAATCCAAACACAAGGTCGATACACCATCACCATCCGAGAAACGCAGCGATATCAGTACCATACCAAGAAACGATCGACGTATCAGCATGATTTAGCGACCTGTGTTTTCAAAAGCACACATTATCATGCCTGCGCGGACAACTGCGCGCCCAAGGCGTGCCCCTGGCACCTCGAGGCCGAGCGGGAGAGGGTCTGGCGCATCGGCGAGCGCAGAGCCCACTGATACACCGGATAACCCTCTACGACAGCGAATATGCTCCATATTTGGCGACGCACAGAAGACTACGGCTACTCATCGAAAATTGGCTGTCAATCTGCGCAAGATTCACGAGGCATGCTGCTACGAGCCGACCACTGGTAAAGCCAGCCAGGGGGAGGGGTTTGACGAGGCAACATTCAACAAGGAGTTTGTGCGCTGCGTTCTGAAAGCGATGCCTGTGAAGAAGACGGAAAGTGCAGGAGAGAAGATCATCAAGTTCGCTGGCTTCTTCCTTCGGCATGCGAGCGACAAAGATTACGAGATCCTGGGAGATCAAGGGGCAGACGACAGTATTTTGCCCGAGACGCCAGGCACTCGCCTCGCAGCGGAGGTGTTGGAGGCCGTCCTCCCTTTAATGACTGCGAAAGACAAATTTGTGCGCTTCAGGGCGACACAGCTCGTTTCATTCACCGTCAACTCCCTCGAAGCGATCGACGACGACCTATTCCAAAAACTGCGGTACGGACTGCTCAAAAGAATCCGCGACAAGGAGGCCATGGTCCGTTCTCAGGCGGTTCTGGGCCTTGGTCGACTTGCTGGCAACCATACAGAGGGTGGCAACGACTCAGATGACAGTGACGATGACCAAGGTGGCTTGCTGGAGAAGTTGCTCGATGTGTTAAAGAACGATCCGGCTGCAGACGTCCGCAAGTCCTTACTCGTAACACTGCCCATCACACAAGCCACCCTGCCTTTGCTGCTGGAAAGGGCAAGAGATCAGGATCCTGCCACTAGGCGCACTGTCTACTCGCGCTTATTGCCTTCGCTCGGTGACTTCCGGCACCTATCGCTCTCGATGCGCGAGAAGCTCTTGCGGTGGGGCTTGCGTGACAGAGACGAGAATGTTCGAAAAGCCGCTGGTCGCCTGTTTCGCGAACGGTGGATCGAAGACTGCGCCGGTGTACCGGCCGAAGGCGATCAACAAGCCGACGCTGGTCCCAATTTTGACGGTTTGTTGGAGCTTCTTGAGCGTATTGATGTGATCCACTCAGGGGTCGAGAACGGCGTCGCGCTCGAGGCCATGAAGGGGTTCTGGGAAGGCCGTCCCGATTATCGCGAAAACGTGGAACTGGACAACACGTTCTGGGAAACACTGTCCGCCGAGTCGGCTTTCATGGCTCGCAGCTACAATGACTTTTGCCGCAACGAAGGCAATGGCAAGTACGAGCGCCTTATAGACGAGAAACTTCCGGAAGTGACCAGGCTTGCATTCTATCTCGAGCGCTACCTCCAGGTACTTGCTGAAGCAATCAAGCGAGTAAACCAGCAAGAAGGCGACGAAGATGAAGAAGAGGACACAACCGAACAGGAGTTTATTGTCGAACAATTACTGCACATTGCGATGACTTGCGACTACTCGGACGAGGTGGGCCGGCGGAAAATGTTCACCTTGATGCGATCCTCGTTGTCGAACCCGGACATGCCAGATGAGGTCACCAAGCTTACCATCGAGGTGCTGCAAGGGATCTGCTCCCCCGATGCAGCTGGTGAGCGAGAGTTTTGCAGTATCGTTCTGGAGGCTGTCACCGACGTACACGATACTATCATGGACGAGCCAGCCGAAGACGAGGGTGAAAGCTTTCACTCTGCAAGATCCGAGATCAGCTCGGAGAGTGGCCCAGCGAAGACCAACAAGCGCGAGGGCAAGCCCGAGCTCAGCGAGGAAGAAGCTCGCGACAAGGCGGTCAAGGAGATTTTGGTCAACATGAAGTGCCTGCACATTGTGCAATGCATGCTCACGCATGTTGCTGGAAATCTTCAAGACAATACCGATTTGGTCGCCATGTTGAATAACCTGGTTGTGCCTGCGGTCCGAAGCCATGAAGCACCAGTTCGCGAAAGAGGACTTGTGTGTCTTGGTCTATGTGCTCTACTAGATCGATCCTTGGCCGAGGAAAACTTGGGCCTCTTTATTCATTTCTTCAGCAAGGGCCACCCTGCGTTGCAAATGACAGCTTTGCATATCTTGACTGACATCCTGAACGTCCACGGTTCACAGCTCCTGACGTCAACACCAGGCCTTCTCAAAGTCTATCTCAAGGCTGTCAAGGGCAACGCCAAATCTGCAGAGGTGCAGGCAGCGGCAACGGTGGCAGCCACAAAGCTCCTCTTGGGTCGCGTGGTCAGCGATCTTGAAGCAAGCCATGACTTGCTCAAGTCGTTGGTTGTGGCCTACTTTGATCCAGCTTCAGCTCATAACCAGACTGTCAGACAGGCGCTGAACTATTTCTTACCTGTATTCTGCTACTCAAGGCCTGATAATCAGGATCTCATGCGCTCGGTAGCTCTCGAGTCGCTACACGCACTCCTCAATGTCCGAGAGAACTTTGAGGACGATGACGTGGACGTGGACGAGGACATGGTCAGCTTGAGCACGATTGGCGCATGCCTTGTGGACTGGACGGATCCCAGAAAGTGCTACACGCCGATCCTAATTCCAGATGCGGACAAGAGAAATGTCAACGGCGACGTGCATTTGGAGCTTGCCATGGACATTTTGGAAAGACTGAATTCGAACATTAGCAGTAAGTCAAAATGGTTGGCTGGTGGAGCTTATGCTAACATCTATGCAGAGGAGGAGAAGAAGCTCGTTGCTTCTTTGCTGGGTAAACTTTACATCTCACCTGGTTCGTCCCCGGATCGCCTCCGCGAGACATACACCGAGGTGTCATGCGCCGTGGAAGACGGTATCCTCACGGATGCCACCAGCCGAAACGCACTGTATAAAGTCCACGTCAGCTTAGGCAAGATCGTCAATGGGCTAGACGAAAGCAAAGCTGCGCCAACAGATCTCCGTGCTAGTGTCAGGAGCAGCACCGCGCCAACTGAGAGGCAAGATACAGAGGATCGCTCAGGTCTTGAGTCAACGAGCATACCAGAAGAAGAGGAGGTTGCCGACGAGACTGCTGCGCTGAAGAAAGAGGAAGACATGAGCTTGGACGACGAGGGTGTGACCGAGGCAGGTAACGATACGCAAGCATCGTAGCACTGCCTCAGATGTAGCTGAAATAATAACGATACGAGGAACGGGCTGGCTCTACCCGGTCTTAGTACAAGCGAAATGCAAGTAATTATCACCGTGGCATCAACGTGAATACCCCATGGTTTTATATCGATTTTGTTGTAGAATCTAATGCTATACATGGTGGTCGTCTCAACCACTCTTGCATGTCCCAAGCCAGAAGAGCACACTCCCTAACGCAACGTTGATGACGAGGTGTTGCCCTAGGCTCCACGCCATACAGTACAAATACTTCGGGGAAAAGACAGTCCAGATAAACAGGTGCGTCCTTAATGCGGTACACGCTGCCATGACAAAAGCCACGCTTATCGTGGTGAACAGCGTGGCGAGCATGATGTGCTTCAGGAGAACGTCCCGCTCGCCTCGACGAGAGCGCTCGGCCAGGAGCGTGTTGGTCCCGGTAGTCCAAAACACAGGACCTGCCCAGTTGCTCAAAAACGTGAGCACACCAACGGCCCCAACGTTGAAACCGTCAATGCCGTTGTAGGCGCTCGACAAATCAACGGAAGAGACAGCGTTGGTCCCGCCATAGGCAAAGAATGTGACGAACTGGAGCAGGAGGCATGTGATCGTGATGTGATGTCCCGACATGTGCAGCGACTGAAGATGCTGCAGGAGGAAGGCCGAAAGTAGCAAAATCGGGATGTTCGTGGCTCGCGACTGCGTCATGGCCAACATGGCATAGAGCGAGTGAAACAACTGAGCTGATTTGATTAGCAATGTACCACACTGAGGAGCGTGGCAGCGCTTACCTGAGTATCTGGCACCTCTCGGGTTGCCCACGAGGCTCTGATACACGCCAAGCAGTGCGCCGACCCCGAGAAGGGCGAAAGTGAAACGTGCGTTGGCTGGCAAGGATGCTTCATAGATGGACCGTACTAGATTTGCCATGCCTATGTCCAGCTCAGGAGCATCCTCAGCTGTGAACCTAAGTTTAAAGGCGAGGGCGGAGAACATGGTGGCAACAGCAAAGGTAGCTCGCGAAAAAGGTGGCAGGACGTCCAAGTTTTTGAAAATGCCCATGGCCGTGATACTATACATCGCTATCACTGGTACCCAGAGCAGCATGGGCTGGGGGACGATGAAGGTCTTGACAATATCTGGGGCGCCTGCGAATTTCTGGCCTGTCTGGTTCCAGGCGCGCAGCAGGCGTAGAGTGGTGAGTCCTGCAACTGGCCACACGAACGACCAGGTCTGATGTGATCTAAATCTCGTCAGTCCTGTTTATATGTGAGGGTTCATTGTGCAAACCTCCTGATCTCTCGTGAGCCAAGGTAAGCCAGCCACAGTGTCGATGCCCAGTACCAGAAGTGGTGTTCCTCCTCCACGAAACTACTGGCAAACATCATGAGACCATACGGCACAGTCACCAGTAGCATCGACAGAGGACCAGCCTTGCACGGCTGTTCAGGGGTGAAGTATACTGCTGACAGCGTGATACACGCTGCGGTGAGTGCCAGCCCTGTGCCAAGATAGAGCCTAAGCATGTTGTAGTTTGAGGCCATGCTACTCATCAAACCCTGAGCTTCTCGTAGCCACGCAATAGTGGAAGACACCCATGGGAGGCTTGCAAGTTCGCCCTTGGCTACCATGGCCGCTTGTGCATCGAGCCGTCGCCATTCGCAGGCCAGCGCGTTGACAGTTGTTCCTTCCAGCGCACAAGGGTCTATCGTGCTGTGCGTGTCGAAGAGTTCGGTGCCAAAGGTCGCTGTCACAATCTGCAGGATTTGTCTTGCGTTGCGCATGAGGATCTGGACATGATCTTCAGGGCTGGACCAAAAGGGTAGGAATTCCGGAATGAAAGCTCCAAGATTGTTTTTGGAGACAGGGACCCCCATCAGACCAGCGATGGTGGGAGCTATGTCCGACTGCTCAACTTCTCCGTAGTATGCAAACTCGACATGGGGCTCAGTCGGCGAGGCATGGCTCATGCCCAGACTTTCCATTCGGGGCGACATGAACAGAAGTGCAGGCGACGTCTCGCCAGGTGAAGAGGCGCCGTGGTTGCCAGCGTCATTCATTCCGTGATCTCCGCACACCACAAAGAGCGTTGACTTCAGATGATCCTCTGTTTCCATTGCCCCGTAGATGTCTCGAATGATGCCGTCCATTTCCCTCTGTTTTGGGACCATGTTGACGCTGCAGAGTTTAGTTCACGGAGTCTTTTGGCGTGATCAGTTTCAACGGACCTTCTCGGACCAGACTTGTGGCCAATGTGGTCAAGGCCGAGATAATGAAGCACCATCAACCCCCAGTCATCATTGTCGAGCTCAGCTGGGATGTTGCGGGTCACGTTGTGGTCGACCTCTGTAAAGTCCTTCCCTGAGTCAGACATGCGATATCAAGGAGTTACGTCAATCCTACCGCAACGAAGAAACTTGATGTGCCATCGGCTCTGTCAAAGGTATCCGGAAACAGTTTCAGCCATGTATCATCACCATACATGACGAGTTTTCCAATATCCTTGGACTTGAGCTGAGCGAGCCAGGTGTCCTGCGCAGCCAAGCTTGAAGACTTGTCCCCTTCATCGATGTTGAGGATGAGATCTACAAAGGAAGGGACCGAGCCAGTCGTGATAGACTTAAGTTTGGGCATCGTGACAGTTGGCGACCTAGCGTTTGCGGTGAAAGGTATGGCCTTGCCATCGCGAATGAGCCTTTAATCCATCAGCAGCAGCCCCTAGGAAGTGGCGATTGCGAAGACGTACTGTTGAGTGAATCGAAATCCAGAGTCTTCCGAGTAGACAAAGTCGCTGCCGGAGTCAGAGGGCTAGTATTCTTGGTTCATATGGGACCATCTACCTTCTCAGCGCATCGATCACCATGAAAACGATCTTGTCGAATGGGCCCTCGGGCGGCGGTCCGAACGCGAGATCCTCATATTGCGCAAGGCCTGGCAGGAAAGGCTTGTAAGGGAAGAATCCCGTCGCGAACACGATCAGGGACAATGTTATCAATGCATTCGCAATGGCTAGCAGAGCGCCGGTGAGCCAATTGTGATAACCCATGCTTGCGACGCAGCACATGGAGCGTATGCAATCTGGCCTCTGGGATGGGAGTTGCTCGCAGAGCAGGGGTGGTAGGCGAGAAAAGGACAGCCAGCGTGATGCCAACCTAACGAAGCCATCGAATAAAAATTCAGAGAGGTTACAAAACAGAAGGACCTTCAATCACGAAATTACTGAAGGGAGCCAGGACGCGACAAGGCGCGACGCAGGTCAAAAGGGTTCATTTTCCTTGGCGTTGATCTATTTCGTTGACACACAGTCCGACGCTGGCAGACATGCGCCACACGAGGCTGGTGGACGACATCTCTAGCACATGCACGCATTGTTGTACGATGTAGATTACACCGTGATAAGATGAGAACATTATGTTCGAGAAAACAGGGTATCGTAGCTTCGTGATGGGGAATTCGTACTGTAGGTAGTAGATGCCCGAGCCTTATTTGCTTGCCTTCTTCTTGTTCCCAACACGATCGGTGTACTTGGGGAAGACAATCTTGGACTTCTTTTGCCTCTTCTTTACGATGCCGCCACGCTTGCTCACGCGCGATGATGATGGCTTTGACGATGCCTCTACCTCCATTGCTGCTCGAGGGTTAGTGAGGCCCGCATTGCGCTCGAGGTGACAGTAGACTGACCATTCTCATTAATATCCTGAGCCTTGTCTGCTGAGGTCTTGTCCTCCGCCGCTTCTAGAGACGAGTCAGTCCGCTGGGCACATGTCAAGGACAGGGCGTGCAATACCCTCCACGTTCATGTCAACATCAGATGTCTCTGGCTTTGGCTGCTTGGCCAAGTCGAGCAGACGCTGGGATAGTCGCTCGGCGCGCGCAGACTCGACGGGGCCAAAGATTTCAGCCGCTTTGCGCTGGTTGTTGAACTTCTTTGCGCTGGATCTTGAGCTTCTCGCCATGATGGTGGTTGTAACGGATGTCTGATATTGGAGTGAACTAAGCGTTTCAACAGTGTGATCAGATGTGCTGACTGTCAGAATCCTCAGTGAATGTTGGTGGGGGATGAAGTGACGGGACTTTTCACACAAGAGACTTCACCACCTGCGTCTAGGCACGTTGAAAAAGCTGGTTGGACTGGACCCTGTGGCTGAGTTTCGTGGGCGAGTGCAGGTGCAACTGTAGGCTGCGCGTACGGGGTGAGCGCGGTGGATCCGGCTCAGTCCAGTTTTACCCAATGAGGTGCGGTGTTTGGCCCAGGGCAGCCTTAGACGACATGCCACCAGTGTCGACAGTTATAGGTGAAGGCTCCATCGTCGACGTCGTGGTCGAGAACGACTTCACCGTCGTAGTCGATGCTGGCTGGCGATTTCCCCCACGATATGACACTATGTTTCGGGCTTTCAAGAAACAAACTTACCTCAATACATAACACCAGCACCCCTGCGGCGTGAATGCTTCCGCCGTCTGGCCCTTCATCCGTCCTCGATTCACGTGGTGCTGCGAGCATCAAGCGTCACAATCTCTTCGAACCGCGCAACAAGGCGATAGTCCACATTTTTCTCGACGGCCAGCGGCACTTTTCTTACCTACAATCGAAAAACACTCGCCGACTTAAGCTCGTGGCATGCGCTTGGCTACACTTCCCTAGCGTGACTCTTTTCGCTGCTCGATATCCGGGGAGCGGTTGCTCGCGTGCGCGTGGCGTGGCGAGGACCTGCAACAGTTTACAAGCCACACCCGACCGTCATTCATTCAACGCCGGAAGAAAGGGGTAGACGTTACTAGGCCGAGATCTGTGACTTGCTCGCTGCGCAAGCGGCGCGCTGGAGCGAGGGCGGACGGCTAGTCAAGAACGATCGTACCTGCTGCAAACCCACCGCACTCGTCGAGCATCAGTGGTATAGGGCAGGAGCGATCCAGAGCATCATGTCCGGCTACATGTCATCCGGCGCATCGTACGGCGTGGGCGGCGGCTCGCAGCCGTCGGGCTTTCACAACTCGGCCAACGGTGGCTTTGCTACTGCGGCAACAAAAATAAGCCGCAAGGAGCTCGACGCCGTTCTGCGCCAAATCAAGAGCAGTGGCCTGTTCAACAAGCAGCTCCAGTTCATCTGTCAAGTAAATGGACTGAAAAGCAGTGGCGTCAAGGCTGACCTTCAGCGTCGGATATCAGATTGTAAGTACTTCTCACTCACCCCGTCCAGTCGCCTCACAATGCTCTCGTTATACACATCAGCCCTTGAGCCAAGGGCCGGCGGATGCTTGCCACTGTCTTCACTACCCGCCAGACAACTGACACAACTCCTTGCTGTAGTGGTTCAAGACGCATACAATCACCAAGACCTCCCGCGCTTTGAGCAAGTCCGAATGGGCGTTTTGAACGCGGCATCAAGTCCACAGAAGCCGACCATGGGACGTTCCCAGCCGAACAGCCATTTCCCACCCTCTGGCTCGAGCGCTGCACCAACCACCCCATACACGCAAGGCTATGGGCATGCATCCAGCGTGGCTGCTAACGGTGTAACGTACCCTCCGCCACGGGCTGGAATCGCCTTCCACCCGAGTCCGTTCTACTCCGTCGAAGCTCAAGTAGGCGATGTGATCACCTGCGAACGTAAGTCGACTCCTCAGCGCACCGATCATCTGGTCTCTAACAGTTGCGGCTAGCCATGGCGCACCATCGCCACAGCGTACACATGTATCTCCGGGTTAATGACAAGCCTTACATCCAACCTTGTGTGAGCGATCCGTCGTACAGGATCATGCTGTTCTGTGCTGGCGACAACGTCGGCGTGCAGCACGTCGCCTTTCCCCAGCAGTCGGAGATCAAGATCAATGGAGGCGACTTCAAGGCAAACCTGCGCGGTCTGAAGAACAAGCCAGGGTCTACTAGACCGGTTGACATCACGGGCGCGCTCCGCCTGAAGCAAAACAATTACCCGAATAAAGTTGAGCTCACCTATGCATTGACCCAAAAGGTTTGTCGCGCTCCCATCAAATGAACGCAACGCAATCGCTCATCAGACTCAGAAATTCTACGTGGTTGTTTACCTCTGCAAGGTCAACGCCGTCGATGACTTGGCGAAGAAGTTGGAGACACGCCAAAGGATACCCAAGGATTCGGTGATTGCAGAAAGTACGTTTAGGCAAAACCGAGACCCGAGCTTAGGCTAATTCGCGTCACAGTCAACAAGAAGAACGCCGATCCAGATGTCGTAGCAACGTCATCTGTGCTCAGTTTGAAATGTCCTTTGTCGTACATGAGACTACAGACACCTTGTCGCGGAACGCAATGCACACACATCCAGTGCTTTGACGCGACTTCATATTTGCAATTGCAGGAGCAAGGGCCCCAATGGAAATGTCCCATTTGCAACAAGCCCGTCACTTTTGAGCAAATGGCTGTTGACGAGTAAGTTCTATCAGTCACTAGGCAGCCAGTTCTAACACATATCAGATATGTCAAAGACATATTGGCAAGGACTTCAAGCTCCCAAGAGACAGTCACAATCAATCCAAATGGGCAATGGACCGCCAAATCGGGCGACCACGACCGGGGTAGATCTAATGGAAGCCACCTCGGGGATAGCGATGAGGTTGAGATCTCGGAGGTCAATTCCATCTCCCGACCTCGCATCGAGACTCCTCAGACAGCAACATCGTTACCCAGTTCCTCGCCGTCTGTGACAGGGCCCGGTCCAAGTCTTGGGGCCCGAGGAGTGGCAACCACAAGCTCGAAACGGCCAGCACCACAGGTTATCGACCTCACTCTATCCGATGACGACGAGGACGATGAGCCGGTGCAGCCTCCCACAAAGCGTCAGAACACGGCCGGCTTCCGACGATCGACCGAAAGCATGGGCTTCCTGAGCGAATCGCCGCGGCAAAACCCATTCTGAATCCGTATGGAGGTGAGTGGGTTCTTTGGAGCAGCCGGGACAGAGGCATCCGCCACTGCTATGGACGGGAGTTATAGAATTGTAGGATGGAAATGATCCTTGGTGCGCGAGTGATGGACATGGCTGATATTTCCTCCTACTTTATGCATTTGCGATTCTGCTCGGCAACGGCGTTACAAGGCATTGGTATGCGTATATTCGGTTGATTCGCGTTGTCAAGGCGGTTGGTGCAGCGAACCGCAGGTGCTTCATAGAAGTGCCTGCGGGCGCAGACACAAAATACACGCCTGAGGGATGACTGACGTAGAGCAGGGGCAAACCAGGCATCGACGACTTGTGAATAGTAAGCTTGAGTGCAAAACATATGAGACATGACCAATTCTGAGCGCCATGGATTCATGATGTGCGTTCCCATCCACGGGGGAAGGCTGTGCATGCAGGGCTGAGTCGAGTCAGTCGACCACGTCAAGATGTGATGGCAAGGAACCCTTGGCTACGCAGAGATACAGCTGCGCACATCTCGCAAACAAGGACCAAACGTGCAAGCAGGCAATGAAATCGAGAGGCACACCGCACTTGGTATGCTCGTCGGTGTGCTCGACAGTCGACGACGCCTTAACGCCACGAGTTCCATTTCGTTTCCTACCCATGATTCCCACAGGTCTGCTATATCCGGAAGTGACAGCTGCGCGGCATCTTCATCGGCACTCACCATCGTTTCCCGCCGCTTTTGCTCCTATCATCCTGCGAATGACACCGGCAGACACAGTACATCATCGGACAAGAGCATCAGGCACTAGATATTACTTACATCATTTCCACCGCGATTCCTTTTAAGCCAAGATGACGAGCAACGGGTTTACTACGAAGCTGCAATGACCAAGGCAGGAGACAAAGCGCCTCCTCTTCTCTTGTTGCCATCAACTAGGGCACGGCTTGCGGCAATGTCATCAAGATGAAACAATGCATACTAATAATCATGACCATAAGGCGATGCCAGAAGGGAATCAACTTGCAGGCTGGGTTGCATGGTTGGACGCGAGCCCAACGAATAAGCGGCATGGCTTAGGTTCCCAGCACCGCATAGGATCATAGCGGCATCAGCAAGGACAGCAGCAGCATCGGTGCCCGCAAATACCGGGGTGCACAGACGACGCAAGGACCTGTAAACAGGGGACCTTGGCCAAAAACTTTTTCCCCTAGAGTCGAGGCGGTAGGAGAAGGTGATCTGGAAGCGAAGCGTCTAACGTTAATTGACTATAAGATATGTAGCATCTTGTCAAGCTGGGGGGCTAACAACGAGGGCCCCCGCCCCTGGTCGAGTGAGACACGCTACCAGTGACCTTTGGGTGGGGAAACACGAGGACCGTCATTGGGGCGGTGCCTTGCAGGAAGGAGGCCTGACGCAGATAAGAGGTTGGACGTTGGAGGCTTCACGCTGGTTGACACTCGAGAGGGTGTGGGGTCTGGCAGCTGGCTAACTCAAGAGTAGACTGCTTGGGTGTGAGGGGAAACACCAACCCGATAATAAGTACAGGACAATGATCGATCAACAATGGCCTACGCGGTGGCTAAGACAAATTTGGGATTACGTACTGGACGCAAGCGGCGGAAGCGACAAGAGTTGTCTGGAAGACTAAGACGACTGGAGGCGCGAGCACAGTCCAGTCCAACTGAATTCGGGAGCAGCGCGCCAGGGGCAGACAAGTGTGTGTGCGGTCGGAGGTGAGCGCGGCGCTGCGCACTGGAACAAAACGGAGCTTTCTGCCGGGGATATGTGGCTGCTGCAGTCGGCAGTCACATGCATGCAGCATGCATGCATATACACGCGAGTGTGCGTGAAGCCAAGAACATGGTCAGCCTCGAACTTGGAGCAGATTCAGCAGAATGCCATCAAGTTCGAGGATCGACATTGCTTGCTGCCATGCCCTGTACAGTATAGGTAGTAATGTGGAGGAGGAGGCTCAGGTGTGGCAGCGATGACGACGCCTGGCTGGGTAACGTGCTGTTCTCTCCCGATTTCAAGTGCGAGCGCCATCACCAGGAGCACCCCTCCAAGAGATAGTCTTACAAGTACGTACGTAATCACAACTAATTATGGCCTCCCAATTGTGAGATGATGTCTGTAAGTGTGCTTTCACGACGGATGGATGGCTCGCAGCCTAGGGATCAAGTGAGGAGGAAGTAGTAGTTAGAGAGTCTCACGAGTGTCTTCCCGGGAGCTTAGTGGATTCGTAACCGAGTGCTGCCGATTGCCACTGCACGCGTCTTCTACAGAGCATTGCAACTAGGTACGTAATTACTATCCGGAATTGACAAGTGAAAGCCGCAACTACTCTCAAGTGACCGACAATTAAACTGACGGACGGATCGACATCTTGAGCAGTGAGCATCACCCCATCTACTGGGATCGGGTGATGAGGATCATCGTCATGGGGTTGTGGGTCCGTGGCCGCTGCGCGCGGCGGAGCGGCGTGCGGACTCGAGACAACGATGGATGGTCCGTGGAGCACGGCCCAGTACCCTGTGGATCTTTGCATCAGCAATATTCCGTCGTCTCATTGGTTGCTCTTTGCTGACTCATTTTTCCAAAGTCCCGCGTCGATGGAAACTGGCCCGACATGAGAGTCGAGACCTTCAGCTAAACAGCACACCCGGCCATGGGTAATTTTAGCACGCTCGTGAAATCTGTGCATTCAGTCGAACAGATGCCCACAGATTCGCAAACAAACAAGTCTCCGTTTCCTCACCGGTCTTCCACGCCGCACTAACGTTAAACAACCAACCGATGAACCAGGCCAACACTCCGTAATTAGGCTAGCCTTAGCCTGCTGAGCGGGCTGGCGCTTCCGCATACCACACTCGTGTCGCAATTATCATTTTGCTGTGTGCGTGCGACGTGCGTTCCTGGGAGAGCCGAGGAAAAACCACAACGGAATGTGGATCTCTGTATCGCCCGTGTCCGTCAATTATGGCGCATACGCGAAGAAGAGTCGAGGCCTGATGAGCGGTTTCCGCGACCGTATACCAATTTCACAGGTTTCTTTCTGTCACAGCTAATAGTACTGAATACTAGTGCACTGAGCAAGAGCGGTAAGTTGGGTACATGTGGCCACCCACAGGATTTCGAGTTATTAGCTCATGGACTCTGGCTGCGAGGCCATGTCGATTTCAGATACCATGTTGTATAGCCCAAAGGTCAACGCGTATGCGTTGTGCGCACATGAGCACGTTTCCGGTCACAGCGACCGCGAAGTGTAGTTTGACATCGCAGGGCATGACCTTGTTGTGCGCCCAATACTACATGTCTTCGACATGGCCTTCCCAACATCAGTACCTACGTACTGATAGTAGTCAGTGCCCTTGCATATCCAACAAGTACCATATGTAACATGTGTGATATCAACGGGCAGTGCGCCTTGATTTCATCGGACTTTTCCGTCTAACGCGCCAATCTTGATCCAGCCATCCACATATGGCAATGATATTGTATATACGTACGTACCAGCCTGCAGTGCATGAGTGCTGTCGCATATGGGCAAGGTAACTTGGGTGTTGCTGATCGAGATAAATGTCTTACCTAAAAGCCATTGACGGCCACCCAGGGAGAGGGGGACGGCTGGAAATGGCAAGTCTTTCCCTAAACAAACTTATTAGTGCTTGCGTTGCCCATGGCACCACGACAGCACCCTCCCGAGTCCTGAGTGAACACAAATCAGCCTATTTCCAGGTGCCCACCACATCGTGTCAAGTTCGTTCGCCTACTGTCCAAGACCTCGCCGAGTTCGTCCTGGCTGGTCTGGGAGGCCCAGGGCCCACTCACATGAATGGGGGAAAGGACAGGCAGAAAACCTGTGCAGTACTGTTCCACGATTGCAGACGTCAACTCGAAAGTCGGGAACATCGAAGGAGGGGGGAGGGGGGAGGAAAGTGGACTGCCATGGGAGACCTAGTTGGTGGGACTGGATGCCCAGGCGTGCCCATTGGTCCCAGCTTCCAGAGACGCCGAGGAGGGCGCAGAACGGTCCCACGCCGTTGCCGGCTCCCAACAAGACTAGACCGAAAGCAAGCTCATGAGGGAACGCCGCCAGCTAGTACCAAGTACACTAGTACGTAGCGTGCAGCTCGGATGCCAGGCGGCAAACCCCCCTGGCCCTCCCCGACCGACCCCCGGATCTAGAGACGAGCAACAAGTCTGCGACAGAGGACATGGCATTGGTCCGTCGAGTCAAGCCGCGTCCGTCTCTCCGTCTGTCTATCCAGTCTATCCGTTTGTCTGTCTGCCTGCCTGCCCTGCCTATGGCTGGCTGGCTGGCTGGCGGGTGGGCAGGCTGGCTGGTGAACCGACCGACTGCACGTGTAAATCGACCTCAACTCTCAACTCACCTCAGCTCACCAGTACCAAGTAATTCACAGTCATTCACCGCGTGATAAATCACCTACTACCTTACCTTGCTTGCCCACCTGCCACTTACTATTATTCCCCGTCTTGCTCAGCTCCAGTGAGCCCCAGTCTCCTTCCTTCCTGCTTGCTTGCCTGTCTGTTTCCCTGCCAGTCCGCACTTGCCGGCTCTGCTCTCGAAAGCACCACAGACGGCAGCATCGACCACAAGCAGAGCAAAGCCGGCAAGCTTCGCTCCTGACAGGCAGAGACGATCGCCTCACTGGTCGCCAGCACTTCAGTCCACCGGGGTGATGTGGGCACTCGCATGCCACCTTTGTTGACCTGCTAGCAACATAAACTTTATGTTCCTGGTGCACCTCGCGCCGTTCCGCATGAACAAGGTTCCTCACCGGCCAAACCATCTCCTGCCACCATCGCCCACAACTGTGTTCCGCTTTGGACGCCCGCGGTCCTCTCGACAGTGTCAACAGACTCATCGCAATTAAAACGCTACACTGCTTTCTCTCCCACCCAAGGGTCGCTTGCCTGCTGATCCGGTACTGTCACTTCGTGTTAGCATCTCAAGCATCCTCGCGGCGGCCGTAACGACACGGGTGCTTTGCCCTTTGGCTGTGCTTCGAAGCTTCCAACGACGCTTCGCGACAAGTCCTCCAGGCTCCCCCAGCGCCAGCAAAACATATCTGCTAGCCTCGCTACCGCTCAGCTCTACTGTTCGCCCAACATCTACTCAAGCCAATTGCTGCTCGCCTTTGCGCGCCGCTTGAGTCACGCGGCTCACCAATATCAAGTTGGAGCCTTCTACCTTGATATCCTCTCTATCAACGCCGTTGGCGCTGCGGTCAAAACCTTGATTGCATTTGTCCATCCCCTGACACAAAGCGAGACGGCCCACACGCCGAACGAACGCTGCTCTCCGAACGAGCCCGTATTCAGGGCAAGGTCATCTACTCGAAAGGCCACATCTTCTCGAAAGGCCTCATTCTCTACCTGGCCAAGCTCAACAATTTTATTGAGCCCTTGCCCTACGCTGGCTGAGCGGTGTCCTTAAATACAGTTTGTCAAGGCCTGCACTTCCATCTCATCCGCTTTGGCCTGACACCAACCACCACACCTTTCAAACTTTTGATCACAGAGTGAATCCTGTGCTCAACGTCAATTGCAAGTGGAGTCCTACTCAACTCACCTATACCTCGCAAACCACACACAGAGTGCCAACGCTTCCGTCATGGCCAGCAACTCAGGCCCTTCGCACAGCGGAGGTAACACGACCGGGGGGCTGGCACCAACATTCATCGGAGAGGTCTACACCACGTTTGATGCGTTGATCTTGTTCGAGGCCTGTCTCTCAGGCAAATTTAATCATTGTCCGCGTCGTCCTCATGACCGGGAGCGGGCCCAGCTTATCAAGAGCGGGCACATCTTTGTCTATGAAGAAGAGTCATCCGGTATCAAGCGCTGGACTGACGGAGTGAACTGGAGCCCCAGTCGCATCCTGAACAATTTTCTGGTGTATCGCGAGATCATTCCCAGCAACAACCCTGGCGAGAAGAAGCGCGCTCTCAAGAACAAGAGTGAGAACAGCAGTAACAGACGCTCGCAGAGCGGCGGCATCGTCAAAAAGGAGCATTCGCCACCCTCAGCTCACTTGACAGATACGTCCCGCCTCTCATTGAACACCAGTGGGGACTCCGGGACTGGTGGCCCCGGTCCTAGTACCGGCGCCCACATTAGCGAGGGCACGGAGGCGCCCAGAGATCCTCTTCGCGAGATCATCGGTTCGCTTACTGATAGCTACGACTTCAAGGAGCCAGATGGCCTGGTCAAGAAGACCATCAGTATAAAGTACAACAACATCAATCACCATCTGGTCTCGTATTACACAATCGAGGATGCCCTGTCTGGCAAGTTGAGGCGCCCCAGCACATGCCAGGACTTCTGCGGACTCAGGATCCGCGCAGAACTGCTCTTCCAGCAACAGTTTCGTGCGACCATCAGCGATTTTGGCGGCGAAGCAGTACGCATGGCGGACGGTCGCCATTACATCCCTGCACACTTTCTTCAGGTCGGCGCACAGGGGCCTCAGATCTCACCGGACTTGAACCACCCCTTTTCACCCACTGGCGTGGCCTCCATGCACATGCAGCATCCGCAAGGCTCTCCCATGGTCTTCCCTGCAGGCATGGCCGCAAACCCAATGCCAGGGTATAGTCAGGATCACATGCAACATATATCCCCAGGACATTCGGTTGACATGCTGAACAATGACTATGCCCATTTGCAGCTCTCAGCTCAGCAACAGCAACATCACCAGGCTCAGCTCCATCTCCAACAGCATGGGCAACAGCAACAGCAACAGCCGCATCACGACGCCAACCATACCGCGGTGCAACATTTCAATCCTGGTCATATGGCTGCCGCCTCAGGCCCCTTTCCAGGTAACAGCTTTGGTGGCCTTGACCCCTCTTTTGCTCAGAACGGCAGTGAGTACATGCTGTCCAGCGCTGCTGGCTTCTCGTCTCAACCTCAGTCCAACGGCATGACTGGCGGCTCTCAGGGTGGTGCAGAGTATACTCCAGAGAATCCAGCTTTATTTCACCCCGAGATGACCAACGGCCTTGGCTCGTCTGCCGGTCTGCCCCCGCAGGATCAGCAAGATGAGAACGGAGGCGGGCACGGCGGTATGAGCGCCCCGCCCTTTTACTTTGTTGACGAACACGATGGAGGAGCCTCACAATTTTAGGGGCAGGTGCTCACAGTCCTAACGCCAGAGCAGCTTGGGGCGAGAGAGCCCCGAGACGAAGAAGGGCCATGACTCAACAGCATGAAGCGCAAGGATAATGACTTTTCGACTATTGCATCATACAGCGCCGGTGTTACAGGAGTTGTTATATCTGGGATGTCTCCTTCATTTTACACGGGTTTCGATAGATGTCGACAAAAGCCATCTCGCGATGGCGGCAACTATCAACGGTGCTTGGGCGTTTTAACGAATTGGGGATGCAGGAGCATCAGAAAGCTTGCTTAATTTGGATACCTCTCCCGCCTCTGAAACGGTGTTTGGGGATCAAAAGTAGTCCTAACTTAAGCATTATGAATCTTCTTCGCCTGGCCAACATGCGCCCGTGATCCGAGTGCCACATGAATCCTGACAGCAACCTCTGACCATCGACCATACGACGCTTATTCTCGCCGTACGATCTTGGCTCTGTGGATTCAAGCACCAGGGCACGACGCGGCTTCGTCTTAGCTCGCGTGCCATTTGTCGCTTCGTGGTATGTGATTGCGCATGGCGCCCCCTCCTCCACCAGCCAGCCTGCCGTGCGACAAACGGGGCGGACACCACGAGCGGGGGCGCTGTACGTGAAGCCCAGAACCAAGCATGCCGCGGAGAGAGCACATTTGTCGGCCCACTTGATAAGCGAGGGTGAGCGCTCCTTGCGCATCTAGCCACACATGCCAAAGTCTCGCTTACTGGCGTGCTGCAAGCCTACTACCAGTAGTCCGTACGACTAGTACTAGTATGGAACGCCTTCATCTCTGCCGTTGACGATGGGAGGACCAACAAGTAATAGACCCTGGTAGGACGTGACGAATAACAAAGAGCGCAGATCACCATTGATGGCTGAACCAAGGCTCATCGGTTGCCTCATATGGGCGGCCGGGGAGTTGCAAGGGTATGGGAATGCGGCTTCCCAACGTGCCGTCAGGTATAACGACGCCGCACTCCCAATTCCGACAGTTCAACTTGGAGTTCTTGGATAAAAGACCCCTGAAGCGCTGATCAGCCACGTGTGCCCGTGTGAAGGAACCCAACGCATCCGAGAAGCGAGGCTGCCCAGCGGGCACGATGTTAGGCAACGTCGATGATATGGAATGACTTACCAGGCGCTTTCGGACAAGTTCGCACTCCCGACATAAGTCCAGCCGCCCACCCCCGCCTCGTCCGGTCGGGTAACAATTATCAGCTTGTTGTGCATCAACAAGCCCGTTCGTGTGCTGACGCAGTCCCGTACAAGGCCCTTGGGGAAGGTGGCCGAGTTCCACCATTTCGATTGGAGGCATATTGTACCTCCTGCCTGTATCAAAAAAGAATCTATTAGCATTGCGCTGCGCCACGCCCAGTCGCCGCCGTAGTCTTCACTACCGTCACCCCGGGCCGCGAACACTCACACTTTTTCCACCCCGACTGCGCGACACTGTTTCGCTGGTCGGGAAGTGAATCAACATGTGCTTTTGGAGGTGTTCCGGAGGCTCTGTCGGTTTCATGCCCGTCTTCCGGCACAATCTTGTCTTATATGCTTGCAGCGAAGTATCACCTACCAAGAGTGTTAGTTCGAGTCGCCTAGCATCTCTATTGTTCCTTCGGTCGTACCTTGGCATGCTCCATACATAGCTGCGAGAAAGTCGTAGTTGAGGGAGCCTAGCGAGGATGCCTAGAAAGTGGCGTTAGCCGGGATTTGCCTTGCACACCGTTGGTCGGATGAGCGGGCACGTACGACAATATTGATCTTGATGGGAGTTGTTGTACCCAAGCCGAGACTCTGTACACATTCCCCCAAACCGCAAGAGCCTTTGCTTGAATTAGTCTTTGTTGGAAGTCTGCAGTGCCTCAAAGCTTGGAACTAACCGTTCTCGCGTTGTTGCTGGCCTGCGTGGCCACCTGGTCTGGATTGTTGAATCAGCCCCTTGCCCTAAGGCAATCAGTCGAAGGAAGCACGGCTTACGTGGTATACACGAATCCCAAGTTCCTGGTCTCCGAAAAGTCGTAATTGCGCAGGCTGTCGATCATTTTGGCGTCAACGCCGGCTTCTTGCAAGAATCGCGACAGTGATTGACTGAATTCGGTCTCTTCATGCTTGCTGGCAGACGACAAGCGAGACAGGTCAATGAGGAACACCATCTGCGTTGGTCAGTCCAAGGCACTTTGGTATAGGTCCAAAAGGGCGGCGCCTCACGTTCTCCATCACGCCACTCTCGCCCCAGTCATAGGGAACTAAGTTGCCCGAGGGAATCACGATACGCAAACTGTCGGGATACTTGAGGAGCTGAAGCTTGGAATGCATAGCACCTGAGCCTTTCATCGGTGGGAAGCAGAATCGCACTCTAGGCGGGGCGTTCTCACGCATGTCCTGCTGCTAGGGGTAACCGTCAGCAAACGTCCAGTGACAGCCCAAAAAATGCCGATGCGGCTCTCATACCTGGGCTGCATTCTGCGCATAGGCTAGGAGAATGAGTTTCGTCTTTCTCGCATCTATTTTGGACATCAACCATGCATCATCCCATTGGAACGACGAGAGCAGAGCCAGCTCAAGACGATCTTTCTGCAGGATCTCTTCAATCTTGATGTCGTCTGCTGAACGCGGATAGCCGTAGGCCCATGTCTTCTTTACGACACCTCTCGGAAATTGCAGAGGCATTACTTTAGGCTCGCGAGATACAGCTCTTTTCTTGGCCGGTGGTGAAATTTCGACCACATCATCCTGATCATCATCGGCTGCAGGTCGAGGGCGCTTAGAGGCTATTCTCTTCAGACGCTCTTGCTCCATAGCTCTCCGATCTAATTGCGCCAGTCCACAGTTTTGACTTGTGCTAGGCTCAGCAGCCTGCGGTTGTTCATCTTGATTTAGGGGCGGCTGCTGCTGCTGCTGTTGCTGCGAGGGGGGTTGTTCTTCATCTTGCATGGACAAAGCTATGGCGTATTCAAGCGCTTCGTCATCGTCCATGTCGCCGACGGGGCGTGACGCGGGATTCTCAGGCGTGACCATTTCGAGGAGCCAGCGGTATCTGTTTGGCGTGACGTTGATGGCTGGCTCATGTGGAAGGCTAGCTAAGGAAGGCGACGCGTCACATCTTGGCGGGTGTAACGCGAAATCACGTGCATCCGTATAGAGGGCTGCTGTACGACGTGACACCTTCTGTTTGGGCCACGAACGAGCGCACTGCGCAGAGCGTACACAAGCAGTGATACTACAAGTGGCACGAGAGAACCGGCGTTGCAAAGACATGGAGCCTCAGTCTAAGCCTGACTGTAACTGCTGAATAGATGTGGTAGGATGATTGAGCACCTATCTACCTTACGTATTCTTCAACGGAAAATGGAATGTTATGCGCGAAGACAACGCTTGAAATGCTCGTGCAAGTTTAGTCTCTTTTCAAGTAGTCTCGTATAATATGGAAGAAAACTTTTGATGCTTGAGCCCAAGTTAGGTGAGAGCTGAAGACGAAGCAATCAATTCATGGGGTGAGTGACGTCATGCCCGAACTGACTTCCACATGTTGGCATTGAGATTCCGCATCGCGATGACAGTAATGAGTTCTTCTACTACATGCCTTTTCGACTTCAAATCTCATTTTCATGTCTTCCGTGTGACCCGGAAGCAATGCTCCTTGGAAATACAATCCAACCGTCATCTCGCTCGCGGGATCTTTCCACCAGTGGCCGATGACCATTGCTCATCAGCTAAGGACGCATCAGGCTGAGTCAATGACGTCCACGAATGTAGTCAACGCTTTGGTCCTATTCATTTGTTTTCAGAGTCGCTGTAACGTACCATGTGTAGGCTTATATTCTCATGCATCTCCTAAGTACTTCAACATCAGTCTCTCATTCTGCATACATGGGAACAGGTTTTGGTGTGACCACAGTTCAAGATGCGACCTAGCAACAAAAAGCATGTTGTAGTAGTCGGCGGCGGCGCTGCCGGTATGGTAAGTTGCTCACACAGGCCAGAACATGAGTAGACCATCATTAACAGTCTGCAGTCTTGCGCGGCGACGCTGGCAAATCACCCCGACAAATTCAAGGTCACTCTTCTTGAAAGAGGCGAGGTTGTTGGCGGACAGGCCACCTCAATCCCCATCGATGAGCAGAAATACGGTGCACCGTGGATGAACAACGGTGTCCAGGGAGGTTCGCAAATCTTCAAGCACACATTCAACTTCTTCAAGCAGTATGACCATCCACCACAGGAAGTCTCTCTGCAGGTCGCGTTCGGCAAAGGCGTGGACGGCTTCTGGACCAATGTCTTCCCCAGTAAGCTGATCGCCAAGTATGACAAGGACATTAAACGATTCGGCTTCTTCCTCAAATTCATCAGGTGGACCATGCCGTTCTTTGGGCTGATTCCTATCCGTATCATGCTGCGCGTCTTTTTCTTCAGCAAAGACTTTGGCGACAAGATGGTATACCCTCTCATCGCCCTCTTCCTTGGCACAGGAAACCAAACAGCCAATGTCCCGTCCGCCATAGTTGAGCGGCTCTTTCAAGACCCGAACATGAAGTTATGGGATTACGATGCGGAGACACTGCTACCAAATCTGCCAACCATGGTCACTTTCGACCATCTCGACGAGTTCTACCGCAAGTGGCGGGTTGACCTCGAGTCCAAGGGAATCGCCATCCGCACTCGCACTGAAGTCACTACGGTCATCTCGCGCAGCAGCGATGGAGTCAAGCTACGGATACGAGACCTTTCCAGTAGCGAGACTACCGACGAGGAATTTGATGACATGGTCCTGTGTGTTCTTGCCGATGATGCTTTGACAATTCTCGGGCGCTCAGCTACGTTCAAGGAGAAGTTCGTTCTGGGCGGTGCTGCCTTCTACGATGACATTACGGTCACTCACACGGACAAGGACTATTTCGAGAGGCACTACGAGACACACTTCAAGCCGGAGCTATGTGCCGAGCCGCGATCGGACGATCAGAAGAAGCAAGTTGAGTTTGCAAAGGGAGAGGACAAGAACGGACCGTTCAGACCCATGTACTACACGTACACGTATCAGTCAGATCCACGACTCATCGAAATGAGCTTCAATTGCAGCAACTATCAGCATCAGCTAAAGACAGCCAACGCCAAAACAAACGAAGCATTCGAGCCCGTGTATCAGTCCATCTTTTTGAATAAGCAACAGAAGCACCTATGGACGATTAACGACATTGACGAGAGCAAGGTTATCAAGCGCAACTGGTGGCACCAGCTAGGCCATAGATGGCAACACTATGTCCGTGTCGTGCCGGGCATGATGTTTCTGCACGGGAAAAACAGCACGTACTTTGCCGGATCGTGGACCCTAGTGGTACGATGGTTCTCTCCCGCTCCCATGTCACAGTGGACTAACTGACCGTGATAGAACATGCATGAGCTAGCCTGCGTCAGCGGCATCGCCGCAGCGTATCGTCTGGGAGCAGACTACATCAATTTTGATGACTTTGCAACGGATTTCTTCTCCAAATATCTGATGCTGTCTCACGGAGTGTTCTACGGGCGCGAGGAGAAGAAGAGGGGACACGCCAAGAGAAGATGAGGTGATCTTTCGCCAGAGCAAGTTATCGGATGGACCGGGAATGGACGTTTCAACCAGACGGATCACAGTAAGCGAATGCACAGTATCTTGTTAAGGGTTTTTTAAACACTGTCGACGATTTATGTTCGTGCCAGTCTCCAGACCCAGCATGCTCATCACTAGAAGAGGACTCCACTCGTCAGGGGTATCATGCAAACACTGCCACATGTCCGTGCGGATGGACCGCACATCTACCAAGTTTAACCCAGATCCAAATGCATGCTAGACCATGTAAGACACAAACCAACGCCAGCCCGAATGACTACCATGCCAAGGCAACCACGCTCCGCCCTTAATAAGCACAAATATTAGAAGAACTGAGGACTCGTACAGAGAGGGAAAACTGCTGGAGCCGGCAAGTACTGTCTACCGCATGAAGAGACGGCGCTCAGTGGGCGGCGCCGTAGTGTTTGGTTCGATTTTGAGTATTTTGCGTAGACTGTCCTCCATGTCCTGGATAGATTTGTTATGGCCGCCAGATGTTTCGTCATAAGTTCTCGAGGCTGACGATTGGTTCGTACTACCCGACTGGGAAGGCTGAGCATTCGACTCAGTCGATGCCGTTTTGTTACCACTGAACAAGAATCGCTTGAGGGCCTCAGACGGATCTTCCGTCATGGTCTGAGGCTGCATTTGGGTGTTGTCGGCGCGCGATGGCCGCTGGCTGTTGTTACTGGTCCTGGCCGCCTTGATACGGTCTTGATACGGCGTCGAGAAAGCTGGGCCCATGGGTTGGCCAAAGTGGCCTCGAGATTCTTCGTCGTCGAGAACACCACTAGAGACGTGTCGCATATAAACCGGTCTGTTGTGTGGCACGGTTGCTGCCTTTTGGGAGCCGGCCCCGTAGGACGAGTGCGCTGGGGGGGTCGATGCGGATGGTCCGGTGAACCCGCTGCCGTGGCGATAGCGCTCTCGTTCTTCGCGGTGCGCTTTGAACATGAAATCCAGAGGTGAGTCACTTCCTGAAACGCCGCCACCCCCTCGTTGAGGCGTGGGAGCTTCGTTCACGGTATTGGGAGGCGAGGGCTGCTGCAGTGGTCGGGAGGCTTCCTTGCTGGCCGGGGAGCCGTTTGCCATCTTGGAGAAGAAGCTGGGCATCGGCAAGGCATCGGGAGCAGGAGATGCGTGGAACGTAGCGCCAGCGAATGCCGCCTGTTGGAGACCTTTTGTCGAGTTGGGTTGCCGGGGCGTCGAGCGATGATGATAAGAATCTGGTTCTGGTGATGTGGAGGCAGCATGTTTCTTGCTTCCTTTATTCTTCTGGCGCTGCTTCGACCCGGTGGTGCGAGGATCACGTCCTGCTGAAGAAACCAGGTTATCCTTTTGAGGCGTGGCAGGGCTCATGTTGTATTGCGGCGCATCGATCACGCCCATATCGTTCTCGGATGCATATGCCTTTTGCCGTCCATTGGGACGTCCTTGCCGCCGTCGATTCGGTGTCGGCTGCGTTTGTGCTGTTGGGTCGTTCATAGTGTGGGTTTGTTGATGCAAATGGTGTTCAAGACGTCATGCGCCGGTGGCTTCTGTCAACTTCCGTTGCGAAGGGCTGGTTTAGCGCAGAGGTAATCAGAATAATGTGGTCGGTAGATCGACTTGGCGACAGCGGATCATGGCGTGATATGTTGGAATGAGATCTGGCGCAAGATGCTCTTCGCTGTTCACTTGAAGCTGGGGAGATGGGAAAGCAAGAAATGGGGCAGTGACTGATGATGGAGTTCAAAGGGAGGGGAAGCTAGGGTCGAATCGGCGGCCGTGTGTAAATGTGCTATTGGTATCCACAACTCAGGCTGAGCTGAAGTACCCTGGACGTGAAGCTAAAAGCAGGCCAGCGCAGGTGCGTGCCTCAATTATATGGTGTAGATATGCATTATCAAGCAATTCAAGCTTATGAGCATCCAGGACACCTTCTCCGGGATCTTCTTACATATCTGTTGCTTTGGCATGTCACAGGAACCATCCGTCGTTCACATTCATCGATCCAGAGGTTTGATCACAGCACCAACAGACCACTGCAGCTGGCCAAACACACATCTAGTCTGCGAGTATCAGGCCGTATCTATCCGTAAAGAAACTGTCATTTGGGAGTGCTCAGCAATAAGCCAGCCCTGGTGAGTTTGCAATAGTAAAGGAACGGCAAAGCCGCCCAGAATGTAGGTACCTAGGCGTGATCGATGACCGGCGCCCGCGTGGGGTCATTCGAATGCCAAGCCTGCGGCTTAGTCTCCTGCAGCGTGCTGCTGCCTTTCGCATCGAGCTCTCACAGAAACCTCAACTGGCCGGCACCTTGTGTACCACCTGCCTTCATCTAACTCCACAGAGAAGCTTATTCGGTTCTTTTCCGCGATATCCAACCGCCCGACTATCCCGTATAGCGCCAGACCTGCACGTTTGCTCTTAGCACTACCAAAACATGGCCGACGTCGAGATGTCGGATGCCCCCACGGCTAGCAAGAAGACCGAGATCGAGGTCAGAAAGAAGTTCGAGGTCAAGAAGGTACTTGATGAATCATCTCCAGGGTTCTCAGGGATAATGAGGTGTACTAAAAGAAACACAGTGGAATGCGGTCGCTCTATGGGCGTGGGACATTGTCGTAGACAACTGTGCTATTTGCCGAAACCACATCATGGATCTATGTAGGTTTGATGCTGTTCAGAGATTGCCTGACCTATTTGCTGACTCCTGTATCTAGGTATCGAATGCCAGGCCAACCAAGCCTCCGCGACCAGTGAGGAATGCACAGTTGCTTGGGGCATTTGCAACGTAAGTGAGCACTCGTCGTTTCGTCACATGGTGCTGACGCATGTCATCCGTAGCATGCCTTCCACTTCCACTGCATCTCCCGATGGCTCAAAGCACGATCCGTCTGCCCGCTCGACAACCGTGACTGGGAGTTCCAAAAGTACGGACGCTGAGGGGCAGGCCAACACGAGTATCACGCGCCACGAATCTTACGAAGACAATGGGTATCAACAAGGGAAACAAGACCACGCTCACGAGTGCGAGATTCGGGCTTGACTACAGCATGGGGAACACGATAGACCTCGGCGGGGAAGAAAGCATGTATTTGGAGCTGCGTCCTCCAGCGCCCGTTATCCTACCGTCAGGCCAGAGCCTACGGGCAACCACTTGACAGGATCCTTGTTGTAGAATGGCCACGGGGGTACCACCGCGATAAATGACAAAACAGTCCCAGCTCCCCCGAGATACAAGGCCAATACAATGTCCTGCTTCACCCAAGCGATGTTGAACGCAATGAGCTGTGATGTTGTTAGTTCCAGGCTTGTCCGTTGGGTTTCGCATTTGGCCACGTACGCCGGTGATAGCGAGAAGAAGTGTCCCGAGTAATTCCGCGCGTTTCTGGCCTCTAAAGTCCTAAGACCCAACTGTTAGCTAGATGGACGGCTTGTCCCATCTGGGGAGCTCGTTGGGAGCGGCATAGCAGGCATCCATACAATCTCACCCTCGACAACATCGCGAACTTTGTCTAGGATTTCCTCTGCCATTTCGAGCGGCGAGCTGTAGTGACCCGTCGGTTTCTGCGTCCGGCGATTACCAGGAACTGATTGTGTCGCAACTGTTGCGCGGTGAGCGTCGATAGCAACACGAGACTGGCGATGGTGGTGGACACGTTGAGCAAGCAAGTGGCTGCAAAGGGGTGGCGACATGGAACTGGTGGAAGTCGTCCTGTCCGCCTAGTGGCTGAATGCTTCAGTTACCTTACCTTACTGTCCAGCCATCGCTCAGTACCTGGAGTCACCACTAATAAGTACGCAGGCAGTACCGGCAAACGGTATAGGTAGAGCCACATGATCAAGCGAGCTGCAACGATTGATCCGCTCCGTTGTGGTCGCCAATTGCTTCTATTTTGTCATTGAGGCTAATACGTATCTACGGAGTGCACTTTGTGCGGGGGACCGCGTCTAGACTCCAATCTGCGCTGGAAATGCCCGGGCTGCCGCTGGCCCGCTGCAGGGAGGGGACATGGACTGGGTGCTCTGATTATGGGCGTGTGGGCATTGGGCAGTGTCCGATCGAGTCAGCGTCCAATACAGAGTAGTGCCCTCTCAATTTATTGTGTCCGCAGCCACCAGAGCCAGTCAAAGAGGCGGTAGTGGGCTGGACACAATAAAGCGGGCGCGAGCCTGGCGGCAGCCTCAAGACACCAGGGCCCGAGCACATGCAAATTTTAGACATGACGGAGTCAGGCAGGGTTTTCCCCTAACACCGTTGCGCCATTGAACAAGATTTCTCTCTCCAACCAACCTACTCTTGTTATTCACTCGACGCATATCGACCAACCTACAGAGTCATCTTGCGACAGTTTCTCCACCAAGCATCAACGGCCTCTCGACCATTGCGGCTGTCTACCCTTGACTGAATACTTGCACTCACTGCCAACAGCCTCCACAACTCGCTCAGCAGTCTTCTGCGCAACGCTTTTCCCACGGACCCTTCGAAACCTTCAAGTTGGCTTTATTCGCTCGCAAAGCCCTCAACCCTTCTTCGCTTCTTGGACCAGGCACCTGGATCTACAGCGGAGTCAACCGAAAGCCCCCATAACTGGTTACGAACGATATACCCCCAACACTACTCGCCTTTCGACTTCTGCTTTTCCAACCACATCTAACATTTGCGCGCCGGAAAACACCGGATCGCAGGCTCTCGCGTTGTTACCATACGAGGACTCGGCGCCGTTGATGCGCCGGGTGCGTAGTCTGGTAGACTGAAGGGAAGCCAAGAAGTCTCCCCCCAACAAACATGGTGGCATCCCCATAATCCGACTTTGCTGTCTGCCTGTGGCTCGAGCGATATCAAGTATACGCAAATCTCGTCCATCTAGCATAAGCGAGCGTTTCTACACCGCCAGGTTTCAAGCAACATAAACGGTTTCGCTCTGAACTATCGACATGTCTGACCACGGAGAGACCATTGAGGATCCAGGGTACCACCCCCCTGTCCCCGAACTTGACGACCACCGCCGTCATCATTCGTCAAGCACGCACAGGCCTCGTCGAGGTACGCACGACAGCCTGTATGCTCGGGAGGCTCAACTGCAGTCTGGCAGGGAACCGGATACCCCTACCATTGTAGTCCGCGACTTTGAAGAGGCTATTATCGACGACGGAGGTGCTGATCCCGTTCAGAGGCACCAACGGGCTCGTCGCCCAACTATCGAATCTGTGCATGAGGAAAGAGAGCCATCTCCTCCAAACTCTGTCAAAGCGTTTGCGGCCGCTCGGCGCCGCGAGAGAGACTTGTCTTTCTCCGAGTCTCCGGACGATGACGGCTTGAGCCGAGCCATGTCAGTCTCCAGTCGCCGCAGCTACCGGAGCAGGCCACGGACGGTCGACAAGGACAACGGCAGCATTCTTACGACAAATACTGCCGAAGAAGACGTCTGCTTTCCTCATGACGACAAGCACCGCAAGGACAAGCTCTACATCGACTTTGATTTTCTTGAGTGTTTCATGCACGCCGAGCAGGCCGCTCGTGTTCAAAGCCGAGAGCGACAAGAAACAGCCAGCTTCGACAACCTACAGCTGCAGCATGCTGATACCCGTCGCACCCAGGTCGCCACTAGCGATGGCGATATTCTTGAGATGCCATCGGACGACTCCGTCACGCGCGAGAAGGAAGGGGTCGATGACGTTGAGAGGCTCAAATCTCAACATGCGGGACCCACGGACAGCAATCGCTACAGCTTCTTCTCCACCGCCTGGGAATCCACCATTCACGCTGCTGATCTGGCGGACCTCGTACTGCCCGGCGAAGACATCCGCGGGCTGTTCGAGCTGCCGGAGGATGAGACTGATGGTGTCTGGTGGCTGAATTGCAACAATCCTTCTCGCGAGGAGGTCCAGGGCATCTGCAGGGCTTTTGGCATTCATCCCCTGACCATTGAGGATATCAAGTTTCAGGAGGCTCGTGAGAAGATCGAGCTCTTTCCCTCGTACTACTTCGCCTGCTTCCGCTCCTTCAACGCCGTTGTTGAATCTGACGGTGATCGAGAGTTCGAGCCCTTCAATCTGTACGTGATTGTGTTCCGCGAGGGCACTCTGAGCTTCAGCTTTGCACCCAACTCCCACGCCACGCAAGTTCGAAACCGTATCACCGCGCTCAAGGACTACATGTCACTCAGCAGCGACTGGATCTGCTACGCGCTCATGTGAGTATTCCACCATTGGGTGTTATCCTTACGCCTTGGCTGACATTAACAGTGACAACATTGTCGACTCTTTTGGCCCCGTGATCCACCAGCTCGAGCGGGAAGCAGACGACATTGAGGACGCAGTGTTCATCATGCGCGAGGACGACTCGAGCCAATTTTTGCGTTCCATCGGCCAAGCCCGCAAGAACTGCATGGCTTTGATGCGTCTGCTCGGCGGCAAAGCTGATGTGCTCCGTGGCTTCACCAAGCGCTGCAATGAGAATTGGCAAGTGACACCACGCATGGATATTGGCATGTACCTGGGCGACATCCAGGATCACGTTGTCACCATGGCCACTAACCTGAGTCACTTTGAAAAGATATTGTCGCGCGCCCACAGCAATTACCTCGCCACCTTGTCCATCAACAACATTTCACAGGGTACCGAGATGAATCGTGTTCTGAGCAAGATAACCTTCCTTGCATCCGTTCTGGTTCCGCTCAACCTTGTGAGTGGTGTGTTCGGCATGAACGTTCCTGTTCCTTTCATGAATGTCGACTCGAACAATCTGGCGCCATTCTTTGGCATCATCAGTTGCATGATCTTCCTTTGCGCTCTGATTCTGGGCTGGGCACGATACTATCGTTGGATCTAAAGACATGTCTGGCGCGTGTTATGCATGTACTTAATCGTTAGTTCGCGTTGTCGTGGGTCCGGTCTGCATACACATTAGACAATCTAATTACAGATGCTTTGTTACGCACTGAGGGCCTGGGTTCACCAAGCCACAGCCGATGTACTGTGTGTTGCGGTCTTACGGACATGCTGGAGGACGTGAGGCGGCGATCTCCTACGGGCAACACGCTGCAGTTCCCATCTGGTGCCTCACTTCGCCGGCTACCCGGATAATGCGTTCGATTGATCTTGGCGAAATCGGCCAGAGCCCTTGCTCCTGCAGGAATTGTGGCCGTCACGGCCTTCCCTGGCTTAGCTCCGACTGTCAGTGGCATACACGAGCAGGGTCCGCAGCGCAGCAAACCACGTGCTAGATGGTCCTTTTGAACTCGACAAGCCTGACCATGCTTGCTCAGATCAGCACGTGAAGTGCTCCTCGCTCCGATAGGCAACAATTTGAGAGCCTTTGACACCATGCGTCTTCCATGGAGGGAAGGAGATGCGATGCGTACAGCTACATGCCTTATCAACAGCTGAACGGGAACCGCCGTCTACCATAGTCATGCGCCTGGCGCCTGGCGCTACATATATGATCAGCATGTTGCCTCACCCATCGCATGACTGATGGGTCACGGCTGCTCTCACTGCTCACTGCTCCAAGGTCCGTTTCACTTGTCATCAACGCGGGTATCATGCTGCCAGTACTCTTTGGCGCCCTGCTGGGCGCAGGCCCAGCAGCAGCTACCTCACTGTTTGCTGACGAGTGCCCGGCTGACGCCCCTTTGAGCTGCCATGCCAATGGAGACTATAAGGACACTTGCTGCTTCAACAGTCCGGGAGGCCAGCTACTGCTTACTCAATTCTGGGACACCGACCCTTCCACTGGCCCTGCCGACAGCTGGACGATTCACGGCCTGTGGTAGGTCTCCCAAAGTTACCATGTCCGCTGCCGTCCTTCATGTTGTTTACTAACTGCTCTACTAACGCATAGGCCTGACAATTGCGATGGGAGCTACGAACAGTTTTGCGCTCCTCAGCGTGAGGTCAGCAACATCACTGAGATCCTCACACAGAGCGCTCCCTGCACGCTCAAGTACATGGCGAAGTACTGGAAGGACTACCATGGAGACGATGAGGACTTTTGGGAGCACGAGTTCAACAAGCACGGCACGTGTATCAGCACGCTTGAGCCCGATTGCTACGCGGACTTTGAGGGTCGCCGCGATGTGGTTGACTTCTTCAAGCGCGCTGTGATGCTTTTCAAGACACTGCCTTCATACAACTGGCTCGCTGAAGCTGGGATTTTGCCCTCGTTGACCGCGACCTACACACTCGCTCAAATCCAGGAGGCTCTTACTGCTCAGCATGGGCATAATGTCATCATCAACTGCAACAACAACAACGAGATCAATGAGTTGTGGTACCACTACAACGTTAAGGGTTCTATCCAGGAGGGCGACTTTATCCCAGCCGAGCCTGTAGGGTCGCCCTCTACATGCAAGGCGACAGGCATCAAGTACCTGCCCAAGTACACCACCGGGCCTCCTAGCACCACTACGACAACCACCTCCGTGCCTATCCCCACTGGCTCTCCCTCGCAGCTCTCGGGCAAGGGTCGTTTCTATGTGAGCACAGACGCCGATTCTTCTGGCGGCTTTCTGATCAGCAGTGGAACCTGGTACCGAGGAGGTGGTACGCCGGCCACTTACACGGCCACTCCCAATGCCGATGGCGAGACCTTCACTCTGTCCACCAGCAAGGGCCCTTGCGCCGTCCAGGCGGATGTGTTGAACTGCGCCGCATCTGTCTCTGCTTCGGACGCTAGCTTTTTTGGCTGGGACGGCTCGTATCTCACATACGATGATTCAAACACCTTCTATGCCACCTCTCTGCCCTCAGGCACCACACAGGGTGTCGTCTATACTGTTCCAAAGGCTGTGGAGATCCGAGCATCTTGGATCCAGTCATGAGATATTCTCTCGGCTCAAATGTGCACAGTGTTGGACATTGCGAGAAGATAGGCGACAAGAAGTTTGGTAGCTGAATGGGTCTGCCACAACGATCAGTGGCTTTGGCGGCGATGGGCCATCTCAGGCCCAAGCATAGCGACAGTGGTACTCATTAGACTAGCCATGATTAAATTAGTCAATGAAAAACATATGAAGAGATGTCAAATTCTCTTTCTCCGTAAGCACAGTCTCTGTTCAGCCGTAACGAACACGCAGATGTGCCAAGCTGAGGAGATTCAAGGAAACGCTGGCCTTATGGGACGCTTCGTCCCGTAACAATTCAAAAGAAGTGGAATTATGATTATTGATATATGTTTAATATGAAGCCTCGAACGCACATGCAGTCAAAGATGTGTCGAATTTAGGGGTTGAGGACATTCGCTATAGGGTAAGCTGTGGCACCTGTTATGCGCATGTCCACATTTGACCAATGGCAGCGCTACATGGTCTCACTCCAGTGGGCCTATCTATGTGCGAAATCTCAAGCTTCTTCCAGAGCCTGTCTCCTACGATCAACCTCGAACCCAATCGAACTGTTTTCGTCCAGGAACGCGACCCAACTCCGAAGCCAGACGCCGAGAAACTGACCAACGGTCCAATACGACAACATGAACTCAACTCAGGCTGCTATCGAGAACGTTGACCTCGACAAACTCAACGACGCCGACAAGGGTGAACTTCGCCAGTTCCTCAACACTCAACAACAGCGGTCGCAGATCCAGTCCCGTATGTTTTAGCGATGCGCGGCACACAAGAGAACGAGACTGACAATACTGCAATAGAGACACATCAGCTCACGCAGGTGTGCTGGACGAAGTGCTTCACCGGAAACGTTAGCGGCAGCAAGCTGGACAAGACCGAGGAGGGATGTCTGGCGAACTGCGTTAACCGTTTCATGGACCTGAACCTCCTCACAGTCAAGCACCTCAACTCAATGAGGCACTGAGAACCCCTCTCGACGAGCACTGAGGACAAGAACTCGAGCAACCGCCATTAGCGCTACCGCGACATCGCCCATCAAACAAGGCGATTGAACCATTGTACTTGAGGACTTGGGAGGGCTGTACAACATCGCACTGTAGAATGTACTCTTGAACAGAAGATCATTGTACTCTTAGCTGGGAAAACATGGACGAAGCGTTGTCACGACTGCGCATGTACAGAATCAAAGATCGGGAAGGGTTGGTCAATTTTATGATCATTTTTGCCTGTGTCCGAAAATCATATAGCTCTTGTGCGCCATTCCGATGCCATGCTCAGGGTATAGACCATACCCACCGATAAATTCATTCCTTCATTCGCGAACAAGCCCTTAGACCAGAGCCAGCTTGTTGGCGGCAATGTCGAGGGCATCGACATCAGGAGTCAGGCGGGCGTAGGCCTTCTTGGAACCGTCAGGGCTGTTTGCAAATTAGTAAGGCTCTTCTTGGCAAGATTAACAGCGACCACGTACCGGATGAGGGTGTTGATCTTCAGGGTGTCGATGTCGTAAAGCTTCTTGAGAGCCTGCTTGATCTGGGCCTTGTTGGACTTGACGTCGACAATGAAGACAAGGGTGTTGTGCTCCTCCATCTTCTTCATGGCGCTCTCGGTGTTGAGAGGCTTGATGACGATCTTGTGCTCATCAAGACGGGGCAAGTGAGGGATCGACTTGCGGGGGTACTTAGGAGCTCGCGAGGTGACGAGGGTCTTAGGGCGGTGGAAGGAGGTGCTCAGGCGGACCTTGCGGTTCTTGCTGGAGCTGGTCTGTTCCTGGGTTAGTCGAGCGTCCCATTTCTTCCAGATATCACTTACGCCCTTGAGAGCAGCCTTGGCGGCAGCGTTGGCCTGCTTCAAGCCCTTGGGGGCGGCTATAAAGAAATCGCATCAGCAATCGCTCTCTTAGAAGAACTCGCAAAATCTGCTGCTGCCATGATGCGTGACACCCCTAATCGTGCTCCGCCCTCAATCAATCGTAGATGGTGATCGGGGAGTCGGCCATGCGCCATCGAGGGTCCATCGTGCAGCGACAGAAGAGAAAGTCGGATATTGTGGTCGCGGTCGACTCGGAGGTATGGAATTAGATGATGCCGTACCTTTCTTGCCCTTTGCAGCGTCTTTGCCGGCCATTTTGACGGATTTGAAGCACGGGTGGTTGAGGTGGTGCTGTGTGTTAGTCGTGATCGGGAATGAACAATTCCAAGTTTCGACAAGAAAATCCTGGTGTGATGTCCGTGTGGGCGCAAATCGATTAGGGTATGTGGTATGATTGGCTTGCCCCCAGGCAAATCCAGCGATCACGTGCTGCCCCTCCTCGGTCATGCCAGTGGCACTGGCAGGACCTTATGTGGGTCTCTCACCTCGAACCGACTAAGAAGCACACTGTTGCCAAGAGTAAAGTAGGATGTCAGGTTGTGGACCATCACAAGTAAGACCTGGGAAGTGACGGTGTTGGAGACGGACAGGCAGATGAGCATTCAAGATTGATATAGCCCGTTGCCTCTCATGGCCTGAAATTTGCCGACACACCCCAACAGCCAGATCTGGACTTATCGAAAGATTTGCGAAAGCTGAAAACTATACGCATGCTTTTACTTCGTCAGATCACATCATCGCATCGGCCATCATGAAGAGAAAAGCGACCACACAACTCCAGGCCGGGCGGCCACCTCTGGCCAAGTCAGTTCGGACTATGTCTCGCAAAGCCAGCCGCACTTTGATCAACACCCATCACCAGTTGGAGAAGAGGCGCCAGCAAGCCGCAAAAAAAGGCGATAAAATCGAAGAAGCCTTAATAGAGAAGGAGATTTCTAGGATTGGAGGCATTGGCAACTACCAGCGGGCAAGCCTCCAGGGTCAAAGCCTTGATCGAGGGGGGGACACCTCCAAGATCCTTTTAGATTGGCTGCAGACAAGCGAGTTAGCAGGGGCCCAACACAGGCTGAGAATGCTTGAAGTCGGCTCGCTGAGCACACGAAACGCCTGTTCACTCAGTGGCTTGTTCGATATGGTACACATTGATCTCAACAGCCAGGAACCTGGAATCGAGCAACAGGACTTCATGAAGAGGCCGCTGCCCGAAGATGACTCCCAGAAGTTCGACATCATATCGCTGAGCCTCGTGGTCAATTTCGTTCCCGATGCGGCGACTCGCGGTCAAATGTTGGAGCGTACGCTGTCCTTCTTGCGCGCGACCCCTTCAGAAGACCAGGCAGCACCATTCGAGGATTTCTTCCCTTCATTGTTCCTCGTCTTGCCCCGGAGCTGTGTCGACAACTCTAGGTACTTCACTGAGGCTAGGCTGGAAGCCTTAATGGGGACATTGGGATTTGCCAAGATCAGCGGCAAGACGACGCAGAAATTGGCATACAGTCTCTGGAAAATGGGAGGCACGCCTAACAATAGTGCTAAATTCCCCAAGAAGGAAATCAATCCGGGGAAGACGAGGAACAATTTTTTCATCACGCTCGATAGATCAACGAGTTGATCATCGGGTGGGCTCAAATCTTACTCAGGCACGGTGCCATGTGGTCTTGCTTCTGTCAGGCACATGGAGATGCCCGTCTGAGCTCCGAATCAACTCTAATTATAGAATTACCCTATTGGCCTTTTGGTTTCCATGCGCAAAACGTATCCGACATTTGGCACCTCAAGGCGCTGAACAGCACTTTAAGAGCACTCGCACCACTACGGTCAGCCACACATCGGGCATGATGAACCTCCAGTCTCCCACACCTGCTTTGCGCAAATAGCCTATCACTCATCAGCCGGACCGCCGCGCCATACTGCTCATTGGCTCAATGTGCTGAAATCCGAAACGGCGACAGTGAAGAGAGGGTGGTCTTCAGGAATAGCTGGGTTGCCCGGGCGAGACACTGGCAGGCTTCGCATGCCAGCAGTCAACGCGGCGTCCACCTCCTTCAAGTTGTCGCTGAGAAAGAGCCAATTTGCAGGGCTAACATCCGGGTGAGTTGACAAGATTGTCTTGTAGCTCGAGACACTGGTTTTCGGACCTGCGTTGACGGTGTCGAACCAGTCAGATATTAGAGGCGTCAAATCTGAAGGCTCGGCATCCGTGTGCGCAAAAAGCAGCTTCTGCGCTGGTACAGATCCAGAGGAATAGATCATGACTTTCTTCCCTTTGGCCTGACTCTCGGTCATGAAAGGGGCGACGTCGGGGAATAGAGGTGCCTTGATCTGACCAGAGGCATATCCTGCCTCCCACAGGTACCCTTGGAGGGCTTTCAGGTATGGCATTTTAACGTCTTTGTTGACAAGGTCGCGTACGTGCTGCTCAAGGGCACCCTGATCATCGCGGTACTCTTCGGGGAACGCATCGCGGTACTGAGCAAAGTTGGGGTCGTTCCACTGCCGTTCAAGGACTCCTGGGAGTGCTTCGAGCGCATGGGGGAACTAGCGGTCAAGTAAGATCGTCAGTCCTGCGGATTAAGACGAAAGATCCAGTGGGCCAATATGCTCAACACACCAGCTGGACCAGCTGAACTTTGTGTGCATTTCACATACCAAAACGACCTTCACAAAAGATATAGGACAAACAGTTCCCTCTACAAATGATATCCATTAGCCATTCATTCCCACCAGACATGCTCTTTGAGACACCGTGTTTAACGAGGCCGGCCAGCCCTCCTACGTCATATTGTCCTGAATTGGAGGGAGTGCTCACCAATATCAAGGAGTAACACCTTAAAATCGGCCATATTAACAGCAGTTACTCTGTGTGTCGGCACTGCTTCCAATTTGGTTTAGGTGAGGACGCGGGAATCGGTGGTTAAGGGCGACGTGCAAACTGTGTTGAATCACCTGACACTGGAGCAATAGTGCTGTCAACAGGTCATGCAGGCTACCAGAACAGGCTAACGATGCACAAATAAGGAGGGTCGATGAATGCCAGAGGCATTTGAAGTTAGAGGCTGGTAGCAATGTAACATGAAGTTGAAAGAGCGGTCAAAGGCTCAAAGCATCACGTCCCCTCCCTCCATCGGCACGACGGTACTTGACCTTGCGTGAAACCAACAACGAATCCAACAAAAGTCTGTTCTGAATGCCGTCCCCACTAATAGCGGCAACTCCAGCGTACGTATGTACGTAGTAGGTACATGGAAGTGGATTGCTTGGGTCACAGGTAAAAGGCACATCTCCCCCGCAATTCTGCGGCTGGTACTCTCCAGGCGGTCGCCACAGGGAGGCTTGAGGGTCCGACTTCGCCGCCCATAAAAATATTGGTGCTGTGTGCTGCGCAGGGGAAAGAAGACGAAAAGAAAGATATTCTACTCGCCGATGCCATCGCCAGACTTTTGCTGCTGGCGACGCAGTCGCCGAGGCAAAGGAGAAGCGTGCCCGTGCCCGTGCCCGCGCGGCCTTGGACCGCGCCGAGGAGGCCGTTTGGCGGGCGATTTACCACCAGAACGCCGAGCGCGCTGCGCTCGTAGTGCTGCAGCGCAGCCGGGGTGGCGCCGGCGCCCAGTAGCCTGTGAGGGCGAGGCGGGGAGATGGCCCTCGGCCGGGCATGATGGTGGTGGCGGCGGTGTTGTTTTGTTGAGAACAGAGGGCGACAGAGAAGACAGCGCGGTAAGATATTGTAGGCCCTCTGTTGACTAGAATACTAGAGAAGGTGCACCGTCGCAAGTATCACCTTCCTAAAGACATATTGAGAGGTAAGAAGGATCGACGAGAACCTATACAGTTTTCTTGCTCCCCCAACTTCGAGGCAGCTGCGACTGCTGCAACTTATGTGTGAAGAGTTCATAACACCTGTATTTTGATAATCTCCCTTTCCCCGAGCACTCTGGCACCCAGAGCTGCTTCTCGGTTCTGAAAAAACATTGACTCTGGATGGGTCATAGCATCCGTCGGTGACACTCGCAACAGCCTGTGAACGTGTCTCGGAAGGACGGATGAAATTAGTTCAGGGAATCAATGCTGCACAGTGATACCAAATAAAGCCCTTTACACACGAGGCTACCTATTGAGCTCTAGAAGAGTGCTGTCCATATAGGCGACGTCGACTTCACCCGGAGTGTATGCCTCGTTGATGCGAGCCGTTCTGCCAGACGAAGTACCGACGCCTGGTTCCTAGTCTCTGAAATTGCTGCGGGCGATTTTATGTGAATTCGAGGGGCAACTTTCCATTTGAGACGGTGATAGTGACATGTCCGGACCTTTGATGGACGGAGATGCCGGTGATGTATCGGAACTTAGAGATCACGATTCGGAGAAATGGAGCATCGCAGGAATATACGCATTGTCGATCAGTGGCTTGATTGCATTAATACAGCACAAAAACAGAAGACCGGAGCTCTCATAGCTTGTAGTTGGCAAGTCGAACGGGGCAAGATACAGGAGTGGAATTTTTCTTTCAATCTCCGCGTTCTCCTGGAGGAATTCTGTTGAGCCACGAGTGCGTAGCGCAGGACCGTACCCCACCTGAGTTCAGCTCTATCGTTTGTGCCTCGCAAACCACTTTACGAATCGTGCCGCTCGTCGCTGGCTCGGTACGACCCTGCGTTCTGCCGCGCGGACATGGAAAGAAGAGCACATGACAATTGCCACTGCAGGACTATGCTCTATGGTCTTGGCGGGTTGGCATGAAGAGGAGAAGGGAGGGAAAAGAGCATACCGACTGCCTCGGGCTGGCTGATCAGGGTTGCGCGAGCGTGGGTTATGCGGTCCGAAGACTGCGGCAACCCGAGGCTCCAGGGCCGGACTTTTGACACATCTGAAGGCACCACCCCCTCCGGCACGCACATTGAGCACGCTCTCCCGCTCTTCGTCGTTTCACGATTTTCTGCCGTTGCTCAGCACGGCCAAATGTGGAACCCCAGTCCTGCTGGTTATCTCCGAGCTGGAACTCCAGTAGGGCAGCTGCACCCCCAAGGTCCCCTCACCAGCACTCCAGCAGTCGGGAATGAGGATTTTTGGCGAAATGTCTGGAACAACGAAAATGGTCTCCCCGCCGGTCTGCCGCCGGTCACAGAGACCTCACCAGATTTAAGGCGGCCCGTCGATCGCCTTTTCGAGGCTCTCGGCTCCAACAGCAATCCGACAAACTTCCTCCTTCTTGATGAGAATGTTAATGAACTCAAAGGTCTCGTCGAGACCTTCAAAGCTCCGATGGCACAAGACGAGTTCGATGATAGGCTAGAAGCAGCCACGAACCCCTCCTCCGGCGTTACGAATATGGAGGACGTTACCCGCATGCTCGCACCGCTCCGTGAACTGTCGGCCATGTTCACATACCTCGGAGATGACGATGTAATCAGCGCTATTGATAACAGCGCTTCCGCTGTTTATCTCCAGCTACAGCTCATAGAACTTTGGATCCAGGACGCAGAGGGTCTTTCGGCACACTGGAGCGAGTTCTATCCCGAATACTTCCGTCTCGTCTCCGAATTCGCTCGCACCTGGGCTCGGGACCGTATCGAGGAGATTCGGACTGCGTACGAAGCCTATCCCTACGCCGAGTATCGCGAGGAAGTCCTTGCCGCTCTCACGGAGCTTGAAGATGGGATCCCCGACTGGAAGTACCCATCGGAGGACTGATCCCGCGGCGTGCGTGTGTACACCTCTGTATATAGCAATAGTGGAAGCGAAATGCCAGACATCTAGTTTTACCGATGCTCTATATAATGTTAGAGTCTGGAATTCATAACTCGGGATTTTGTTATTGCGTGATAGTTAGAGGAGAGGTGCCTAATAGGGCGTTTAAGAAAGCTGCTCTGCTTACACTCGTGCTTAATAGCACTCTATGTATGATGATCAACAGATCAGAAGAAAAGCAAGAGATGATATTCTCTATCTGAAGAAGATGCTGATGCTATCAAAAGAAGAAGAACGCGATGCCGCGATGATGCTGCTTTTTGAGGGCAGCTGTGGGCCGAATGTGGAGCCTGACCAATCAGGGCAGTGACTGGTCCAACAGTCACTGGGCCTGACACACAACACTATGGTTCCTTCCACCTCTGAGTACAACTGAAAAAGTGGGCCTCACGTGAGCAGCGCTTGACAGCACATGCCTGCTATTCGCAGGATTTCCAGCTAACTCACGAGCTAACTATGTTATTTAATACTCTTGCATTCCGCGTGTCAAGGTAGTCCGCTTGTTTTCTATGCGGCCACAAGCTCGCTTGTCGCGACCGATCGCGAAGATAAACTATCGACACTACGCTCACTATTCTTCTTGGACCAGTCGTCTTCGCTGGCCATCCCACCTCGGCCGCAGCAGCCGTGTGCCTGCCGCAACTAGGTTGTCAACTCAGCTGCCAGCAACGCAATCCAGATCCCGCACCCCCTGCCACCGAAGACTCCATATGTCCTCTCCAACTTCAGGTCGGGATAGCCCGCAAGATCAGCCACGCCATGACAGCCCACAAGAGCAACCGCGAGATCGCACAGGGGAGTGGTGGGAAAAGCTCTCGGCCGAAGCTAGGATCCGAGAGGATGGAGATGAGAAATGGGGTTGGGTTATTTACCGGAGCTCCTACGCCAAAGAGCTCGAGGGTAGCTGGGAGGATCTCAAGCGCCGCATACTGCAAAACTTACATAAGAGAATCGCCAAGTCAGACGCACCCAGTATCGCCGAGACAATGGACTTTATCTTCGTCGAAGACCCCACACTCGACGGTGCCTCGAATAACCAGCTAAGGAGTCGATTTCAGCTTTGGGCGCGTGAGAATTGTGCAGACACTTTTCACAAAGGGATCGATACAACACGTGGCTCGAGGTATGAGTTTTTCGTCAAAGTCGACGACGAGTTATTGCGCGAAGGCAACGTCGGTCTCGTTCAGGGCTGGCCATTGGAGGCTGAAGAGGGCGACACCGAGGAGGAAGAAGACGACCCCGAGGATTGGTTCAAGATGCGAGACGACGCTATTAAGCCTCACCTCTATGATAGCCTGCATGACCCTGAGCACTTTTATATACTCTATCGGCGGCCGGAGAATGGGGCGACTTACATTCCTTAAGGCACTTGGCACTTGTTTTTCACTAGGTTAAGGTCTTCCGTAGCGGAGCTAGAATGAGCACTGATAAGCCACTTGTTATTGATAGAACGGACTGTTAGACCCTTGCGTTCAGACATTTAGATGATCGCACAGAAGGAAGTCATTACTCTCTACTCGCTAGTTTAGCGCTTGAGCCAACCGCTCGTGAATATGGCTGCTAAGGACTAAAAAGAACCCCTCTGGTGGTACTACTGAAGCTGTTATACTGCTACTCTGGACGGGGACACGCTGCGCGCATCGATATCGCGCACGCAACCTGAGATCTGCTGCCCTTTTTGAAGACGCCTGAGATTCAGGTTCAGACCGAGCCATGCATATTCGCACAAAATCATCTACCGAATGAGCGATGGAGACCCTGAGTGTTAAGGCCATTCCCTTCGGTAATAGCACGCGCTGAATCCCGTAGCGCCAGGTCCTCGTCGACAGCTAAATGCCCGGACCTAACAAGCACATGAGCCGACGACGATTCAATGTCGCTGCTGTTGACCGCTACTGAGCTTGCTCAACTAGCATCTTTTCCGACTGTTTTGACAGGCGTCCTGAGGTCGAACAGCCAGTATGCCGACGCCACGGCATATGAGCAACTTTGACCACCGAGCACAACCCGACTGGTCCTGGATTCTGATTTGATTTCAATATAATATCAAGAAATATTATGCGAGGCGAGTTAGATTGCAAGATGCAGCTCCAGGCCCCGAGGGACGTGGGAGATTCCATTCTGCACAGTTCCCCGAGTTGCGTGTAGACGGAAGCTCCGCTACGGACTTCTGCTAGGTCCATGCACTAACGAGTAGTCGATGCCTTGTGTTCACGAAGGATCTGGTCTTCCTTAAGCGAGGCGGAACATTGTCTCCAAGCCATAGTGATTGAATACGTCTCGGCAAATCCGGCCAGAGCAAGACGGGGCATCTTCATGAGCAGAGTCCTCTGAATGAAGCCAAATTACAGCATTTCGAGCAGGTGCTACGGCCCATGGAATTCTACGACATACTTCCGAGCTCACCGGCGCGCTTGCTAGAGAGTGAGACGCGAAGATAAAGATGGGCAAGGCGGAGGAAGCGCAACGTTACGGGCAAGGCGACAACGGTATAAACGGCGTCACTCAAGAAAAGCTTTCAAATAAAGCAAAGCGCGATGAGGTTCTTATAAAAGTTGGCTGCGGGCGGAAGAGACGCCGAGGCTTCCACAGTTATTGTCCCGTTGACTGCACGTGCGCGAGGCTGTTGTTGCAATGCTACATAAACCGCAGTGGCTGTGCTACGCCAGATCATGGACGGCCCAAGAAGTTCAACTCAAGATGGCAGGCATTAACAGCAGTTAGCCTCTGCACCTTGAGAGCTGCTTTAGGTCGTATATATACGCAGGATGAGAGGTTCCGTGATTATCCTGGCGTCCTGTGAGGTGAAGAGGGGTGGAAGCTCGTGAGGTTCAAAATCCAAGAGGCCCATGTGCCTCTTGCAAGCATCCGATGAGCCCTCGATGTTTGCAATAATAGCAGACTGATCCTTGGCTGCTGGCCTGCCTGCAGGGCTGCAGGCTAACCAGTCCATCTTGTTCGTTCGCAATCAACAGTCAGAAGATCTGGGATTTTGAAGCCTTCAATCAATCAACCTATCTATCGGCTGCCGCCCGTTTGGCTGTTTGATCAAACCAATCAAACCAATCAAACAGCGCGGAGGGGTGTGCAGACCCATTTTATTAGCTCTCCACCAATAAGAATACGCATATCCTCCCAACTCCCGGGCCTCGGTCCGTGTGTACGTACCTACTTTAGCGACTCGGGCCCGCCGACCGTCACCTTCCCCACAACCACATGCAGCTCCCAACCGTGCATCACCATAAGCCTCATAGAAAGGCTCTTGACTCTCTTAGAGTATCTATTTCTTAGCATATTTAGCGACGCATAAAGTCTATTAAATACGATCCACATTTATCGGTATCAGGTCAAACAGTCAAATCCGGTGTGAAATTCGTGTCAATCAATCAAATCGACCCCCTGCATCTGCCCTGATTGAGTAGCGTGCAGTCCTGCCTGCCTCCTGCTGCGGATTAAGGTACAGTCCCCAGGTATTCCAAATGGTAACTGTGGCAATAGTGCAGGGATCAAAGCTATCTTGCTCTCCACCTACGATAGCGGAAGAGAGAAGTATTTCTAGGATCCCTACTACCTCCACTATTCAATCAACAGATTATAACCAAATCAAACACCGCTCTCAGAAGAGGCCACCAATGATACAGGTAGCCGAAGAAAATTGGAGCCCTACTCACTAGCTAATATTTGGAATCCCTGGGAACTGTACATTCACATCTAAAGAGGCAGAAACAAGGTTCAGCCGTGCATTTCAAGTTCGGCGGAAAAACATAGCGGCCGCCACCCAGGGTGACTCCCACTGAGGAAGGTTGCCCTTCAGGGATTCCATTTCTTGTTGTATTACATGTGGCGATAGTGCAGGGATAGAAGATACCTAGTCCGTCACTGACTTTACCTGTGAAGATAGGCACTCCTATGGTCCGCATTAATCCTATTATTTGATCAACAAACTCTAGCTAAATAAGCATCTACCCTCGAGAGACTCACCAATAATAAGTATAACCGAAGAAAATTAGGCTTCGTACGCACGCTAACAAATAGAATGCCTTAAATGTATAAAAAGGTCTTAGCAGGGCTCCCCACATCCATTCTCACCACCAACCAGTCCACACTATAACGATCCTCTAAATCGTCGAAGCCTCTTAACGACCTCGTCGACGACACAATTCCTATAGACAGGGACACCTCATCGAAAGACTTCTAACTACATCGCTCTTTTGTCGGAAAATCCTCTTCTTTCGGTCTACTACACCATGTTTTCAACGTCATTCGGCCAGAGGCAAGGGGCTTCAACCTGGGATGGCTTGCCTAGAGGAATGCGGCGTCTTATCGTGCAATTTCTAATGCAAGGAAGCTACACATTGAGTCGCTTGGTCACGGTGTGTCGAGAGTGGCAAACGGAGATCGAGCGACATAACTTCGCTCGAATCAGACTGACTCCGGCACGTCTCGTCAACTTCGATGTGATGGTTCAAAGAAATTGGGCTCTCGTCGGGTACGTCTGGTTCTGCTTGGAGCTTGATGATTACGATTGTACCACCTGCGCGCCTACCAGTCGAATGGTCACAGGGGAAGAGTATGAAGAGGCATTTGCAATTAGCGATACCGATAGATGTCCTATCACCAAGAGCTTCCGAATTTGTTCTCAAATCTCAGCACATGGGATCATCGCGGCGACTTGACACTCGACATCAGTATCTACTCGCCTAGCGACTCGGGGCACTGGTTCAAATATATGACCTTCGTGCCCGACACCCCTTCGAATCTACCAGTCAATTGTCGCACAGAGAAGGCGATGCCAAACGGAGACTACCATGGCCCTCAACACGGTTGGGTTGCCGGTTCTCGAGAATCCGCTCCGCCTCCATCCGCTGTCAGAAAAATATCCCATTCAGTGATGGAGCAGGGGCCATTTAACGATGACCAGTCAGAGCTTCAATGGTGGGATCAACTCCCATCTGTCCCAGCAGTAAGTACTTCACTTCTCCGGCAACAAAACCGCCGGAGATGGAAGTCGAATTCGCTGGCACATATGTTTGCCCGGTTTCCTAGACTCCAGGAAGTACACTACGAACCCTGGAGGGAATGGGACTACATGCAAAGCGATACAGATAGAAGTGAGTACGACTACAATAACCCCTCATCCTTTTTCGTTATTGCTCGCTCTATTTTATGTAGGTACTCACTTACTAACAATCCTTATTACCTATCTAGGTTCCCAGCACCTTTTTAAGTCTATCCAACATTCCAACAATAGTCTTAAAAGACTCGTGGTCTTCGAGAACTTCAATCAACAGTACCCATGTACTATGCAGCGATTCCTAGAAGGGGTCGACCTGAGCAGATGTGAAAAGATCCGCGACCCTAGTCCAGCTGGTAGCCTGACGGTCGTACTAACTAGCCGTAAGCTTGACCATCTCGCAGCATCTTTCATCGTAGATGCCAGCTATTTCTTCGAGATCCAACCCTCTTGGGAGTGGCCAAACTTGATATCGCTGGTTCTTACTTCAAAATTGCTCACACCCGACGAGCATTCGACAGACATTAACGCTATGCTTCAGACAGCGGCGTTAGCGGCTGTGAAGATGCCTTGTTTAGAGACAATGGAGATTTGGAACGGACGAAAGGGCTTAGCAGCGCTCTTTCGGTATCAGGCGCGCCGCAACGTACATCAAGCTGTAGTTTTGTGGAGAGGCACATATGATTTGGCTATGGAACCACCTGTGATCCAGGCTTGGGAAGCTGTGATGCATCAGTATGATGGACGGAGACTCGATCTAGTCCAGGAACTGCTGGATGAAACTGCTATCAACTCTCACGTTGATGCGCTTTCTTATCTGATGCTTTTAAGCCAGGTAATTCGGCCTGTCTCGTTGCAACAGATCCAAATGGAACAGAAAGCTCTAGAGGGCGTAGATACCATATAACATCGATGATAAAAAAACAACAACCGTAAAGCATAGCACAGGCAATACCTAGTATTGAAACACAAATAGCAGTGGGCATTGTACATGGCAGGATTTTGGACAAAGCAGGATGGCAAGCTGCTCTCCCCTAATCCAACGTGCTGTGTCTCGTTCAGGACGTCGACACAGAAGATTCAAAGGAGGTTTCGATCCATTACGGCGCCCAGCTCGGCCTGATTCAGAGGTTGCTTGTCTAAGTCTGGATTTGGTGGAAGGATACGGCGTGGATGTCTGCTTGCGTGCTTGCTGAACCCGTACAGTATTACAGTACATGCAATTACTTACTGTGGAATGCGCACGTGTACTGTTTTTTATCTGCTTGAAAAGACTGTGCAGTCACGCTGTGGGTTCGTCATCTCGCGCTTTGCTATTTTGGGCTTATGGCTAGTCCAGATTGTCTGTTGTCTTTGAGAAGTATTGCGGTGGATTCGTCCATTCACGTTTGACACGTTGTTGCATGATGTGCGGTTTCAACTTCATGCAGGAGAGGCACTGCGCTGCAGGCGGTGCTGGCGGGAGGTATGTACCTTCAGGTACCTTACAGGACTCCGCTCTCAGCATGCGCCGAGATGGTGACCTCCAGTCCGTTTGACAACAATAATAAAGTTCACGGCGCTTGGCTGGGCTGCTCGCGGGTGTCGGGATTTGCTGGCTGTGATAGTTCTGAAGCACATGATTTGCCAACCTCGTCAAGGTTTGTCACGTCTGACGTACGTAGTATACCTGTGTTTACTCGTATTATCCAAAGGTACGTTCCGGTTAATTATAGTCAGGCAAGTCGGAGTCTGAACCAAGCTCAAAGCCAATATTGACGTATGCGTAAGCCTTCACCAATTAATTATTGATCGTCCTGCAATCTTGATGGCAACGTCGTCGGCTAGCAGTGAGAACCTGGGTATAGTTATCCAGATGGCTGAATTGGCAGGGCCACAATGCTCGCACGATCTGGAATCGTGAATTCGCCCACTGCGTTCCAATTTTCCGCATCTGCTGGCCTAGGCTTATCAGAATGACAGCTGTCTTCCACAGTGCATGAGACACTCACAAAGTGCTATCTTCCAGCGCCAACGGCTGATCATCACCCATTGCTACCTGCACCTTACTACGACAGCCAACGATCGTCATGCCCCCTCCTGTTGATGTGTTGCTATCATTGCGTGCACTGTACTACTTTGTTGTTTACTACACGTGTTCACTGTTCCGCCGCCTGCGGATACATCAACTGCGCCCGTATGTCGCAGCACTGGATGCGATGGAATCTGGATACTGTGGAATTGAACGACACGTTGAATTGAGACTGACCGCTTCGAATCAAGAGGACTCTGCTTGGAAAACACTGGCACACTGCTGGCAGCACTCATGCAAGCGGCCAGCCAGCCAGCCAGCCAGCTAACCAGCCTCGCTACCGCCGTCTTTGGCGTCAGTTTCGCCTGCAGGTCTGCCACCCTCCTCGATGCTGGCTGCGCAGCGGAGTGGATCCTAGCGCATCCCATCATCGAATCTGAGCTCTTGATGAGTGGACGGCAGTCTGGTGGCCTGAGGCTGTGGCCAATCCAACCCCCGGTTCTGTCTCTCTTGGAGATTCCTCTCGAGTGGAGAGTGGAGCGGCTGTGCCACCTATCTCGCTGACTGGACACTGCGAGACAGTCCAGCACACGACTGGGCCGTGCAGTGACGCTGGGAGGATGGGAGTTGGTAGGCCAGACTATCATCACCGTCTCCACCTCCAGTCATGGCCTACAGCTGGGTCTCCAGCAGCTTCCACAGCCATCTGGCTCGCTCTCGTCGTCCCCCTCGGCGGCCCGGGCTCCTCGACTTGCGACCCTCAACATCACCGCCATTCCCTCAACCCCTTCCTGTCGTCCCCTTCCATCGTCTACCCTCCATTCCTCGTCTCATCTCCCTCCTCTTATTACGCACCCAACTCCTTCTCTCCTTTCCGTCACGCCTTCCCCGTCTTCTCCCACGATCACAATCAGCGGCTTTCTCCCCCCCTGAGCTTACTTTGTCCTCTACTATCCGCACGACCTCGCCACTCGTATAGCCAACCCCGTACCGAAGCGCCGCGCCATCCACGTGGAGCACGCAACCACGGCCATCAACCTCGTCAGCCAACACCGTCAACACGTCTTCCAAACAATCTCCTGATTTGAATCGAGCGAATAAGGACTGAGGTGCATCCTGTTGTGTACCTCGATTGGAAGCCGTACCTGTCGCTGTAGCCGACCGGGTCCGGGTCTGCCGATATCGCCACAAACAAGTTGACTCACCGTCTCGCCGAACTACCCTCTACACGCATCGACCGTGTGTCCGGATACGTCTGTCGGGAGGACAGCACTGTCCCAGTTGCGACAATTTGACATCACCGACGCGTGGCAGCATCTTGTTGTACTGCAACGCCGAACGAACAACAACAAACCGTTACTTGGATCACATCTGGCCGCACCACACCAATTGTCTTGCAGGCGAAGCCACCTACATCCACCCACGAGCTCGAAGACCCCAAATACATTGCGAGTGCCAATAAGTTGACCGCCTGTCGAGTACCCTTGAGTCTCGCGTGGTTCTGGTCTATCTTGTTCAGGACTCCATTAGCGCTCATCGAGTTGTTCGAATCATTCTTTTGCAACACTACACAACGAAACTCAATGTCCTCATAACGACCTCCCGGCCTCTCTCTCTTTACGAGCCTACTGGCTCTTGCGCGTTGCAAGCTTGACGACCTCACTATCGTCTTTTCTTTTGTTCAGCATATCGATCATACCTCAATGAGCCTCTGAATTCTCCACGACCTTCGATCCGAGTCAGTCGACAATATACTGGGCGCTCCCGCACTTTGTACATTCTTCAACCATCTTCATTCAGCACTCACGAAATTTCTGCTAGCATTGTCCAACACCGTTTCTCCACATTACAAACATCACACTGGTCCACGAGATATCATTCTTCGTTGGCTCGAAAACACTTCCGACTTTCAGCATTCACACGTGTCTGCTTGCACACCGGGCAATCTCTTTGGTGTACCCTATTTCACATTTGTATAATTATTTCGGCTCCACATTGTTTCCTGTTTCCATTACGACATGGATTGCTTGCGAGAGAAGTTCTTGGGCGGCGTGCTCCTCAACGGCCGTTATCAGACTCTTTCTCCGCTCAACCATGGGTCCTTTGGTATGGTCTTCATGGCTCAGGACCTCAAAACGAACCAAACTGTTGCCATCAAGTGCTTGACCAAGCGAACCGCCCCATCTGACGCTGGCTTGACACTCGCCGTCGACGACAAGTCCGAGGAATTTGCCCTCCATACTCGACTTGGCACCCACCCGAACATCGTCAATCTTCTCGACAACTTCGAGACTGAAGCGCACGTCTACCTTGTTCTCGAGTACTGCTCTCAAGGTGATCTGTACGAGGCCATCCGGAATGGTCACGGACCCCTTGAAACGGAGCACGTCCGCCAGTTCATGATTGAGCTCATTGACTCCGTGGCCTACATGCACTCCAAAGGAGTTTACCATCGCGATATCAAGCCGGAAAATATTTTCCTTACTCAGGATGGTAACATGAAGCTCGGAGACTTTGGCCTGGCAACTACGGACAAGTGGTCTCACGAGACGACTGTCGGAAGTGACCGTTACATGTCTCCCGAGCAGTTCGACTCAGCTGGCGCTGGCTACTCGCCCGCTCAAGCCGATATATGGGCCATCGGCATTTGCCTGCTCAACATCTTGTTTTCTCGCAATCCATTCACCACTCCTACTGAGTCCGACCCGCTCTTCCTTGACTTCTCGAGGGATAAGCAGAGTCTCTTTGATGTCTTCCCGTCCATGTCTCAAGACACGTACGAGGTCATCGTTCAATGCATGAGCTTGGACCCCCGCAAGCGCTCGCTGCTCGGCGCCCGCGAGGCACTCCTTGGTGTCGTCAGCTTCACCGCACAAGACGAGGCTCTGGATGACTTCTGCACGGCAGACAATCCCACGCTTGCTTCGGCCAACCGCGAGCCTCTTCGCACACCGTCCATTCAAAGCCCTCAGGTCGACGAGGCGGGTGCTTTCCCGTGGACGCGGGCTCTGCACGCTGCACCTCGTCGCCAACTGAGTGTCATTCCCGACGACGAGAGTTTTACGGAAGACCTGTTCTCCAAATCCGAGGGTACGGGTGACTGGTTTTCTGCTGCCGAGCAAACCCCGTCGATGTCATCAGTCTTGGACTCAAGTTTGGGCGCCTCCATGCATTCGCTTGCCATTCGCGAACGCCCGCAGCCCGTCAAGCGAGTCTCGCCAACTGCAGGCTCCCTCCCTATCCACATGACCAAACCATCCACTCTTTCAATCGCGAGCGTCTTTGGTCGCCGCAACGACCAGGTCTCGAAGAGTTGGAGCGACATGTGGGAGGAGGATGAGGAGGAGGAGCGACGTGAGCAGGAGGAGAAGGAAAAGAGGAGGCTCCAAGAGCTTAACGCGAGAACTTGGAGTCATGAGAGCCGGAGCGAGGCGAAGGATTCGCATGTTGCTATCAAGGGTGACGTTGACGATGACCTTGTTGCTGACGGGTTCTTCTTCCACGAACCTAAGGCCGACATCTTCACGACGCCCAAGAAGCAGATGCCGCGATACTCGCCACCATCCAAGCGCAGCACTCTCGACAAATGGTCAGCCTTGGGGGAGCGTCGCAAGCACGCCAACACGGGAGCTGTTGTGGACGAGTCAAAGTCGCCTAGTCTTGTGCGACGTCATTTTGGGTTTGGAGTTAAGTCTTTTGAAGCGGGCGTTTGGGATTCTTACAATTATCATCATACCACAAACAAATCACCACCACAACAACAATCATTGGGCAAGGAATCGAGGGTTAAGCAATGCCCGAGGAACAAGGGAAGAGATTGGAATTGGCGTCGTGAAAGACGGGCTGATTTCGGGGACGTTGAGTGGGTTGGGGGATGGTAGGCGCTTTCTCAACCGAGAAAGTAGCCTCTCCATCACGCCAATCGTGGTTGGGAATCACCGTTGCCTGCTCGGCAGTGCGGCAGGACGCGGCAATCATCCTTAGCGCATTAGGATGTTCACTTATTTGTCGATTATGATTACCCAGCTCGCTTTCTGCGTGCAAGTTGCTTAGATACTATCGCAATACCAGAAGTTACCCACTCAAACCACCTGATCATTGCCATGTGCTAGAGTACTTGCATGTGAAGCAACACCCAGAAAGAAGACCTGCTGCATGGCAGAGTACTTTGGAGGTCCACTACCCACAAGACATCGCTTGTAGATTGATGTATCCGCGTGGGCTCAGCACCAGCCATGTCGGAGTTGATGAGTTGTCACGCAATCATGATATTGCCTCTGAATTTTCCATGATCATTGTGCCGTTACCAATATCATTTTGGGATTTGTACAACAACAACGGTAAGAGCACTAACTCTAGTACTGTCCAGCTGTTCATACAAAAACAGATCATGATGTCGACCATACTCAGTCTTCTCTGTGGCCCAACACGAGTGGCACCTCTCATCTTCATATCCGCTATACCCCGATGAATTCCTTTGGTAGAAATGTCCACACGGTCCCCACTGTCCCCAGGATCGAAAAGATGGCGAGCAGCAGCCACAGGAATGTGGCCTCTGACTGCTGAATGTCCTTCCAGTAGAGCTTAAGATAGAAGGAGATGGGGAGGATAATGGAAATGAGGGTGCAGAGCGCAGCACCGAGAAATGCGCAGACCGAGTCGAACGCGGGGAACAGGATTGATATGAGTAGCAGGACCAACACCACCGTTGTGCGGATGACACCTCTGATGGTCAAATGTATCATCTTGGCGCGGCCGCCGATGGGACGATGGCCGTGGTGGGCATGGGACGAAGATTCATGAACGCCACAGAGCACGTCTGCGGTGGTGATCAAGGGCCGCGCGTTGAGAGGGATCTTGGTCAGCGGTATGATGGCAACAAAGACGCACATGATGATTGTCAACGCCCTTGGGTATCCACTCGTCCTCAAAATGTTGGAGGTGATAGCATCGCTGATGCCGTCACCAAACATGATAATGCCTATGATAGCAAGGCATGTATCGAGGACGTACTGTCAAAAGTGTCAGAAGTGTCACAAGCGACTGGGAACCATTGCTTACAGAGAAAGAGAACGTGATCGTCACGGCTTTCCCCCATTTTGCCGGATGTCGCATGTCTCGATAGATCTATGCCATGTCAGTCAGCTTGGGTGTCAAAGGGGATTTCATGTAAATTGCCGGTACGTACGCTGGGGAAGACGCTGTGGGCACCCCACGGGGAGGCCAGCAAGCCGTATGCTAGTGGCAGAGCAAGCCAGTTCGTGGGCAGGAGATGCGTCGATGCTGGTTCCCGCAAAGAGCCCGGGGCATGGTCTTTGACAAGGCCGTCTAGGATAACAATGCAGACAACTAAGGGCATAATCAGCCATCTCTCAACAACGCTGGTGGGGGGCCGTGGTACTTACTACAGAAAGTCGAAAAAATGCCGATGACGCTGGTATAGCTCAGGAACCGCAACGGCAATGCATTGAGGAGCAGTATGAGCACAGCGCAGACGCACTTCCACATATCGACAGTAGCTAGGCCAGGCAAGAGAATCTCCAACGAGTCGGCGAAAAGGATAACCAACGCCACACACGCTGCAGTAAGCTCCAGAGAGAACAGTGCGGAGACAACCACCCTAGCCCGCGACCCGAAAGAAACATAGGCGAGATCAGAGTAGGTGATCAGACTGGGATCGGCATCCATGCACTTTGCCAGCAGCTTGCCAGTATAAGCCGTGACAGTAGCCGTCAGGGTCAGTAGCACGAGCCCAATGATCCAGCCAGAGAGCTTGAAAGCCAGGGGCAGGCTGAGTATGCCGACCCCGATGATGGCGTTGATGGAGTTGAACACAGACTGGGGCATAGTGCTCTGGCCCTCGACTGTCAGGATCACCTTGTCGCCATGCTTCACTTCCTTGACGAGGATGGGCTCATGTTCGCCGTGCGCGGCATCCTCCTCGTCCTCCTCGTCCTCCTCGCCAGCCACGCCGATCGAAGGTCTGTGGCTCTGCATGGACCCTCGACCCATGGTGCCGTAGGCTGAGCTTCGGTGCGACCCGTAACTACCAATGATGGATGAGGTTGCGAGATGAGGGGGGTTTGCGAATATGCTGGATCGACTCGGACTTGAGACACTGGGGCCTAGGAGTGCACCACTGGCCATCTCTGCGTCGAAAGCCTTGCTTTCACGCTCCCGAAAGTCTTCTCTTGTCGAATCGTAGATTGGATCGGCGCTGGGCTCGCCATTGTTTCTGCTTTCGTCGGCTCCCTGTTGTTCCTCCTGGGACTGCGAGGATTCCAGGTGCGCGCTCAACAGGCCCCTCGACGGCGGCGCAGGCCGTTGCGGAGGGTAGCTCCGTCCGTATTGCAAGTCCTCGGTACTCGGGTCGTCGACTGTGCGCTCGTCCGCATAGACAAAGCTTGGTCGGCGGGGGAGGACCTCTGTGAACCCGGCCGCGCGCTGCCAACTGCGGGCGAAGGACCGGAAGCTATTCACTCCCCCCACGTCGGCCATTGCCGCCAGGCGGTTGGTGTTGGAGGACCTGCAGCCACACATATTGTCAGAACCACGAGGTACGTCGATAAAAGTTGGATTGCGGCGGCTTCGGCCAAACGTACCGTCTGCGGTCGCGCATGGGTGAGCCACCGAGCTCGTCGTCGTCCAGCAGAGCTTGGCCTTCTCTCAAGCTGTCGGAGAGAGAACTACCAGGCGTCGGGACACGCCCTTCAGAGTCAACCCATGTTGGCGCTCCAGTAGCAGGCGCCATGGCCTGGGCTCACTCGCTGCTGGTGCGCGACGTGGCCGAGTACCAGGTGGTGTGGGAAACACAGTAGGACGGGTGAGCGCTTCGCCGCTCGGTTCCAGGCAGAGAATGAACTCTAGAGGGCTCTATTGGTGCAGACGAGAACACCAGGTCGGATTGTCGCAAAGCGTGGTTCGAAGAGGTGCTGCTCACGCATTGGGCATCCAAAGGCAACGCAGGTCGTGAGCGAAGAAGGCGACGAGCAAGGGTCAATGGAGCACAAGCAAACAAGCAGAGGGAGAAGCTGGTCGGGCACGTTTGGAGCTAGTGTTGTTCTTTGTGAGCAGGAAGAGCAAGCAAGCAAGCAAAATTGGCGGACGGTCAAGGCTACCCTACCTATCGTATGACGAAGGCCCGTTGTCGCTTATCGCGAACATGATCCTCTCGGCGACACCAAGACATGGGGGATCCATCCCCCATAGCCACGAGACCAGTCAATGAAGCCGATTCCAAGCTTGAGCCCATGGCCAGGTGGGGACCAATTCGAAAATGCAAGCCTCATCAGTTCTCATTAGTACATGTCGTGTGGGTCTGGAGCCGCAGATTCATGATTCGCATTGGAGTGCTGTACTGTACGTACGTACTGTACGAGCATCACCTCGAGTCGAGACCTGCTGTTGCACGTCCGCCACAGCTTGTCGCGGTCTCACCCAGGACATACATGGCTCGAGACGCGTAGTCATTGTCAGTGGTCTGGCCATTGGGTCGAACAGTCGCTCACACTTCGGAGCGACCGCATGCTGAGTTAATTAACAACAGGTTGAAACTCCAGTCGCTATCGCCCACGCCCGCACACCTGTTGGAGATCGCCACTCCACCAATCGCCGCTGCTATTGTAGCGTCAACAGTTGCTGCCAAGATTCGAGGGACCGCCGCGCGGGAACCTTATGTAGGTAAAACCGCCAGTGTTGGCAACTTGCGAGATCGCGGTGCCGCCGCCTCAAGTTCCTTTTTGCCTCGTTTTCACGGCTACAACAGGCTTCACCGTGAAGGCTACAACAAGAAGCGGTGACTTGAGTCGCTAGCCATGTAGGTAAACGTATGGAGCGATTGCGTATGCTGCAGCATAGACGCATTCTCGTTGGAATCTGTGATTGGCGGGCCCTCAAACGGGCAACCAACGTCCCATGGCCACTATGGATGGCACTTGTAATTGTACTGACTAATGAATAAGGCCAAGCGGGCGTCCCTGGACACTTCCGCCCATCAAGCATGACCGGTAATAAGGTACTCACTGTGGTCTGCACAATCCAAAACTTCGTCGTTTTACCTGTTATCCGCACGCCGCTACTCCCTACTAAGTCTAGATCTTCAACCTTACATTTTAATTGAGGCCAATGGTGGAAAATGTCACAACGCGGTCCATTGCTTAGTAAACTGACCACGGCCAGTGCCGTCCGTACCCAAAGGCTGGGAAAGAGAACAGTTGGAGCTTATAATAATTTGCGACACATGCAACAGAGGCCTGCATCGCATCAGTCTTATTGTCGCAATGTCACCAAGATGAGCCGCGCTCCGTCTTCGCGTCCATTGCCAACCGTGGAAGACATTAACAAACTACGTGATGCTTTCACGCCCATCCTCCCACTTCTCGATGGCTTCAACTACCGCCACATGAACCAACATCGCGCATCACACTGGTGGTCGCGCTTTGCGCTCCTGAGGCGTGCGGTTCGCGCCATCGTCAAATCACCGGGGCGGAAGCCCGAGGCCTTACTACCGAGGATCGTATGGATGAAGGAGCAAGTGATCCCCAAAACCTACCTGTAAGCCCCGCAAACCTCACGCTACTTCGCTACCTAGGCTGACTCGTTGGATGACAAGACCATTGACGCAATGTGCTGCGGATAACCAGCATGCGCCACTGGGACTTCTGCTGGTGACCATCCTCGCCCGTATCAACGCCGCCGTTGCAGCAGCGTTGCCTACTACAGAGGAGGACTTGCGCCCGATAGCAGGCCATGCTCCTGAGCAGCCCCCTTCTCAGCCAGCAATGGCAGGGGCTCAGGAAAAGGGCGAGTTAATATCGCGAGATGCCTTGGACCTGCATGGGAAGACAACTTTTCGACAAATGTCAAAAGCCACGTCATCAGGCTTCAACAAAGTCCAGAAGATGACCAAGGCGAGGGAAGAGCCAAGAGCCCAGTTGGTCAAGAAGAAGAAGAAGGCGAAAGGAGACGACTTTGCTAGCATGTTCGATTCAATCTGAAAGTAGTTGATTCAATCTCAAACTACACTTGCGTGATCACGATCATGTTAACCCACAAGCTTGACGTGTAAAAGTGAAAACTATGTTTCTACCAACGCATTGTAGGCCGGAGCCGTTGCCACATTATCATTCCCAGCCATAGCGCCCCTCTCAAACGTGCCCGAAGACAAAGAAATTATCACTGAAATCATGGCTTCCGTGACCCAGCCCGAGAACGGCACTGTACGCAACGTCCTCGGTGGTCTTGTTGACAGGGCTCCGCAGCCGGCCGAGCCCAGGGTCAATTATATAGGGCGGTACGACCAGATACGAGCCTTGTTGTCACCGGAACCAGTGGCAAAGTAACTGCCCAGCGGAGAGGGCGCCACCGAGATCACCGAGTTCTTGTGGCCCTGCAGCATGAGCTGAGTGGTCCCGGTGCGGGGGTCCCAGAACTGCACACCGCGGTCCTTAGATCCCGAAAGCACCCAGTTAGCGTCAGGTGTCATGGCGACGGAAAGGACAAAGTCGCGGTGGCCTTCGAATGTCTTGATACATTTGCCACCCCGAGAGGGCCCATCGCGAGTAGCGCGCGGCGCGCCCAGCTCCCACATTTTGATGGTCTTGTCCAAGCTGCCACTGACCAGGTCCTTGCCGTTCGGCGAGAACGCGACAGAGTAGACAGAGTCTTGATGGCCATCAGGTCCCTCAAGACGCTCAACAAGGGTAACGACGCTACCGTCAATGCTCCAAACACGGACGCTCTTGTCCAGCGAGCCAGCTGCAACGAACTGGGTGTCGGGCGAGAAAGCCACGGTAGTGACGCCGTCCTCAATCGTCAAGGTCGATGTGTTGAGATTCTGATCAATGTCCCAAAGGCGGACGGTTCTGTCACCACTGCCAGAAGCAATCGTGCGTCCATCTCGGGCAAAGTCTAGGGAATAGATGTCTTGCTCATGGCCGGTGAAGTGGCATCGGATCGTCCTCGTCGCAATTTCCCAGACCTTGGAGCTGGATTAGCAAAGGTGCAGATGCATGAGTGGGCCGGAGGAAATCTTACTCGGATGATCTTGTCCTCAGCGCCCGTGGCCAGGAAACGGCCATCAGGACTGAAGCATACGCTGCGGATGTATAGATCTGTTCCACCCATGGGATCGGAGGCACTTTGGTCCTCGAGGACACATACTTTCTCTCCCGTGGTCACATCAAAGATCTGTGCGGAACGGTTGCAGCCAGTCGCGACGTACTTTCCATCTTGGCTAAAGCGCACACAGCAAACAACGCTATCGTGCTGAAGCGAGTGGATCAAATCGACGTCGAGTACGCGCTGTACCTGTGGGTTAAAGATCGCGTACCAGTCGCTGCCAGTTTTCTTGTTGTGGGGCGCGACATTGTCGGGCTCAAGCTCCCCCAGTGCATTACCGACGGCCTGAGGTGGTCGAGGACCGCCCATGCGCGCATGATCCGGGGTCGGCTGGTTGATCTGGGGCGACTGGGCATTCGGGGGGTATGGGACGGGAGTGTTGATTTGGGGAGTGGCTGGCCCTACACCGTTGGGAGGGCGCCCGATAGGTCGGCGTCCAGGACCTGGCGACGCAGTGCTTTGTGGTGGCTGAGGGCCCATGCCATTGGACATGTGGCCCTGGGGGTATGGCTGCTGATATGGGCCTTGTTGTGGCTGTTGTTGCTGTGCTGACGGATGCGGAGGTCCGCTGAGACCTGGAGGGCCTTGCGCCATCTGGTGCTGAGGTCCCATCTGCGCCTCCTGCGGTGGCCCATGCTGCTGATGTGGTGGCGGCTGCTGCTGTTGTGGGGGGGCCAATCCGGCTTGGTTGCCCCCCGACATGATGCCGCTAAACAGGCCATTGCCTGGTGCAATCGAAGGCGGCTGCTGAGAGGTACCAGCATGTTGAGGTGGACCGCTCATCGCAGGCTGGCCAACACTGCCCTTGCCGCGTGTAGCCTCTGCTAACTGATGTCGCAGAACGCTCAATTCTTCCTCGTACCTTCACAAAGTGACGTCAGCCGGTTGTTCTGGAAGATCCAAGGCAACGGCCGTGCCCTTGGGTGACCTACTTTTGCTTCAAAGTCATGTGCGTCTGCTCCATGGCGTAGACCTTTTCTCTGACGAGCTGCATCTCGCTGACCTGCGCAGCGACTATTTGCGAATAGTCAGTCAAATTGTCAACACAAGTACAAGCGTGCGGCAAGGTACTTACTCTGGTGCTCAAATTCACCCGACTGACGCAGCTGGGAATCAAATTCAGCTCGAATCTGGTCGAGAAGCTCGTTCAGACGGGCCTGATTGCTCGGCGGCCCGCCCATGCGCTGCTGATGCGGATACATAGACATTGTTGTGATCGACCCAGCTTTCCAGCAGAATCTGACTAAGCGTCGGAGTATCGAATTACAAAAGGTGATCAAGCGGTTGAACCGCAAGGTGCGCCAGAAGTTGCAGATGCTTGATGGATGGACCGAGGTGGTTCAGTCGTTGGCTGTTTGAACCTGATGAAGCAGTTGTTGCGCTAAGACGTCCGCAGCGTCGCGACATGCGCAAAGGCCGTCGGCAAGCAGGGCAGGGAGTCCTCTTGCTCGGTGTATCGCGAGCGATGAAATAGATATATTCGGAAGATTGATGCTTTTGTGTTTGATGACGGCCAATTGGTAATGGAGAGCTCAAAGTGCGTGACTGACCGGCGGCTACCAGAAAATGTGAAAGGAAGGAGAAAGGCCAGATAGAGCGATGTTGTCCAGCCCACCCAATTGACCTCAGGCTCAGGCTCTGGGACCAGCCGCCTGGCCCGCCTCCGAACTGGGAGACTGGGAGTGCAGCTTTCAGCCCGCGGGTCCGTGCGTGAAGCGGGTCACCGCTACTCTTAGGGTAAGGTGCGGACTGCAGTCTGCTGCCTGCATGATGCACTAGCGGGCCCCAACCTTCAGAGTGAGCACTGTGGGGGGTCCGTGAAGTCTAAGCGCACCCCGTCCGTATGCGCATTCGTGAACGGACGCTGATCTTGCTCTCATGTGTGCGCATCGTTGCGAAACCCGGTACCTCGCGTTAGCCAAAGTACGATTATTATGTCTGGATTGTCACTCCGTAGGTAGTCAGATAATGAGAGCCGAGAAGCATCGCAACCTACCTTTGTATGCGAGATCTTGCCTTGTACTGCTAACATATCGATATTCCACTCGCTTGGTCTTGAGCCCGCAAGGCATTCAGTAACAATAGGATCTCGTTGGCCCGACTCCGCCTTGTGGTACACCATAGGCAGCTTCCGCCGGAGAACACTGTAGAGCGTCTCAAAGCCACATCTCAATCAAAAGATTCAGCAGTCAGCAGATGATCATAATGGCGACACATGATCCAATCGGCTCTTCGACGGCGCCCAGTGTGTACCCCGCGTAATAATTCCCTAGTCAATGCATATTAAGGGCATGACTGCCTCTAGCGCCCAAGCCCCTTTGCTTCCACCCAAGTATTTACTTGAGTGAGGCTATTGCGTATTAACGTATCCGTACAAGCAAGGAGTAGCTCACCAATAAACCATAACATGTTAGCCAATTCCTCTTATTAGAATCAAGAGGAGCTGACCCCAGCCTCCATATTCTAGCGAGCAGCGCCATACATGTACTTGTGGGCTACAAAAGCAGCGTGCTGCTTGCACTTGAATGGAATTACCTAGGCATGGCACCAGGTTGGACTGTTCATGGCGTATGGGGAACATTGTTTTAGATCCAACTATGGAGCTCGATCTGCGAAGCAACTCAGAGCCTGCTTGTCTATGTGAGTGCACGCGTAATTACTATCATCCAACTTGAACTTGAATCCGAAGAGTGGGACGGATCGTTGTCAAACCCGACGCCGCGCGCTGAGCGGTCACGGATACGTAGGTCCTCCCCTAGCAGTTCTCACGCCAGATCTACAACCAGTATCAAGAGCAGACCATTCGTCTTATGATCTTATCAATCAGCAGAGCGGCAAGAGGCACCTTCCGACCGTGACAATGCAATCGAAACAGGCACCCGTCTCAAACCCCAACCCCGTTCGGTTATCAATCATCAGGCCACTTTCTCGAACTGCGGGGCTCTAGAGTCACCTAATGCATTCCCTAAGCCAATCAGAGGCCCCGGGTCTGGCAATTCCCGGTTGGCCACCTTAATCATTCGATGAATTCCGAGTGCATAAGGGGTATTATCGCAATTTCGAAATTTTAATATGGCAGCTCGCTGCGCGACCCGTTCATTGGCGCCTCCTTTCCTCACCTCCGAGCGGCATAAGGTGTTTTGGTATAACCACACAAGCATCCGCCTTCTCACCAGACTCTCGCCTCTCCACTTCACATCTCGAGTGCACACCGAATGATTCAAGTCCAAGATCAGCCATCATGGATATCGTCTTAGAGCTGACCGATACTTTCATCGCCGACTATGTCTACGCATGGGCGCACCCTGCGAAGCCTGCCCCTTATGACTATCCCGCAGGAACTGCTGCCAACACGACCGCACAAACGTTCTCGTCATGGACATGGGAACCCGCCACACAACTCCTCCAGTTCCAGCCGTCGCAAGCAGCGTACATGAGCGCATGGACGCGTGACAATGTATGGCGGCAGCTGATCACGCTCTATTTTATTGTTTGGTCAGTACTCGGATCCAGGCTCTCGAAACCCATGAGCTAACCATCCTAGGATTTTCGGCCTTGTCGTGTACTTCGCGTTCGCCTCGTTGTCCTATTACTTCATCTTCGACAAGAGGACCTTGAACCATCCCAAGTTCATCAAGAACCAAATTTGGCTAGAAATCCTCCAGGCCAATAAGTCCATGCCGTTCATGGCCCTCTGCACCGCACCTCTCATGGCCCTCGAGGTGCGCGGCTTCAGCAAACTCTACGACACGACCGAGCAAGGCCCGGGCATGTGGTACAACTTTGCGCAATTCCCCCTGTTCCTGGTGTTCACAGACTTCTGCATCTACTGGATTCACCGATACTTGCATCATCCTCGCGTCTACAAGCATCTCCACAAGCCTCACCACAAGTGGATCATGCCGACGCCGTACGCCAGCCACGCTTTCCATCCGTTGGATGGGTTTGCGCAGTCCCTGCCGTATCACATCTTCCCATTCATCTTCCCACTCCAGAAGGCGGCTTATGTCGCTCTCTTCGTCTTCGTCAATTTCTGGTCTATCCTCATACACGATGGCGAGTATTTGACCAATAACCCAGTGGTCAACGGAGCAGCTTGCCATTCTCTTCACCATTCGCGTTTCGAAGTCAACTACGGACAATTCTTCACGGCATTTGATCGCCTCGGTGGTACTTACAGAACACCTGAGGCTTGGATGTTCGAGAAGGAGAAGAAGATGTCAGAGAAGCAGTGGAAGGCAGAGTCTACAAAGGTGGATAATTTTGTGAAAGAGATTGAAGGCTCCGATGATCGCACTTACGACCCTCCAGTTGACAAGAAGAACATCTGACAGACTGGATCGCGAAACGTTTCGCAATACTTATAGATCATGAGGCTCATGTACATAGCTCAGGCATCACTTTTCATAGAACATACATTATTAATGGAGGCGTTTGGGAGGCGGCATATGATGGATCAGTGGTACGATCTGTCACGATCAGATCGGACGCCGACTACGATGAGGGTTGGGTCATGACATAGACTTAATTAATGAGATATCAAACAACGCCAACGCTCCCTGCTTGACACAAAGGCTGGCGTAAGGAGGCCCTTCTTTCTCGCTATGCACAAGGGAAACTAGAATGATACGTTGCCGCGATGGCAGAATGCTTGGCCCATATTGGCGAAGCAGCGACGATCCAGGTACAGTAGGAAAACAGCAAACTCCACGCGACGCGAAGATTTGTCTCCACGTTGAACTCTCCGATCAGACTCTCCGATCAGACTATCCCGCTCCTTCTTAAGAAAAGCTGACGAACTTCGGATCGCGCGGTCTTCCATCAGCGCCGATGCCGTTGGCTTGGAATCGATTCTCCATGTACACTTTTCGTGCCTGGTCGAAGTTCATTCTCCTCTTCTTCATGATCTTCAATACTTCTGTCTTGGCCGCATCATCTAGTCCCCTGCGGCTGTCTCCCGCCTCCACATTACTACTCAGATCGAACGTGCTGCTTGATAGCCCTGCATCGATATCACCCGAAAAGCTGTCGGGAAGGCGCGAGTAGATGTAGTCTGCACCCGGAACGTGGATGTTGGGCACTCGATGGCGCCAGTGTTCGCGAGTAAAGTAGAGCGCTGTGACGAGGATGAAAAAGAAGAAGCAGGTTGAGTAAAGAATGTACTTCATTGCGATGGTCGTCCTTGCTTTTGAATAGCAAAATACGGGGTCGCGAGGGGCGCGTAGTTCGGCAAGTTATAGGTTTTTAAGGGGTTCGGCGCCCGACTGTGACGTTTGCGGATGGCGTTGTCAGCACATGGCAGGTCCGGCCGAAGAAGCCGTTGACGTTGTTCGTTCTCCGGTCGAGGGCTTTCGATGAAGTAGGAAGGGGGTGGTTTGCCTCGATGATAGTTGTACACACAGGCTCGATCTTAGGTTGGGTGGCTACAAGATAATATAAATGATAGTGATACTACGGAGTAATATTATGCGACGATCTGGCTGAGCTGACGTGACCTCTGCTGTCCAGTCAGTCTAAGCCACGCTTCGACACTGGGATGGGGTCGATGGGGTCGCAAAGGTGGAGCCGCCGTGGCTGAAGTAAGCAGCTTTTGGGCGTTGAGCCTTGGGTCGCGTTGCCAAATGAGACTGATGCGATTAAGTGGGGTTATTCTACTAACCGTACGCACAGAGTTCGGGCACAGAAATTCGATACCCTGGCGAGGTTGCGCGTATGTGGTGAACAAACAATCCGGCCTCACGACGACACATACTCGACAATTCCGGCACATACCGTCACAATGGCTTCTCCTGCGATCGACAATATTTCTGCGGACCTGATCTGGGAGGTCGTCCGTATGTTTACCCAGGATCTCGTATTTATGGCGACAAGTGACTAAGAAAAGACAGGCAACAACAACAGCTTCCTCACCAAGAGCAAGCGCAATGGCGGTGTTCAGTTCTCGCGTGATCCCCTGAACCTGATCAACAAGAACACCCGCAAGGTATGTGCTTCCATGAATATGATTATCAGCGTACGTCAACTGACACCTCTCTAGCACGCCGGTTTCGTCAACGACAAGGTACGCTCCTCCACGGCAGACACAATGCGGTACGACGATATGACAGTATAGAATGCTTACCAGTATTCTTCCAGGCCATCGGCGTCGTCCGCAACGAGAAGGGCTTCACTGTCATCACCAAGAAGCCCTCTGCCCCCACCAAGCCCAAGGAGGCTTTCCTCAAGTCCGAGCACAGCGGCAACAATTCCAGTCGCAAGTGAGTGGCCCTACCATACTTCACTGTCTCACTTGGATTCTGATTTTCTTCTCACAGGGCCTACAAGTCTGTCGCCAACCAGACTGCCAAGAACGGATACCGCCCCGATCTCCGCGAGGCTGCTGTTCAACGCGTGTCAGCCATCCGCCAGTCTCAGCGCCCCGTCAAGCCCGAACCCGAGACCAAGCTCCGTGGCAAGCGGGCCCAGAAGGCTAAGGAGGCTGAGTCGGCGTAAATCAAGTTAGGGACAAAGCGGCGGTACTTCATGAGGCGGGCTTACCAAGGATGACGGAACTTCCTGGGATCATTGATGGATGGAGTTTGGCATTAGAGAAATCGATCTCGCTGAAAGAAAAAGATTGTTTCCCCGGCTTCCTTGGCATTGATGAATTTGGCGCTTTGTGGACTCACACCTTCCACAGTGATGTGTGAACCCAGTGACCCACTGCCTAGGAAGCGGTTCATGTACGCCATCAAGACAGATACGCAGAGCTCACGACCAGAGCGGGAGAGGTGCGACAAGGATGGCACAATGACAATGCTGGTCTCGACATTGATACACGTGCGGTACAACTAGTATGTAGGCAAGTGCCGCGAAGCAGATATGGCCGCCCGCTAATTGGGCAGCCGACTCGGACAAATCGATGTGGGTTTTCCAAAGCATCAAATACGTGAACGAAGGGACGACCAACTGCGTACTAGGTAAGGTATGATAGTACCCAACACAGGATGTAGATTCCTACGGGCTTCCTTCCTGGGCTTGACCATAATATAAGGTAAGGTAGTGTAGCTCACCTTTGGTGAATCCGCAGATACTGAACTCGGTACTTCCTTGGCCACTTGCATGAATACCAAGGTATGGAACATTTAGCTACCGACTGGAAGCGAAGCTAGCTCCGATTGCCACCCATTGTCATGCAGTACCGGACCGCGAAGGTTTCACAGGCCTTGCAGCTCTCTCATCACCTCGGCTACCGAGGATGCTCCAGCTGACACCAGTTGCCTCTGCCCGTGAAGTCGGTAAGATCCGGAGAGTTCAAGCCCGGTTACGCAATAGTTAGCGGAATCGGGGTCCGCCCGAACAAACCATCTTGGCAAAGGTACAGACCTGGTTTGGCGATAACAACATGAAATTCGCGATGGCTACAGACAGAGATACCTGGTCGGAAGATGACGGACGTTGCGTTTGCGTTGCACAAGGACGGAACATGAGGTCTACAGTCGTTTAGAAAGGCACGAACTTGATTGGCTCCCAGCTTCCCCTCTCGCGTAACCGCCGTGGGGGGGGGGGGGGGGGGGGGGGGGGGGGGGGGGGGGGGGGGGGGGGGGGGGGGGGGGGGGGGGGGGGGGGGGGG